CAGTGCTCGAAGGCGGAGGAAGAGGAGGAGCATGCCAAGGAGGTGGTGGGAGTAGTGATGGTTGTGGAGGAAAGGGTCAAGGTGGACGTGGTGGCGGAAGAGGCCAGGGAGGCGGCAATGGTGGCGGCGGAGGAAGAGGAGGAGCATGCCAAGGAGGTGGTGGGAGTGATGGTTGTGGAGGAAAGGGTCAAGGTGGCGGCGGTGGAGGAAAAGATCAGGGTGGAGGAAGAGGTCAGGGTGGCGGCGGAGGAAAAAGTCAACCCCACAAAAAGAAGAGCAGGAGCAACAATGGTGGTGGCGGTGGCGGCGGAGGAGGGTATACAAGGAATGCTCCTAGCGAAAACACCCAGAACTCGAACCCTAGAGTTGCCGGAAAATTGCTCCTCCTCCACACAACCACAGCGAATGGGAGTGGCGACGGAAGTGGCGGTTCCGGTAACGCTGGTCGCTGTTGGTTTCCCGGTTGTCCGAACGGACATAAAAAGTCAACATCCGGTCAAAATTAATCCCTATAGCGTATATGATCTCTACTGTATGCATGCATGTGCCATGCACTTTTACCCGATCTTCACATGACTTTTGCCTCTTTTTTATTTTATTTTTGAATTGTTGGTTTTTCTCGGTCATATTAAATAATAGTAATTTCCATTTTTCTTAATCATCCAACCCACCGCCGTCGGGTAATAAACAACATTCTTGATTAGATCATAAAGAAATTAGACAAAGCCCGGCCCAATACTTATTATGGACTATATAGACAGTCGATGGGCCCATGGGCGGATATCATACACATAAATATTTAATTTTCAATCCATGGACGCACACACTACGTGATTGAATAGGCCTTGTTGGTTGATTCAATTTTGTAATCAACATTATATTTTATCTTCTTCCTTTTTGGGTGTAAAATCAACATCTCCTTTATCTCTAGCTCATACTCGAGTTTTGTGATTCTATGGTCGAATTGGTCTTTATGGTTGGTTGTTCACCCATTTGTACAAAAATATATTTATATTAATTTAAAAATTATAATCTTTTAGATTTATTTAATACCCAAAACATGTTTGGATATCTTAAAATATTTCCAAATAAACACCAAATTCGAATGGATTAATGCTCTTTTTACATGTAGCAGTATTAAAATAAACCTAATCAGAAATGGATCGTAACGTATGACGGTCTTTCGAAATACTATACAATTAAATAAAGGCAATAATGGGGAAAATAACATTTATTAGTGGCGGTACAAGACACTTGTCATGGACACGTCATCTCAACTTTTTTTTTTTGGGAAGTAGACTGCATTGCATTGATACGTGCAGCCGCACAATAACAAAACCCCAGACCCAATCAGAGGAGAATTTTTGGGAGCAGCCTTTATGGATTTTGCGTATATATAGAAAAACGCCATTGAAGGGAGATGTTTGAGTGCGGGGAAATGGACAAATACAAATGCAAATGTGTCCGAACCCGTAACGTAAGAGGGGTTGAGAAGTGGTTGGTGTCCGGTGGCAATTATCAATCACGTGCCCCATTCCCCTAATCTATTATTGGGCGTAAAATCAAGATGGGATAATTGATATTGTAAGTGTTTTTTAATGTTTCTTATTTAAATTTTGTCATCTAGGATTTTTCGATCAAACTATTTAATTTAAAATTAGAAATATAATCTTTGAATACCTTATTTATGGGATCGAACAATATTAAAATTTTCAAATGAAATATATACCCCTAACTATTGTATTTAAAATAAATCTATAACTCTAAAATTTAAGAATCGCGATATTTAGGGAGTAAAATGTATACGTCATGGAAATAAAATATCATTACATCCAACCTAAATCCCCCGGATTCTTTGGTGGAAAATAGAATGAAAAGAAAGAGAAACGAAAAAAAAATTATACATGTAATGAGTAAGCTTGCCTAACTGGATCCATCACCGAACCGGATTCGGGCACATGACCGGGTTTGACCCGACCCGACCCGGGGGCGCGGCCTTGTTGAGGCGGAGCTCAAGCACTTTGCGGTGGGAGTTGGAGTGGAGGATGGTGGAGAAAGTGGGGCTTGAAGCGGGTCGGTATTCGGGTAAGAGCCGACCCGACTTGAACCGAACCCCGCACGCGTTGCATAGTGTCTTCGTCCCCAGTGGCCCCATCCTCCACTGCGGCGTTTTCTGTACGCCGCAGTGGCTGCACGGCTGATTAGATTTACAAGACCCACGAGCTTTGTGTTCTTTGCCGCCGCCGCCGCCGCCGGAGGAGGACACCGCCTCCGCCTTCCGTCGGCCTCTCTTGTTTCCCTTCTTGGGCGCCGCCTTATTCGGCGCTTCCGACGAGGAATATGATGGGCCTGTGGCGGAGGACGGCGGCGACAGAGTCCAGACACGGCGGCTGGTGCGTCGGCGTTTTGTCCTGGGTTTGACGGGAACTGGGTTTCTGGTAAACCGTGGCTCAACCGCCTCCATGGCCGCAGTCGGAGCATCGTCTCCGGTGGTGGATTTCACCGGAAAGTCGCCGGAGTGATATGACTCCGAGAAAGAATCCTCGACGAAATTGGACAGCCACTCAAGCTCCGCCAAATCCCCCACCTTCGTGGAAAAAAAAATCGTCAGTAATAAGAACGTTAACAAACTATGAATCAGAAGAAAAGAAAAAGAGAAGATTAAATTCGCAGGGGAAAAAGAATTCACCGGAAGTCCGAGCTCAGAGCCGGGGAAGGACAAAAGATCTTCAAGACAGACACTTTGGTCGGAAAAGTTGCAATCTTTCTCCGGTTCTCGTTCGTCTTCATCTCTCCGACCTTCTTCCCGTTCGAAACCGTCGGCCATACAGAAGTCAAGGAGGTCGTCGACCGCAAAATCATTCAGAAATGCTTCTACGCACTCCATTTCCTAATCATTCAATTAAAGAACAAAACCCATTACAACGATTGTTGATAAAGAGACTGGAATCCAATATTTCAAAAGTTAGTTCACGTCCCAACACCAAAATAAATATTTCAAATTCATTACCTAATAGAGAGAGAGAGAGAGAGAGAGAGAGAGAGAGAGAGGGTGGGAGATGGATGATAAGAGTGGTGGTGTAGTGGGACTGTGGTTGGCGCATTGGCTCATACGAACGAACCAACCACGTGTTTGCCACGTCACCCTTTTACATTTTTGCTAAAACGATGTTCTTATATTCTCCTCTGATTTTTTCCCATTCAAGTGTATATCCAATATTATTGCTTTAGGGTTTATATTTTTTTTTTGTATTTTGAAAATGGCGTTAGTACAATGCCTAGCCAAATCAGCACCCTACCCGCGCGGTAGATTCGAAATGTCTAAAGAAAAGTCCGGACACTATAATAGAATACTATTGTAAGTATACATACATATTATCTAAGATTGGATGAGTCTAACTTATAAAAAAAAATGCAAATACTTTTTTAATCCGAATTCGAATACTCATTTGGAGAGAGATGTTCACATAGATATATGTGTAATAATATATATATACATGTATATCATCATATAGATATATGTGTAATAATATATATATATATATATAGCATATATAAGACAGATCAAAATGAATATATTTTTGACAATTTGATATCATGATATTGAAATTCATATTTCAACTATGAAATTTTTTATACATTAAAATACGTTTATGAATAATTTGTTCAGAGATTGAAAATATCAAATGTCGGATAGTTTTTTAAGATTTGTTATAAAGTTTATGATTTAAACTCGAAGAGGAAAGTTTGTATGTTTTTATGAAAATTTTAAAGTTTGTTTATTAATTTGGAAGTTGACAAAAAAAAATCATGTATTTATATGATATTTTTATAAAACAAATTGATATATTTTAATAACAAAATTTTAAACTGATTCTTATATTAATTGTAAAATTCATTTAATAATGAGGAAAATAAAAAATTCTTCTATAACATTAATAAGATAATAAAGAACAAATTTTATTAATTTAGTGTTATCAGATATATATATATATATATATATATATATATATATATAATCAATATTAATTTTTATTAACTTATATAAATTAATTTAGATACTTAAAACTTAAATTGGTATTATTGGGACATATGATTCCAAAAGTACTGATTCGGACCCATTTATTGTATTAAAACGATCCGAGAGTAAAACGGATATATATATATATATATATATATATATATATATTATAATTTTGTTATGAAAGATACAACTTTTATTAATGCTTTTTCGGGGAAAAGAAGATAAAAAATATTTTTTTGTCGGGATTAAAAAAAAAACAGAACATGGAAATCTTGATACGTTTGGGCGGGAATTAACGAGAGGAGGACATGAAAACAATAATTTAAGACATGGAAAAAGCGTCTGGCCGACGACATGGGCCCACCGACCGTCGGTGGAATCTCAATAAGAGAAGAAATTAAAACGAGGGACCAACGTACACCGTATCATACATAATTCAAGAATCCAAGAATCTGGAATTCACGTGACTAGAGAGAGAGAGAGAGAGCATGCGATATAAATCTCCAATTTCCAAAACCTCTTTATACATGGTTCGTTGAATAATAAACCATTCGAACCTTTTATTTTATCATGTCATGGACATATATCTAAAAATATTATAAACTTGGTTAAAAATATTTTTATAATATTTAATATTTCTTATATTATATATATATATATATATGTTTTCGTCTAAAAATAAAAACTACACCATATTACATAATAAAGGTTAACAGATACAGGAATATAAATATATTATAAATAATGTTAGAAAAATGGTTTTATAAGAAATTTTTATAAAAAAATAATTTTTAGTGAAACAGAGAATATTTTTAAGATAAATAATTGCAATCCCTAGAATTTTCAATGACATTTATTTATTTACTCAATCAAAGCTCGTAATTCCTTTTCGCCGTACGTAAAGAAGTAAATGACGTCGTTTGAGGAGGAAGAGACTGTCCAGTATTTATTGGGCCAATGAGCCATAATGAATAATGGGCCCGAAAACGGGTCGGGTCCAAGTAAACCGGGTCGCGTGATTCTCATGGTTACATTTAATTTATTTGACGGACCAATATATTAAAGCCCTCAAAATTTATTAACGCAATAATAATATGGTACCCAAAAAGTTATTGCAAAATAAAGACCGATAAGAGTTTAGGCGCCTACTTAATTTTGATGGGTACAAAAAAAGAAAAAGAAAAAAAAGAAGTATATACAATTTACTTTCAATAAATTCAGTAAAATAAACTCTAAATTTGTTTTATATCAAACTCAAATAATCACTTCGTTTCGAAAATCCAAAAATACCCTTTTCATGAACTCTATTGGACTTTTTAAGTAATAACATATCAATTAGCACATCTTTTCTTTGGATATAAAAGAGTAACTATTGAAAATTAGAATTTGTATATTTAAATAAAATATCATTCGATTTTTAGAGCAAAAAAAACGAGCGGTACTAATTTACCACGATTCAAGAGCAAAACAAAAAAAAAAGGGAATGGACCGCCAATTATACCCCGTTGGGTACACATTATCTTACACGATCACAATGTCACGGCAGAAGGGCTTTAACAGAAGCTTCAGAGAGAGGGAGAGAGGGAGAGAGGGAGAAAGAGGGAGAAACGCCATGGAAATGTGGAGCAGAGCTTCAGGATACGTTCGTGGAGAAAAACACAGATCAAAGACAACGAGGAAAACATCTGCGATGTTCTGTTTCATGATTTGGTTACTACTGCTTTCAGCTCTTTTTGACACAGAAAAGGTATGAACCCTCTTTAGAGTATGTGACCGGTTATTATACCGGTTTGATTTTTCAATATCGGTTCTATTTAGTTTGGGCATTTCTGATAGTTTATATATAATGCCGAGAGTGCCGAATCATCCTCTGAGTACTCGCCATCCACTCTGATTTCTGTATGATTGATCAAAGGTTTCTTTTAAGTTCTCGCGTAGTAAGAAGTAGGGGTGGCCATTTCGGATTTCGGTTTGGGTTCGGTTCGGTTATATTCGGGTTCGGTTATTTCGGTTATAGAAAAACTATAACCATTCGGTTTTTACATAAACTTCGGTTCAGTTCGGTTTCGGTATAAAACTCATTTTTTCAAAGAAAAATATACACTACATGTGAATAAGCTTCATTTAGAGCTTTTATATATAAGCTCGGGTTTTTAAGCTTCATTTAGAACTTTTATGTGGCTTTTTTTATATATATATATAGTATATGTGAATAATTAAGTCTTTGGATAGAAAAATGGCACATACATCAAATGAATCAGAGAACGCAACTTGATTCTTGGAAGTGAAAAGTCAAGACTTTGATCAGCAATATAGTTGTAGGACCACTCAAGCACATACGTATGTAAACTCATACATACACATATACACTACATGTGAGCACTGTAAGCAAAGGTGTATGTGTGTGTCCAAAGGAAAATAAAAGAAGAAAAAGCAGAAAGATGGGCACATCACATATAGGTTACTGCATCACTGGCCGATTTCATCCCCACCCTATTACTTGTTAATCCAAAACCCTAGAATCTTTTGCCTTCTCGGACAGCTTTTTTTTTTGTTACACGCACCATTCCTTGCCTCTGCTGCATGCCATCACTCATTATTTACTCCCTCCATTAACTTTCTCTCCCTCTCTCTCTCGGTGGTTATGAGATCTTGAACTGAGATTCAAACGAGGTGTTCTTCGCCTGCGTGTCAAAGAGCGAGCAGTAACTTGCGAGCCAAGGCACATTCCCAAGCAGCCAAACCTTTGATAAACTCAGGTTCTTATCTCTGACCTAACTGGCTTGGCCCTTCATCTTTATTTTTAGTCATTTCCGTTGAACGTTTAACATTCAGAATACACATATGATACTGAAAATTTAGTGAGAGACAAAAGCATGAAAAAAAGTCTGAAATTCGTTAACAGATTAATTTGTTTTCTGTTCAATCTTGTACATATAAATCTTTCCTTTTATCTTAATAAAGTTTCACATTGAACAAAAAATCTGAAATTACTTACATGAAAGTTGTTGAATATTTTGGAATAATGGTACATTCTATGAATCTGTGGTGTAAATTTTAGTGTAAAAACAAAATGATTTTTAAAAATCTATAGCCGTCTTAAAATTTTGTATTCTTTTTAATCCTTTCACCACAAATAATTTCAATTGTTTTAATAAGGCTTAGAGAAGGATATATTAATTTCCATTAATTTTTTCCAACACGGTAACCAAAGTAACCATGCATCCGCATTTAATCGTGTTACTATATATGGACAATCTCTAACCATAGGGCACGTAACAGGCTGATTAGATTTACAAGAACCACGAGCTTTGTGTTCTTTGAATCCTTTGGTCTTTGAGCACTACTCACAAAGAGGAGAAACAATACACCTGCGCAAACGGTCGAATAGTATATACTATATAGTATAGGACCATACGACAATATATAAAATAATATTATTGATTTTCTGCTAGGTTTTGTAATCACCCCATACGCACATTTTATTTGGTTATTCTGATTTTGGTTTGGTATATATATATAGTTCAACACTTTTTTATTTTTAGGTTTTTAATTAGGAAGATTAGTTACTAGTAAATTCGACTATATAAAAGAAATGGTTTGTTGATGATTCATATGTTGCATAGCTATGACTAAATTGTTGATATGCTAAATGAATAATTACCCAAAAAAAATCCGACCTAATTGAATATACAAGCAAACAACATTAATTAAAGGGTAAAACCCCTAAAAAACCTCCAACTTGCAAAAATATTTACAAATAAACCTTCAAATTGAAAAACTGTCATTCAATCCCCGAACTTATAACTTGTCACTGAATAAAACCTCGAACTTGCAAATTATTGCTCTAATAAACCTTTGACCGGTTTGACCACAATTTCAAACGATCAAAAATCCACGTATTGACGGATTGCTGATGTCATTTTTTAAATTAAAATTGATAACGTGTATAAGGTGACATCAACAATCCGTTAATACATGGATTTCCGATCGTTTGAAATCGTGGTCAAACCGGTCAAAGGTTTATTAGAGCAATAATTTGCAAGTTCGAGATTTTATTCAGTGACAAGTTACAAGTTCGATGATTGATTGATAGTTTTTCAATTTGAAGGTTTATTTGTTTTGCAAGTCGAAAGTTTTTTAGAAATTTTACCCATATATGGAAGAAAACATGAAATTTTCCACAACGACCCTGTTATAAGCTGAATGTTAATTTATTCTAAAATGTTACACGTTGAAAATAAAAGTTATCTTCTTGCGAAATTTTAAAATTTTTTTCTAACAGGAATTACAAGCTTTGTAAAGAGCCATAGAACATTATCTAGATTTAGGATATATATATATATATATATATATATATAATATTAATTCTATTGACTTTGATATATAATATTTTCAATATATTACAAGATATTTCTCAAGGGTTGTCCAACCGAAGAAGCAACCGGCAAACATCCGCATAAGCATGGAAAAAGCTTTACGCCGATACCAAACCTATCGAGAAGCAAAAACTTCTATCTATATGTGCGTCTGCACACGTAAAATATATTATAAGATCTACATATTGTACTACACATACATATTATTATTGATTATATATATATACACACTTACGTACGTACATTATATATTTATACGGACGTTCGGGACGATTGACGTATATGCACGTGACTGTAAAGACAACATTTGAATCTAACTAATATTAATGCATTTGAAGGAGCTACTAAAACTTAACAAGCGAAGGTCTCTCGCAATTTGGTTGACCTTCGTTGACCAAGTTTTAATCCCATCCTCATGCTTAAATCAAGTATCATCGTGCCAAAGTTTTACATCATGGAGGAACAACCATTAGACGTGAAAAATAAAATTATTGAGCAACGTAAACGTTATTGATCAAGATCTTGGATTTTGGTTGTAGAATTGCGTACCTGCTGGCATGAACATGCTTAGATTACTCGAGCCGTAATACGCCGAAGGGTCCACGAACATGGGCGATGATGATCCTCCGGCGACGGCGTGGCTAGAAGAAGCTCCGGCTGCTGCTGCTGCCGGATTAAATGGGTTTCCTCCGGCACCGATCCCGGCAGAGGAGCTCTGGTGGTCGCTGCCACCGCTACCGCAGCTGATGTTGTGGCTGCTTTGAGGGCCTTGGTCGTATAGAATTCCTTTGAAAACGTGACCGTTGATGTTCATCATCGTCTGATAAGCGTATTGGCCGTTTTCATCATCGACACCGCTCATTCTAACGCACCGGAAAACCGCTTCCGAATTCACTTCCGCCGGGAAAGAGGGCTCGCCCATATCTAATGCCCCTAACACAAACCATATTCTAAGAGAAGAAACATATAGCACTTGACCTTTCACATGGTCATTGTGATTCGAGTCTTGGGATTGAGCCTGCCTTGTTATTCAAAAGAACAACAACCAAAGATGGTTTAAAGAAACTAAACCTGTGGAGGAGGCGTCCCTCGGCCGCTTCGGGATATTTGCTCCGCCTTCGGTAGCCATCGTCTGCTGCTGGCGCTCGCGGCGTTTAGCGACGGGGATCCACGTGCTTCTCACGTGGGTGGCACAGTCGAAGCCTCGGCTCTTGCAACAAGTCCTGCACCGCATGTGTGCACAGCCCTTCTTGGCTTGGTTCCCGCAGTCCCGACAGCTTATGGTGACAGATCTCCATGACGTGGCCAAATCAGAGACGTCGATCTGACCGGCTGGATAAAGATCAAGGCTTTGTTGTTGCTGCTGCTGCATGAACATTTGCTGCGGCGGTGGCTCTTGTTCTAGCTGCCATATTTGCTGGTTATCGGAGCTTGAGGCGCTAGGGTTCGTGTTTCGGAACCAAAGCCCAGTCTTTCGTTGATCTTCTTCTTCGTTTCCTCGTCCTGATCCTAATGGGAAAATCCCTGCCATTTCCCTCGACCCAACACCTTGAACCCTAATCTTGAAGGAGCAATACCCATAATTCACAAAACCCTAATTATCATGAGACCGGAATTTGTTAATTCCGATTCTTTTCCCCCACTGGCTTTAGCTTTCTCCTTCATAGGTTATCGTTGTTCTCGTCCTTCAAGTTGTGGTAGAGACGAAATTCATCGAGGATTTCGTCGTTCTCTTTCTTCGGACAGCAAGGCGTTCCTTCCGTTCTTAATTGGCTGCAGTAAAGTAGTTACGTGATAAAACGAATCTAGAAGAAAGAAAAACGGAGGAAGAAGAAGAATTATAGGTTTATCGTTAATCTTTCTCTTATTTTCTGCAACGCCGCCATAACCCTTTCTCTCTCATCTGCTATTCTCCACACAGAATTTAAGTCTTTACCCCCAAATCTCTCTCTCTCTCTCTCGTGAGATTTGGCTGCAGATTCTATGAAACGAAAGTGAAAAAGCTTTTTCTCACTTCACCTTGTCTGAGCAAAACGATTCTGGTTCTGTCCGTCTGAACTAAAAGAACTCACAATGGAACCTCTCTCTCTCTCTATCCCTTCTCTCTCTACCGACCCACATCGGGGATGATCGAACGGGTGCGCTTCTCAATCGGACGGTTGACAGATTGCCACGTGGCAGAATCTCAGCTCATCGCATCCTCCTAACCGGAACATTGGCTTCTCCTCTTGATGTTACACATTTCCCGTGCGTATATTACCTACTACTTTAATTTTCATAGTTAATGTTTTTAGTAAAGGTTCTTTTTTGGGGGGACAGAATTCTAATTAAGGTTAAATTCGTAATTGCACGCTTTGAACTGGAATGATTGCTTGATTAAGCAAACCTTAGGGTTTCTAAAATGTATGTCATCAGTAAAATTAGTCATCTAGATGCTATAGGGTCCCCTCTTCAGCATTTACATTTAGTGATACTAATATCATTCTAACGTTTCCAATATTATATTCATCATATATAAGTCGGTTGTTCCTAATGAGTTATCATTACGGAAAAATGAGAGAATTTCGTATCAAAATTAATTTATAGATAGTAGAAAAAAATGACAATTCACCATTCATCTTTCGAATCTGTATTCAAAAATTCATATCAAAACTATTTTATAGATATCTTTTGTATTTTATTTTAATTCGGACGAAATCCACTAAATATGATGTGAATGAATAAATGAGTGCCTGAAATAGTTATTGATTTTTCCCCCCTAAGATCATTCCTCCTATTTTGTCAAATGCAACTTAATAAAATTAGGTTCCTTGGCATTTTAATGAGCACTCGATGTCCCAATTTGAATTTATGTAATTACCCAGATGATAAACAGTAGAGAGATGTTATTTTCAACAACAACTAGGGTTTATCATCGCCATGCAATAATCTATAGTTCCAATTTGAATATAAATATTAAATTCATATTTGTTTATCATTACCCAAATAAAAAAAAAGGGAAAAATAAAATAAGGGAACCATGTTACTCTTTGCATTCTCTGTGGCTATGCAAGGGAACATGGCGCCACCTACCTGTACTTTTTATTGCCTTCTTTTTTCCTTCCATTCAATATGTTTTCGAGTAAATTGAAAGTTTTATTTCGAATAGCTAAAATTATTGCATTTATAATAAGCCCGTCTGAGAGCTCATAAAGACTAAAGTAGATATTTAAGCTTATAAAGACTATAGTAGATATTTAGATTGGAATCTAATTTTATTTATAGATTTATCAATTACATTATTTTTAAAATTTAATCAATTAATTTTAAATAAAACAAGATCAAATAAAAAATAACAGAAAATTATAATATAGATATTTTTTTTTGTAAAAGCAGAGTGTGAATAGAATTCAAATAGATTTAAATTCTGGTATAATAACTAAATGAATATAATTTTTGTAAAATCATAAAAAAAATAGGAATGAAACATAACCAAATCCAAAGTATGCAAAGATAAAAACTAGACAACATAAGAATGGTACATTAATAGAAATATTTTCCCCATGGATAACTGCTAATTAGTTCTGTCAATTTGGTGTAACGAATATTATGGGTTATACGTCGAGATATCATTAATGATGTAATTATATTTCTTCGTCACATTGTTGGCATCGTTGACATGCTGTAATAAAATTTACGTGTAGTTATAAATGAAAGCATATTTTGCATCATACGTAGAGTTCCTTCCACGTGTCCAAAGAGGAGGATTGAAGTTGAACCAACCACACTGTAATACTCTCCATATAATCTTTCACATTATTATATAAAATCAAAATATTTAATTCTATTTATATTAATTGAAGTATAAAAATAATAATAAAAAAATAGAAATAAAATGAAAATATTTCTAGAATGTTGATATTTTTCAGTAAAACTAAATAAGACCGCAATCAGAACAAAACACAAATAGAATGGAAAAACTCAAAAAAAAAAATATAGACAACTCAAAAAGTCGAAATATTCGTCTAGTGTAAGATAAAATATTGTAAATATGCTATTAATTCCACAAAAAAAATTATTAACATTAATTCCACCAAAAAAATTACTAACATTAACTACGGGAAATGGAAAAAAAATACAGAAATAAGGAAAGGAAAGAGAGGGGGAATGATAAGTGGGAGAGGCCCGAGAAGAAGAAGTGTACGTTTTCTCTTTTCTGTCGACGGGGGTCTCGAGCCAAGTGTTTGCTTCTATCCGATTCCCTCTCGAGCCAATTTAATAACTTTATATAAAAACTTAGGTTTATACAGTCTTTTGCATGTTTGTGTCGTTGTTACATTTATTTGTATCTCAACGTTAGTTTATATATATATATATATATATGTGTGTATATGTATAGGGTAATAAGAGCATGTGAAGGGGACAATGCTGCAGGGGACTCTGTTTGCTTCTTGATTTTGAAACTGGTAACATTTTGTGACGAATACGGTCGATTAGAAGTGGATTATTTCGTTTCCATATTTAAAATTGAATAAAAATGATTCCAATATTATTTTCCAAATTGAATCTAATCCAATCTAAAAGCCAATTAGGTATCAGTTTTTAAAATTAAATCGAATATGAAAATAATGTTAAAAATCTGAATAGAATGGAATATTCTAAAATAAATAAATATTTTTTTAATAAAAATGAATTCAAAATGGACCCAAACATGACATAAAATCCTAATGAATATATTTTTTCAAAAATCCAAAAAATGTGCGGAATAAAAAAAAATCGAAAGGCTACTGTTACTAATATATTATTTAAATGGCATCTTATTCTCTTTACAGAAAGTCTATTGTCATTATTTTTATTGTAAAAAAAATTTAAATAAGGGCATAGTGAAAGGTAAAATAATTATGCACCTATACCTAAAAGAAAAGCCCACTCCTAACATATTTATCAAGCCTTGTATTTGTTAGTAGTACTTAGTTCACACCCTCTCACGCTGCAAACCCTAGTTTTCCATAAACACTGTTAGGAAATATATGACATCTTTTCTTAAAGACATAAACTTATACATATACATATACATATACATATACATATATACGTATTTATAAATACATATATATATATGTGCGTGTGTATATATACACGCAATTATGTTTTACGATGGATTGGTCTTAAAGTAAAGATACAATGATATTGCCTTCTTCGGTCAAAAAAACCTATGGGCTTTGGGTCTGGGGTGAGAGCTGGGTCCATGGAATTAGTGATTGGTCGGTTAGTCCAATATTATGAATTAGTATTATAATTATAATTATAATAATAATTATTATTATGATGATGATTGTATAGTATTATTCCAACATCTTCCTTGTCCAATATGTAATTGGCAACTTGTGGTCCAAGTCAACTCGACTAAACCAAAGCGAACAATCCATATCAAACCATACGACTCTATACACACACTATATTTTTTTAAAATTGAAATTTAAAATAAAAAATTTCATTTGGAAAATAACTGAAGAAAAACAGATATATATTTTTTAAGATTATTATTTCTTTTCAAAAAATGGAACCTAAAGATCCCAACCAAAACTTCAACATCTAATTTTGCCTCTCTAACCAAACCAAATCGGTTTCTGGCACGTGTCCCCACTCTACCCTTCACTACACAACGCAAAATAATTGTTGAGATTTACAACATCAGGACCACTCCTTACCAATGAAATATATATATATATATACATGTGCATGTATGTATATTTATGCAATGTGCTTTGACTCACAATACAAGCATATGCATAATGCATGCTAGGAAAAAAATTAGATGATGATGTATTAATCTATTAACCAATTTCAGGATCTTCAGAGCATACCAGATATTTAAGGATTTTTTTTTTTTAAATTCCAGAATTTAAGGTTGAAGTAAAGTGAACAAAGTTGCAGAGACTTAAGAAGCTTTGTTGCTGCTGCTTGTCTTCTCCTTCCTCTTTGTCTCCACAAGAACAGCGAGCTGTGCACATTTGCCTTTTGCTTCTTCCAATTCCTTCTCCAGATTCCTTACCTGTATCAATGCATCCCGGACATGTTGGACGTGTAATAACGAGACCCGAAACCCGAAACCCGAAACCGAAGTTGTTTGGATTTAGGAGTGAATGAAACCTACCAACTCTTCCAGTTCGGTCTCTTTCTTCGCATATTCCTCGCACCTGGCGGAAAGAAAAAACGCATCAGAAATCGGGAATCGGATGGCCATGAAGATCTGTCAAGACAGCTTCAGATAGATATGGGGTAACTATATATATACTTCATGAAGAGCTGTATGTTCTCTTGGCATATCTCATGTGCCGACTTGTTAACAAGGTCATCCTCAGCAACGTAGTTGTCCCGAGACACCTGAGGAGATTTTGGCATTTAGTTGGAAACTTCTGGAAACTTAAATCGCTAAGAATCCCGATAATTCACTCACAGGAGTTGCAGATTCCGGATCAAGCTGCACGATTTGGGGTTCACTTCGACCCGCAGGCCTTCTCAGATGTGGCGGTGGCATAGTTACGGGACGAGTAATGGTAGCTTCGGCCAGATTAATTTCCCGTACAATAGGACCACCGTAACTGTGCATGCCGCTAGGCGAAGCTTCCATATTTCTGGCAGGAGGTTGAGCATTCGGTTTCCTCTTTGATTTATCCGCACTCATCTGAGGTGTCTGGTATCCAAATATGTGGCAGTGGCTAAGCCTGTTTTCTCCATTCAAAAAAACATCAGTGGCAGAGCAGTAGCTAAAAGGGAGTTCCGGTGAGAGAGAGACAGAGAGAGAATAGTAGGATCAGCTTGCTTATACTGATAACTTGAATCTATTTTCAAGAAAGCGAGATGGGCAAGAGGAACAGACCAGTAATCCATTAGCATTTTCTTCAACTTGGCTTCAAGCCGGAGATACAAGGAAGACCTCTCAAAGTCCTGCTTATCATGAGCTGGTTCTATGAAATTTGCTTCAAGAACTCCTGGTAACATATTTGCTCAGCGTGTCTCAGTACCTCTCAAACTACATACAACTGTCAAATGGAATCGTGAAGGAAAAGCAGAATCATACCGACAACTCCATTCCCTCTCGAAGAACCATCCGGAGTTACTTTCCAGAAGGGCTGCAAGAACGAATCATCAAACAAAATGGTAACGATTTTGCTTTTTCTAGAAGCATGGCATTGCAATGACACAAGTATATGATTTCCACGAGCTGCAAGCTACCCTACAGGTTGACTGACATGCCATGTAGAATAGAAGAGCGAGCAAAACTGACATGGTTTACGAAATAAGATATTTTCAAGAAAGAAAATGGAGAAGAACAAAGATGGGCAATGCAAATTTTTCTACGAACACATACCCGGATGAGGCGGTTTTTGTGATAGACATTGAAACCACAAACTGAAAGTTTAGGTGCCTCCTTTATGAATCCAATCGTAACTTCAGATGCAACCTGTGACAACAAGTAGGAACAGGTTGATTCAGATTTATGCAACAAGCATAGAGAGAGTAGGAAGAAGGAAAGAAGGTATATGTTTTATATAACAGGCACATTACCTGTCCTACAGAAGCCATATGGGGCTTGTAAAATACAGTTTCACGATATCCGAGTTCATCAGCGATATTAAACTGCTCTACGGGTTTGCCTCGTAGAATGATTTTGAAGTTTCCGAACTTTTTCAGATACAACATTGAAGCATAAGCCTAAGGATGAAGAAAAAACAGAGGTGAGGCAGAAAAATATTCATGGAATAACAAATATGAAGAGAATATTTGCAAGATTACCCTCAGAGAGTAACGTAAGCGGTATGAAATATGAGATCTCAGCTCCGCGATTTTTATGTGCAGCCTTTTCACGTCTTGATTGGCTTCATCTCTGAGTCCGATATCCTATAACAAGAACAAAGTGCAGAACTTATATGCTTTAAAGCACAACCTCAGCACATGAGGCTTTTTTCGTCATTCAAGGAAGTGTACATACCTCATCATCATCATCAAAACTCAACTCGTAAATTCCTTCATCATTAAGCCACAAGTTGTATATTATTACTTTTGTTCCATGGGTACCGATGTCCTCAAACTGGTAAATGGATATAAATAGATTAATGAACAGACAAACTGAGAGCACACACAATCCGCCTGTTCTGAAGGATGAACTTATAGATAATTTGTATGAACAAAAAATGGAGCTAAAATACATCAAGACACCAGTTAAGGAAGAATGAAGACCTGCTGCATGAGCTCGTCCTTTGACGAAAAGGGAGACCACTTAAGAAGAGTTTCAAGGTCGGAAGACCAATCTTCCTTAGATCCATAGATAATTGGTTCTGGCCAATTGTTGGAAATATCAAAATCAATCTGCATCACAGTGTCCAGTTAGGTAAGCCAAGTTACCTCAAAGAGAAACCCCACATTCCTGAGTTCGAAAAAAAAAATTGTATTGAGCAACAGAATACTAATATGATGTGAACTAAAACATTATCTGAGCTGAAGAATTACCATAGGAACAATCACATCATCCTGTCCTGTTTTCCTCAGATATGTGTAAGACAGGAGACCGATACTCTGGGTGCACTTGCTGAAACAAAGACCAAAAAACAAAATGCGAAAGGTTGAAAGAGGATGATATTAAAAACTTGGAGCATATACATTCAAGATCAATCTATAATTCAATACCCTCCACGAGTTGCACGACTGAAAACGATGACATCAGCCCCAAGTCTCATGGTACTTGTCTTGAAGCCATTACCATCTGGCAGACAAACAAAAGTGAAAACATGGATGGAAGTAACTGAGTTTAAGACTAAGTGAACTCTGTCACAGAAAGCAGATATAAGGCCTAAGCAGAGGTGTTATATAAACAAGCCAAAAAGGCATAGAAATGAAATATAGCACTTACACTGCCCGATCGTTGTATTGGATTTCTTCGAGGAGTAACCTAAACTCATACATTTTCTGATCCCGTCAGGATCCATCCCGCCACCATCATCTTAACATAAACAAGAATTAGACGGACATTCAGGCTTTCAACATCATCCGAAGTCTCAGTTACATTGAGCATCACGCTTACAGACGTATGGATAATGTACCTAGAAAAACTAAAGCTGGAGAATTGTCTTTGGCGATATCGATCTTATCAACTTTGATGAAGGTGGCACCATTTTGTATCTGAAAAACCCGAGAAAACATGAATCGTACAATCTACAGGAGCTGAACAAAGCCAATCCAAGCAAAAGTATGGTCACACTAATATTGGCCTATCATAAAGATAATGGTAAAGCTTAACAATAATCGGCTTTAAAGTCACACCTCGTCAACCGCATTATCCAGTAGCTCAGCAATTGCTGCAAGATGCAGAAAAGTAAAATAATCAGCATCCATTTCTCACTCTATGGGCACAGTAGAATTAGAAAATCATGAGTTTATCTATCTGATGGAGCACTTTCGTGCTCCAAATTTCCGCAATTTGTATGTGCTTTACAAAAATGCTTCAGCATATGAAACTCACCTCCAAAAGCCCATTTGTGTGAAGTAGCATTCGAATGGAGAAACTTGGGATGAACACGAGCATGCTCCAGCAAACCTGCAGAATCTCATCCCATCAACACAACAAACACAAACCCATAAATACCCTGAGTTTGTTTGAGAGAGAGAGAGCGAGACCGGCGGCGGCGGGGGCGGTAGAGGTGGCAGCCACACAGTAATCTCCGGCCTTCCAGAAGCTCCGGCATTCTAGGGATTCCCGGGGAGAGACAGGCGGATGAATCGCACCGGAAACTCCACGTTGGTCCGTACACGCCGTGGTCGGAGCCGGTGTCCGACTCGGTAACACGGCGGAACCTCCTCCGTCATCTTCGTCGTCGCTATCGATCTGTATAACATCCGTCACAACGTTCTTCGCCTTCGGCAGCATAATCGACGGAATCCAAGGCGATTACAAAAGCGGGTCGGGCCGACCCGACGGCGAACAAGCGCGGAGCTTTCTATTCTACAAAGGGGAGAGAGAGAAAAAAAAAAGACACAAACAGCGTGACGTTTCACATTTTCGAGAAGGAACGATACGTTGTCTAGATTTAGTTGAAATATCATATCATGTTGGAAAAGCAAGGCGCTATCTACATTGGGCTTTCTTTTGCTTTCCGACCCATAATATTGGGCCGTATTGGGCCAGTTTCATACAGAATTTCTACCATCGTATTGGGCCGTATTGGGCTTGTTTCATACTCAGAATTTCCATGGTGGCTTTTTTGGCATTCTGCATCTTTTTTTTTTTTAGTTTTCTTTTTGTTTAAGGTTTTTCGTTTCAGTAGACGTAAAAAGATCCAAAACGTTCAAGCCTTCATTCCTTTTGTTAAGTGTAATTTCTTTCTGTGATATTTTTTTGGATAATATATTGAACAACAAAATCCGACACAATCTTTAGTCCAAACTGAGAAGGTTAACCCAAGAAAACAACAAAACTTACCAAAAAAAAAAATATCCAAGAACACTGGTATTGGTATACAAGGAATGCTCCTAGCGAAAACACCCAGAACTCGAACCCTAGAGTTGCCGGAAAATTGCTCCTCCTCCACACAACCACAGCGAATGGGCGGCACTGTCTTTGTTCCTGTGCCATGTGCAAAGGGCCGCATGAGTTCCGCTCTTTATCTCCAATCCCAAGCAGATAAACAAATTCAAGTTTCAGAATCAGATTGAAACACTCAGAAAGTTGCAGAAACAGAATCCAGTAAGCTTAGGAAACAAGTGTTGGATTCAGTTTCTTGGGCGACAAGAACCCTTTAACGGTCATAACATGCGGGAATCTGTTCTTCTGTGAAACTAGAAATGGTCGTGGCATGCATGTCTTAGATCAAATCAATGGCCTCCATTAAAAAGCTGCTGGTTTTTCTGTATAGCCACTTTGTGACCATGATGATCCCTGTGCGATCCCAGTGGATAGACTCGACAGTTTCACGTACAGCACGTGGCGAAACAAATCTTGAAAAAACATGCATGGAAAACATCCGAGAATCTTGTCCTAACATTCGAACAATTGGTTTCTTGTCATCTCTTTCGCTTTCTTCGCAGCGGAAAATGGCACCGAAATCTTGAATTATTAAGAGAATCTGTGCCCTTCCAACGTCAAAAGCAGCAGAAGCATCGTTTTTATTGGAATCTTTTGACAGTTTTTTTTCCCCAGCAGATACAAAGTGAAGATTCCTTTTGAAGACTTCCACTTATCTGATCACTAATGCTTTCTCTCTTTTTCTTCCCCCCAACGAATCTGTGGTTATATATATATGGACGTACTCAGACTGGAATGAGTTCGAGTGGTGTACGTTGCGTTGCAAAAAGCTCTGGAATATCTGGACGCATACGACCAACGAGCAAAGCCATGGCTTTTTTTAATGTGCTGATGTATTTGGATAAGAAAGAATCGTATACCCCTTTTGTCATCAAATAATGCAGTTTCTCTCTAGGGTTTCATCTTTTTGTCACAGAGAGAGAGAGAGAGAGAGAGAGAGAGACTAGTTTTGATGATCGTATTGAAACTGGAATCCAATTGAGTCGAATCACGGGTTAAATCGAGCCATGCATTTCATAACATACACACAAATCAATCATCAGAAAGATGGCAAGAACGTTTCCTCGTGGATGAAGCCATGCATGCAAAACATAATTAACATTGCTAAATATTGGGAAAATACCCATGAAAATATAGATCCAACAATATGATCGTTATGATTAAATCAAGTTGGATTTTGCATCTTTTGAACTGAATCATCCAATATACCAGAATAAAAAAAAAAAAAAAGGAACGAGAGAAGAGATGATAGCAACGTATCAACCATGACAATGTCTACTATAAAAACATTACAGCAAATTTTTCCAAACTGGTAATGCAACTTGCAAAGGAGTGCAGGATTTGGGTTCTTCAACAACACAAGTGGAAAAGGGAAAAAGAAGACGTGAAAACCACGTCGCATTGGTGAAACACACTATATAAAGCTCTGTGATACGGTGGGGGACAAAACACACTCAAACTTCTCTGAAATAACCTGACACCGGTCCTTCCAAAGAGTAAGATGACAACTTCATCCGAATCTGTCCGAAAGGTTTGGATCAATGAATGATAATACACTTACTGTTTTGATCCCCCTTAATCTGATGGGCGGCTTTTTGAGTCAGGGTCTGAGCAAAATGGCCACGAATCGGCTCCAGAAGGAGCTCATGGAGTGGCAACTGAACCCTCCTTCCGGCTTCATCCACAAAGTCTCCGACAATCTCCAACGGTACCTTTGATAATTTTCTGTTTGGTTTCTGGGAAAACTCCTGCAAAGGAAATTGAAAACCAGTTGCAATCTTTCAGTGGAAAAAGGTCAGATATTTGATTATGTTATGTTGCAACTTTGGTGGAAAAAAAAAAGATGGACCATTGAAGTGAATGGAGCTCCAGGAACTCTCTATGCCAATGAAACTTACCAGCTTCAGGTGGATTTTCCCGAGCATTACCCCATGGAAGCTCCACAGGTTCGGTTCGAACTCTACTCGTTTGCGTTTCAGATCTTAAATCCGATACCTTAAACAACCCGGGATGTTGCCGGAAAACAGGTTGTGTTTCTGCATCCAGCTCCACTCCATCCTCACATCTATAGCAACGGTCACATTTGTTTAGGTAACACACGATTACTCTCGTTCTCATTCAGAACTTGATAATCCAGTCTCGACATCTTGAATTCGTCTTTGCAGATATATTATATGACTCCTGGTCCCCAGCCATGAGACTGAGTTCAGTCTGTCTAAGCATTCTCTCCATGCTCTCGAGCTCATCCGTCAAGGTGTTTTTTTTGCTGCTTTTCATCTTTCAGGTTTTATGACATTCTTCGGTTCTTGCTTCTTTATGCCTCTGTTTTCTCGCAGCAACTGCCAAAAGACAATGACCGTTACATAAAGAACTGCAGAAATGGCAGATCTCCCAAGGAGACGAGGTGGTGGTTCCACGACGACAAAGTCTGATATGGTGTGAACATCTTTCCCATCAGCTTCCTTAACTTTTTTAGGGTTTCTGATGAATTAACAAGGAAGGATCAATCATGGATAAAACACCGATGATTCTCCCTGGATATGGCAATGTCCTGTGTCTTTAATCTGTCAATAGAACAAATCTCTGCTAATAGAACCAGTTTTCTGGTCTGGGGTTGAGTTCTTGACTCTCAATCTCAGCGGAAAAAAGGCCAAAAACCTAAGATCCTTGATCTGTATAATCACTCCCTAACAAAGATTGCATTACCAATTGTGCTCGTAAATCAACCTTAGCATTAACAACTCTCAATTTGCAACGAAGAAAAGCCAGAATTTTTTCACTAACTCGAATCATAAAGAGAAAAACATTAGACAAAACCCAATGCAATTCTCACCACCGATCAGTAATCCGTATGCTAAGGGAAAGAAAATCAGGAAGGTACCTACTGATCACTCCATAGCCCCTTCCCTCCTGCGCCGGAGACCCCCTTCCCGGCTCCGGCGCCCGGCATCATCATCGCCATCACCAGGCATCTCCCCGACGTCCAGATTCTGTCTCGGGGCCTCAGTCAGGTCCATGGCCTCCAGCAGCGTGAGATTCGAGAGCTCATCGACGATTTTTGAGACTCTCTCCGCCGACGCCACCGGCGATGAGTACTTCCGTGATTGAATCGAAGCCAACCGAGCAGACTTCGAGCCTGGATTGATGGATTTGAATCCGCGGGAAAAACGCGAGGAGGCGATTCGTAGATTCCGCATGGTTTAAGCTAAAGACCGATCAAATCTCACGGAGATCGATGTTAGCTCAGTCGAAGCTTGGATGGAGATATCGTGGCAGGCCATCCATGGCTCTGAACCTGAACTGGGCCTTACTATGAGATTGTGTAAGTTTTCAAATGGGCCTACTGGGTCATGAAATATTCATTTAAGCCTTATTAAAGGAGCTTTCTATGAATTGGGTCTCAAAAAGTTTTTTCTTGGGGTCGTGGTGGGAGCTCCAATTGGGATTTGTAGAAGAGCTTTATCTGGCCGTCAAAACTTCCTGGACCGCTAAATCATGAAATGGGCCTTACCGGGCCACCAAATAAGTAATTGGGCCTATGGAAAATGGACTATCCATTAAGTCTTCAAAATTAGGTCTAAAAAATATTTATAGTAATATATAATTTCTTTTTGTATTACAATAGCAAAAGCGATTTGTTATAATTCTTGTAAGATTGTGTTTGTGAAAACATTATATCTCAATTTGGAAATGTTATAGATTTTGTACAAAAAAATGTACAAATTCTAAGAGAATTAATTCATCAGTAAATTCCATCCATCTTTTCCCAACAAAAAAGTATTTTCCCCTTATTTGATGTTCACTTCGAAATTCATGTGGAGCCGTCCGGCCGTGGTGGTCTGGTGGCGTGGGAGCACAAAGTGTTTTCCCATATCCCAGGTTCGAATCCCACCGGAACAATCGCATAATAAAAAAAAATAAAAATAAAAATAAAAAAAAATCATGTGGAGCCCACCTTGATTTTTTTTTTTTTTTTTACAAAACTGAACACGTAAGTACCATCAATTATTGCAAGATACCTGAGATGAGGTGGTTTAGGGGCACAGTTAATTTTCCAATTTAGGTTCGGTCTCCATTTAGATTAGGAATATTCACACGGCTTGCAAGTTGATAAATTTTCGAATTATAAAAAAAATTATGACAATATGATAATTGTCTCTCTCAAATTAGATAAAATAAAAAATCGACAAAAAAATGTTTATCATGTTTTAACTTTTTCAAATTAGTTAAAGAAATCGACAAAAGTATTTATCATGTTTTTTAAAATGCACCAATTGTTGTTTCCATCGGCCGCGTATTTCTTTGCACATTGATAGCATTAATATTTCCTATTTAGTGAATTTATCGCATTATATTTCAACATTTAAGTTATATATTTAAGTTTTTTTATTACTAATAATGATAATAACTACTCTTTTACAATTCCACAGTCAAAACACTAGGATCGGGGGTAGCAACAACATCAACTAAGTCAGGGTGGTGCTCGAACACAAGCATGTCCTGTTCGGACATTGTCACCCACGCTTCGATCCCTTCTCCGTCTTTACCGTCAATGAGGTAGACCCGATTCGAAAGCTTCGCCAGTAACGGACATCCCGTAACAACCTTGACGATTGCAGAGGCGCAGAGTGGAAAAAGGAAGAAGAAGTTCTCTCTCTTGTCTATTTAATAATAAAAAATGTCCATGTACACAAGTCCCCTATATATATAATCTATTCTATACATATAACATGTATGTATGTAAAGAAAAGTAGAGAATATCATTGTCGAAGGTAGTTTCCTCGTTACTTCCTCAGCCGCCATTTGTCAGTTGTGTCTGTACTCTCCTTTTGTTCCCCTGATTCTTTGTCTCCTGTACCTTTACCATCCTCACGTGATTTATCCTCCAATATCCCGGAACGACCCAGACCGGTCGTCCCCATCCGAACTCCACCTCGTAAAACGGTAGACCACACCAACTGCTAATTGTAACGTATGTTCCCGCTTCCGCCATTGTTTCCGACAGCATTTTCACAGCCAGATCCTTCATCTTCTCCCTTCCCTTGTCCACCCCCTTGAAGATTTTCCTTAATCTTCTCTCTCACTTCCTCTTTCTTTCTCCTTATCTTGGCTACAAGCTCGCATATTTCCATCTCGCTTTCGGGTCCTTCCGCCACTGTAACCACTGCCAGAAGGTTCCCTATCATGTTCCACATTAACTGAGACCTTCGTCGTAAATCCACAGCTAGGGTCATAGCGGATGGGCTCGCCTTTGTTGCACATTTCCAGATAAATGATGTGATGGCTTCGACTCGAGTCGGGTTATGCACGATTTTGTTTTTGCTTGCAAATCTCTGTTTTAGCTCTGCAATCTTTACGAATCTCTTCGAGACAAGACACATTGTTTTGGGATCAGAATACTCGTTTCTTGGATTCGAGAATCGAAAGAAGAGGTCGTCGGCGAATTCAGGAGGGCTCGTTGAATGGTCACTCTCTCTAACAATACCGGCCCACTCGTTGACGAATGTTGATAGCGAGGATGCATCGAATATCTTGTGAGAAACGCAGACCACGATTGGCAGGTCTCGGGATCTAAAGTAAGTCACTTTAACTTTCAACAATGGCAATCTCTCTGGAGGATCTCCATAGATGAAAGAATCTGACGGACGAATTTAACGACAGATTCGTGAATCGGGTTTCTCAGAATTTCCGAGAGGAGGAAATCAGTCCGTGCCTCTATAAATAAAGCTCCCGCGTCGTTACAATTGATGGATACGCCTTTGAGTCGTCCAGCAAGCGGATAGAAACGAGTAAGAATCTCGGACAAAGACTTCTTCAGCCTCAAGGAAACGACCTCATCGGAGGTGACACGGTCATCTCCGCTGTAGAAGAAGATTTCGACTACATACATTTGAGGAAAAATGATATCGGCAAAAGAAAGTCGAAAGGCTCGAAGACGATCTGGTGTCGGTGAGGCTGGTTTGATCACTTCTTTCCCGATTACCTCTACTTCCATCGCCATCTTCGTTACGACAAAAATCTTTAGGACAAGAAACAGAACGGATGGATCAAGAAAAAGGGCAACAGCGGCGAAGAAACATAAACAATGTGTTCGAAAGAGAAGGCTTGATCCATCTATTTATAAAACACACACAGATGGGATTCAAGAATGCGTCAAGAACGATTGAATAATCAAAATTTGTGTACCACGAGGCAATATTGAGTCAACTCAGAATTAATAACTAAACCCTCAACGAATTCCTAACCCTTTATAAAACGCATTCCATTCACAGTTATCATCATCGATTTTGGAAGGGAATGTCCAAAGTGTTGTTTGGTGCAGGAATACAAAACTATGAACATTTCAACCACTGCTCATAAGAACGTACCTATCGACTTCGGGTCATCGAGGAAACGAAAACCCTTTTCTCGGTGCTTATTCTACGGATGATTTTCTCGGAAACGGGTTCTAGAAGGGTAAGAAACAGTTTTCTTCATGAAGCCAGCACAGTTGAAAAAGAAGAGGAATCAAGAATTCTTCAGATCGCACCGTAAGTTCTTTCGTTTGTTCTGCGCGTTGGTTGAGTGTGAGAAGCAGGGGGTCTCTCCCACGAGACTTCGTTAGCGAAGGCATTGTTGATGTCTTCGGGTCTCGAGTAGTTCTGTCCAGAGGAAGAAGCTCCACTCACCTGTTTCCATGCACTGTATTAGATCCATGTATAAGTAAATACCGACATTACTGTATTTTTTTCTCAATGATTTCTCGAAGCAATCGAAGATATGATTTTTCGTTTTGCAGAGCTTCCTAGTAACTGCAACTGGTTTAGCAAACATCAAGAAAGTATGTGTCCTGTTCTCACCATGAAACCCTGAGACAAGAATGAGGTATACGTACAGTTTCTAGCAAGGCTGAAAGAAGAGAAATGCCGGGCAATGCATCAATCCCATGCTGCATCAGGACCAGATATAAGTAATTGCGTATGTATATGTGTATGTGTTTTAGTGTCTGAATGTGAAAAACGGCCGAAAAAATAAATGCAAATGAACGCTCAAAAGCCTACCGATCGTTCTACTCGTGTCTTGTAAACAAATCCTCCACAGCAGAAGAGAATAGACGCAACGAGGAATCTGATCAAAAGGCAAAAGATTGAAAGGGTTGAGGGAAAATATGCAAGTAATTGACATGTCAATAAGGTTGAGAGAGAGAGATTTCCTTACACGCAAGAAAATACTCCAAAAATGGCCCACCCCTTTGCAGAACCTCCTTCATCACCCTGTCGGTACTCTTGAGAAAAGAAAATCGAAAAACGAGAGAGAGAGAGAGAGAGAGAGGGAGAGAGAGAGGGGGGGAGAGAGAGAGAGAGAGAGAGAGAGAGAGATCTCCATGAGAAAAATGAGAAATATCAACTAAGAAGACAACGGTATGGAAAGCAAAGGCAAAGTTATAGCTTAAGCTCACCGCATATTTTCGTGAGGAAAAATTCGATGGGCCCATAACCTTCCACTGGGATGGTGACATTGACTTCATATGGAGTTTGCCGAGATTTCTCACCTTCAAGAAGGGGGGGGGGGGGGGAGAGAGAGAGAGAGAGAGAGAGAGAGAGATCTCCATGAGAAAAATGAGAAATATCAACTAAGAAGACAACGGTATGGAAAGCAAAGGCAAAGTTATAGCTTAAGCTCACCGCATATTTTCGTGAGGAAAAATTCGATGGGCCCATAACCTTCCACTGGGATGGTGACATTGACTTCATATGGAGTTTGCCGAGATTTCTCACCTTCAAGAATCAAGATTCAAGAAAAGTTCAAGAGTTTGTGAAGAAAGATTAAATCTATGATGAAATGCAAGAGAGAATGCATACATTTCCAATCAAGTACTAAAGTTGTCGGTGATAGTGTTGTTGGGTGATTTCCGGTTGATGAAGAGCCCGATAATTTCACTTCCAGACCATTCTCCGGGAAAACCTGGCCAATGGCTCAACTCAACTCAAAGAAAATTACGAGTTATGAATAAACAAAAAAACAGATGTCAAGCAAAAAAGATCAATACCTTGATGATAGGCTTTCCCACTGATGAAGAAAGAGACGCAACCGCAGTCATATAGAGGGTCAGATGAGTTTGTTCGGTGCTGAAGCTGCAGATCACAGTGAAACGGAAAACTTCAGGTAGTGAACTATAAATTAAACTAACTCAAGAAGTTTTAGGTCCGATACCTAAACTCGCGATGAGGTTTCTCAAATCCTAATTGCGTCATCCCGTTATAAACCTGAATGTCAAATGCAAAACAGAGTTGCCTCATTTTTGTCCAAAGTGGGTTCAACACAGAAATATTTACCAGAACTTGAGTATGATTCTCTTACGATTTCCCATGAGCGAGGATGGAATCCAACCGTGAAGCCCTTAAACACCCGTGGACCAGGTTTCTCGCATGGAATCGCTAAATCAACAATAACTCTGAACCATTGCAAAAAATAAAAAATAAAAAAGGCAGGACCGGAAGTAAGATCTGAGAAGGCGATTCACCATATTCTTGAACGGTAAAAAAGAAAATAAATCGGAATTATAGTATAAGACCTGCAAGTTGAATCATTGGTAACACTACAGATGCATCCAAGTCCACCTGATAAGGAAAAAAAACAAAAGTGACCGTTGTTGATTTATATTTATTCACATAATCAAACAAATAATTGTGACAATCAATAATGTCAATATATACATATATATAATACGCCAATATCTTGCACAATGCGCGTCTTTCGTTTTCATTCCTTTTGGTTATGACACAACACCATTCCCCTTTCAAACTGAAATGCTGCAAAATCATTTTCCTAATTCATATTAATTTTGGGGAAAATGTATAAAAAATCCATAAATTCGTATACTTCTTTTATCTAAAAAACCCCCATGTACCGCCATTTAATTTTCATCGGTTAGATATATACACGAATATTGTGATAACATGGCTAATCTTATGAAAGCAATCTTTTTATGTATCGTATCATTAATCAAACAAAAGTTTAACATGAAAAATATCCAATAGTTCGGAATAACAATAATAACTCGCAATTTAGGGAATAGAAACAAACCTTTACACCGTCCATCACTACAGTTCCCGCATACGATATTCACCTGACATTTACACCGAGACCGAGATCCAGGTCCAGGAGAAAATTACACAATCATAAAGAGATGTATTTAGGTACAGAAGCAAAGAATAAGAGAGAAACCATCCTCGTGGGTAAGAACTTTGAAAAGCTTCCACTATAAAATGCTTTTACAGAAACCTAACCTGAGCGGTACGTCCTAGTTTGTCATAACTCAGCTCACAATTCGTCAGGTCACCATGGTAGAACCCCTACATGTATAGAAAGAGCTTAGACATCAAGATATATACAGACACTCCATAACAAATCCATGGATGAAATCAGACGAGTGCAAGATCTCAAAGGCAAGGTGATACCCCCGTGTCCCAAAATCCCAACTTCAACATCTTATTGCAATAGTGCAATACAAAAGAGAAAAGGGCACTTACCTGAACAAAGTCAGCATTCCCTGAACCCGAAACAAAGTAGCTTAACGTATCAAATCGTCCAAAATCTACATAACCCTGCACAAAATGTGATGTTTGCTTCCCATGAAGATACCCAGAAACAGCAAAACGGACTGATTTACAGTGAAACTTGCATTATCTAACAAAGTTTTCATTATCTTTGTAGATCTTGCATTCTCTAGGTGTGGCAACAAGAAAAAGCACATGACTGAGAACTTGAGTTCGATGATATGAACTACCGTTTGAGATCTAGTCTCAACATCTTTGCAAAATCTGACCACCAAATCCGATTCCTGCACCAGGAAAATCAACAGTATCAAAGTCAAATCCTTTTCATCTGTTACATTGAAAAGGAAGACCTACATTGTAGAAATGGATATTATTACCTTCCCATCATACTCAAAAGGGTGCCCAATCCAGCTGCTCTATTCAACAAGTTAAGAGAAGACAGCTTCAAGACAAATTTGCGACAAATGCAAAGAAAGCACGTTCCTTTCGCTTCTTTATCAACAGATTACTAACACCCACAGGAGAAATCACCAACAGAAGGAAGTTTTTTTTCCTCCTCAACACAATCTTAAAAACAAACGACACAATACAAAAAATGGAAAGAAGAAAAAGGATACGAAGTCAACAAGACGACTGGAGTTGTCAAGGGCGTAGCAGTTGGTACTGGGTACCGCTACAGATGCAACACCAGACGCTCCAAACACAACAGCTGCAAAAGTAGGTCAAACGTTGGCATTAAGCCTGGGAACAAGAAAAGAACAGAATGGGCACTTTCACCAAATTCTCAGCGAGCTTACCAGAGATCAACACAAATCGAATGAAATCTGAAAGGTGCTCTCTTGATGGGCACCGACGCAATCCCTGCATAGTTTCGAATCTCAATCTAGCTTGAGTTATTACGGTTAGTAGCCTCGGCCTGGATTTGGATTTTCTCCTTCGTGGATTGATTCAGGAAACAATTGGATAAGGGTTTTCGGGAAAGTGTAAAAGTCGGAAACTTTTATCGTCAGACACGACCGGAATCACCTCACCGGCGATCAACGAGAGACATTTCTTGCCATCGTCTCTCATAACTTCACGTGCTAGTTTGTTGTCCCTAAACCCTCTACCTCGGTCAGAAGCTTCTGTAGTTGAATTGTTCCTGTTTTGTCCTTCGGCTAATTCTCGCATGTTCTGTCCCCACCGACTTGTTCCATCTTTTTCACTCGAGGAAGTCCGGCACGGCAGAGTACCGAATTTGGATTCAGGACACCGTTGTGATTCCACATTAAACAAATGTGTGCCGTCTTTAATCATGGAAAACAGAACGCAATGCAACATCGCTTCGAGCGAATGGCGTGCATGTTAGTTCTTGCGAGCTCCCCCACCTCATTCGGTATTCCGTGCATAAAATAATCGTGGTACGGATACACATTTCGAATAATTTACTTCGACCTTAAAAGACAATTATCGTCCGTAGTTTCATATGCAGTTGCGTAAGTAAAAACTAGAAAAGTGGTTTCATATGTGATATATATTATTTTACAAAAATACCAAAACCATATTTTCAAAACAGTATGGGAAAAATCAGAATGACCCAAATGAAAATAATACCCAGATAAAAAATCATCTTATAGTTTTGTTGGTAATATCTTTAAATAAAAAATCATGGTTTTTAATACATCTATACATGTACATATATACATATTTATATAAGTTGCCTTACCTAATAATGTCCAATGTCTTACTCAAAATGTGGTAGACGGTTCTTGGCGATGATATCATTTCTGTCCGTTGATTTATATATATATATCTTTTTGGTAAGATGTGAGTTGTTGATTTATATTTATTCACATAATCAAACAAATAATTGTGACAATCAATAATGTCAATATATACATATATATAATACGCCAATATCTTGCACAATGCGCGTCTTTCGTTTTCATTCCTTTTGGTTATGACACAACACCATTCCCCTTTCAAACTGAAATGCTGCAAAATCATTTTCCTAATTCATATTAATTTTGGGGAAAATGTATAAAAAATCCATAAATTCGTATACTTCTTTTATCTAAAAAACCCCCATGTACCGCCATTTAATTTTCATCGGTTAGATATATACACGAATATTGTGATAACATGGCTAATCTTATGAAAGCAATCTTTTTATGTATCGTATCATTAATCAAACAAAAGTTTAACATGAAAAATATCCAATAGTTCGGAATAACAATAATAACTCGCAATTTCCATATTCATGAAAACAACAAAAAGGCATAAACTAAAATAAGAGAAAAAAATAAATTTAAAAGATAAAGACTAATTAATTAATACATAATGATATCATTAGCCATGATGGGTTGGTTGGCGTAAACGGATCCACTCCAAGGATTCAACACACTCAACGTGTCGTCGTAGAAACCGTCGTGAATCCCCACCGTCCGATCATCGAAACCACAGCCGTCGATCATGGCCTGATCGTTGACGCCGTCACGGGACATGTTCGTGTTCGCCGTCAAGAAACGGATGATGTCGTTGAGAGACTGAAGCCTTGTGTTGAGCTCCGAGAACTGAGCGTTGAGAACCGAGTTCTCTGCCTGGACCTTCATGTAAAGCTGTGTCGTGACGGTGAGGCTCGTCATGATCTGACGGTTGTCGTTCGTCAGCTGATTGATCTGAGCCGTCAGATCGTCCAGTTGCTTCTGCTTCCGCATCCGTGATCTTCTCGCCGATTCCCTGTTCGACACCATTCTCTTCCGCTTCCTCTCGTCCACGACGGCGCCATTGGAGACAGGGCTCGAGCTCCGGTATGTGCTACTAGAAGATGCCATATACAACACGACCCACCAAAGGTAATACAAAACCCAGATGAAAAGTTTCTCCTTTCTGTTGTTTCTAAAAAGGTTGTTTGCTATTCAGTATATTAGATCTTAGATTCACCACTGGTAAGAAGAATCAGAAAACAAGGGGGAAGGAGTTCATGAGACGTTGTAGAACCAGTAGAGGAAGACGACGGAGAAGGATTGAACGAGGTGAGTTCTGCGGTGGAGAGAGGATTCTACCATAAAACCAGAGAGGAGGATTTCACAGAGAACCGGATTCATGAGTTCCGATCATCCAACAGCCCGATAATATGCGTTCGTTCTTCTTCGGACAGATTTTGTTTTGAGATCGTAAAGACAGATCAGAAGATGACGAGGTTTTTTCTTGTTTGGTTTGTGTAATGGAGGAGAAGAAGACGAAGGGAGGGATGATTAGGATGAAGGCAGAGGAGGTGACACTGGAGAATTCTGGAGATAAGGGGGAGAAGTTCTTGTGGTGGAAAAAGGGAAAAGGAGATGTTGAATAGAGTTGCCTCTGGATTTTGTAGAACCATATGCTGCTGCCCTTTGATTTCATTTTTTTTAATTTAATTATTTCAGAAAATAATTGACGAGACGCGTTACTTATTTTGATTTATACGAAATAAATAAGATAGCGTAGTAAAAAAAAATATATAATTTTTTCTCTATAATTTACAGTCTAGTTGAACATGAATTATTATATATATATATATATGCTATTTATACTATTTTTTTGTAAAAAAAATGAGTTTATGGTTTTTGGAATATAAAACAACATAAATAAGTTTCATACTTATCATTTTTGTTTCTCTATACGTTACAATCTAGTCCAAAACAATGAATGATTATGTGCACATTTTAAATATATACTTTATATAAATGGAAACTCTAGATTTACAAATTTACCCGTTTTGGTACGCTTGATTGAGAATCCCGTGGCAGATCTGGACCGTACAGGCCACGTGCGGTGTGTCAGAATTTGCATCAGCGGCTCTCATTTTTCTTCAAATATATATATAAAAAAATTAAATGGAATTTTCGAAAAGAAAGCAGAAAAGGTTAAAGCAGTGGGAGGGTGACAGACGGACCACATGCGTCAATCGGTCATTCACAGCTATTCTGGTAATTTCTTTTGCCATATTTTTCTAATTATTTTATTAATTAATTAATAAGCGATGTAAAACTCGACCCTAATCAGTGATTAAAAGACTAATATGCTCATTAGCGTCAGGTTAAACTCAAAAGCAAAGACCTTTCCATTCCTTTTTCTTTTAAATTGGGTCAGAGATTACATCAATAATAATAATAATAATAATGGAATATTCCTTAGCTTTTGCATCTGCCAAAGGTTTTCTTTGTCACAAAAAAAATTTGATACAAATTACCTCATGATGTAAGTGATGGAGAATATTCGAAGATATGATTGATTAAATATTTGAATTATAATGTTTAAGGACAATTCAATGTGGTCACATGTCTTGCCATTATTGGATTTAGTATCATCTTTACATTATTTAAGATATAAACGATTCGTAGGTCAAAATTTCCGGCAAATTAAACAAATTATAAAGGTTTTTTCTTCTTTTTTTTTTCCTCGAATCAAATTAGAAACTTACAACGAATTTCTTCGGCCGACAAAACAAAACTATCAAAATGTTCCGATATTCATCATATTTTTATACCCCTAACTATGTTATACAAATCGAACCAAAACGTCACAAAAACATGGAATTTCTGATTAGAGATTCAAATAAAGGTTATGAAAACAAAATCAGAAAATCTCTCGTTGGATAAGTTTATAATGAATTTTAGCTTCCTCCGTTACAAATATTATCAATATTTTAATCAACCGATGTAATATAAATATGTGAAGAATAGATTGAAAATTAACTTAAATGGTCTTTATTTTCAAAGAGGTATTTACAAGCTGATAACCAATTGTTCTAATATCTACAAAAACAAAGTCAAGCGAGAGGTGCAAAATATATTAATTTGTTTCAAAGTTAATGGTTTAATAGAAATTGCCATTGTTTACAAGTCATGGGAGGCAGATGGTGTTTCAAATATTGCAGGCTCAAATAAAAGGTCTCTACTTCATAACTAAGTAAAGCTTTGAACTGGATCCAATTTTAAATTTTAATATATATATACACACACACACACACTAAAATAATGGTATACAAATTAAATTCAAATTTATTATAAAATTACTCAAACTATTATTATATTTTTTTTAATAAAAGCGAATTCCAAATGAGTCAGCGTATAAACAAAATGAATAGAAAACTTTTAAAATTGAAAAAAAAAAATGAAAAAAGCCATATTTCTAAAGATGATAGGCATGTGCTCATATCTAAAGCCAGTCGATTCTCTGAATCATCAAAGGTTAAAGAAAGAGAATCTTTTACTCCCTTTTATCAACAACCAAAAGCCAACGTTAGTTAGATGGCTCATTATTTCAGATTCCTGAGCTTCTCCTCTTCATTTCTCTTTGGAAAGACCAGTGGACAGTCCCCACATCCATCTATGGTTTATGATTCATAAAATCGTTTCACTTATAAAATGGCGAGTGGGAATATGGGTAGGAAACATAATTTATATTAGATTAGCATGGACCCACACATCAACACTAATAAAAACATGCATACACAAGAACAAAACTTGTCTCTTTTGACGTTTTCTTGAACAAAAAACACAAGGAGTTTGGCTTTTACAGAAGGATTCGTTTGACGGAATGATTTTCACTGATTAGGTTTTCCTCCGGCGTTTTGGCTTTCCTTTTTTCTTCTTTTGTTCCTCACCAGATGAACTGCAGAAGCAAAGCCAAAGACTAGAGTCAAAAATTGAACATGACAAAGAGGTTGGAGTAGGCGCCGGTCCGGAACCCCGGTTTTTGGGTACACCTACGAGTTTTATCACCCAAGTATCTCGGTCTCGGCTTCACGAGACTCGAATACCCATGACTAACAATCGGGTTATCCGCGGGTACCCAAAACCCGCGAAAACATGCGCAATTTCCTATTGAACCGGGTTGATCGCCAGGGGTATATACACGTCATTTCGTAATCAACTTAAAATAGGCTGGATACTATCGTAGTCAACTTAAAATATCAGGGGTATAAACGTCATTTTGCATGTCGGCGCGCACTGGCGGATATCATATAACTGCCATGCGACGACAAAGCTCGAAATCGAACCCACAGTCCGGATTCCTCATCTCGTCCCACCAATACTCGGTTTCTTTCACTGCCAAGTACCCGTATTTCGGGTACCGTGACACAAACCAGCGGGTATCGGTTTTAACGTCCGCCCATGCAAAAGAGGTGATTGTAGGAAGTGGAAGAGGCTTTGGTTGTGGAGCCAAACACTTACCAGCTTATTCTTCTTTTTCTTCTTCTTCTTCTCGATATATGCCATGAGCTCCTCCTGTTGGCTAAGAGAATCCTCCAAAGCCTGGATAGACAAGGCAAACCGAGTAAGCCTCGTGTATGTTTATTAACCGTCATGAAGAGTGTTTACGAGATTGGTTTTATTGTAACCTTCTTGGTCGAGGCGAGCTCTTGCTCCAAGACATCAGCCCGGGTAATGGCAGCATTCAGCATTTCCTCCTTCTCCGGTGGCATGGCTGTTGGCTGCATGCTCAAAGACGTCACTTTCTGCTCGAGCTCAGCCATTCTTTTCATCACGGCCATGAACTCCTCTCCCGAGATGGGCGGCATATCCAATTTCTGCGACTGCATCGCACTTTTGTTCATTGATTCGTCATCACAGTACACAGGGCTCGAGTAAATGGTGCCCTCTGTTAGCTTCTTGGGAATGTTCCTGGTCACTCTAATCATGGTGGCCACACCCATCACAAAAGCCACGACCCCATTGAAAATGGGAGATCCTGCTTCTCCGGTAGTGCCCTTGCAAGCCTCCTGAATGGCACAGACATCTCCTGCAGGAAGATAAGACAAGTTTTGAGCTCACATGACTTAGCTACGAGCATAACCAGCTTCTTTGATGTGTTTTTGGTCGGGCCCGGAAGTTAGCCAGCCACATATCTATCTGTCTTCATTCCTATACCTTTTTTCCCGAAGAAAAGTTTTCCAGCCCTCATTCTATAATACCCAACAAGTTCACATTCCAAACTTCTGAATCGCTGCAACAACAATCGGGTAGCAAAGGGATGCAGAAATCACCAAATTACCTTTTGAGAGTTCAAATTTCTGACCATCTGAAGTGTTCCAGACTGAGTCCACAGTCTTATCAAACCCTGAAGCAGACACTGGGCCCTGATTTGGGAAACAGAAACATGGAATATATGTCAAATTAATTGTGAAGTACATTGGTTGGTTCACCGAACAACTGATCTGACAGCAAGAACCTGGAACATCAATAAGATCATCCTTCTTACATTTTGATCGGGAGAGGATTGTGGGTGCTCTATGTTGTCTCTTGAAACCTTTTCCTCTTTCGGAGAAAGTTCAGCTGTAGATTTGTTTTCCTGGAAAATCATGTAGAAGAGATTAGCTAATAGTGGACGGATTGATGAAATAGCCAAACAAAAACAAATCCAGTATTGGATTGTCAGGAAAGAGCAAATTATTGGAGATGCCCATAAGATTGAAGAAATACCTTGGAGTGAAAGATCTCATCCTCGGAAATGGTCTTCTCTGTAGCATTTTCAGCTTGCACTCTCTTTGAGCATTTGTGATGACCGTTTTGAACACCCTGTAACGGTACAAGTAAAAGTTCTCATTGATTTAGTAGATGGAGTAAATTATTAGACAAAAAGAAAAGGACCATTCACCTTCATGATATCTGGGTCATTCCATGGACCCTTGTCAGAGCGCATGCAGCCTCCTTTGTCAGAACAGGTACAACTACCTCCAAGAAACTCGGGAAGCTCACTGGTAATAAAGTAAGATAACAAGTCAGTCTTCAGTAGCATGTTTGATAATATATCTTAACTTGCATTGGATGAATAGGAATGAGAAAGGTTGATCCTCTTTAGGTAAAAATCTCCACAAAACTCACCTAGCATCAATAATTTCAAGCAACTTGCTCTGGTATTTGTTGCCAAGAACCTGGTGAAAAACCCCAACATGATTAATTGCAGCATCTTCATGCAAGAAAAACAGTAGAATAAGCAAAAAGAGGTAGAAAACTTGCATTGATCTTTGCTGTGGTTTTTGGGTCAAGGAAGGACTTAACAGTGTTCCACAACATTCTGAATCCCGAGCCAGCATTGATGATAAACATCCTGTTCAAGGTCTGTTGCAGAAGGCAGACATTAACATTTATAGCTATCACACAAATACACAGATCTTGACCAGCCCAAGAGCTATTAGCGAGACGATATTGAGAATAAGAACATAATCTGCACCTCGGGATAGTTGTCGCCATCAACCTTTTGAAGACGAGTAATCAAATCCCTTGCAGCTTTGTTGAAGTTTTTAAGTCCCTGATACACCCATCTCATCATAACCATCGAAGTTCATATGGGAGAACATGTTACGATAACAACTAGCATGACCAAACCCCATAACCCACCATTTTGATTTTCGATTAGAAATGAAAAAGAACAAAGACGGGTAAATCAACAAATTTTCTAAAACAATTCAGTTTTTCTGTTGAATTTGTTAGTTTTACGTACCACTCCTTGCACATCGAGGATGGTTGTGCTTTGATCAATGTGCTTCTTTGCTGCAATAGAGCATGCTGGAAACTTAACGTTAAAGGTCCTCTCGAACTCCATCACGTGGTACTTTACATATCTGTCCATGGTTGTGACTTGCATCAACTTGGTAGAATCTACTTGACCTAGCCTCTCAATGTACACTGGCCGTCCATCTTTGTCAACTCCATGGTGTCCTTGTGGGTAGTATTTCAAGACTTCATCAATTTCCTTGAAATCAAAATCCTTTGGATATACAACAAAGAGAAAACATTAGCATTAGAGGACCAAGTTTCCAGCAGTTGTTGAAAACGTAAGGTTCCTAGAAATAAATACCTCCACTATAGAGTCGGCCCCGAATTCCTTCCTCCATCTAACCATGTCAGACCACATTTGTTTCGTTTTCTCGAGGTCAAATTTTCTGGCCTTCAAAAATCTGTGCAAACAGAACATGAAAAACTTCAGAAGCAAAGCATTATAATGGATATACACTTGACTGATACATCTATGCGCCAAAACATAAGCACATACATAGATGTATTCCATAAATATGTAGCTAAATAACAGAAAAAGAGAGAGGTTAGGATTACCTGAGCATCATGTGGTAGTCGTCATGTTTATCTGGGAGTAATTCATCAAGAATAAGTGCCTGACGAAAGGCATCGACAGCCTTCAACTCCTCAGCATCATGCACATCCTCGATATCAAAATCAACCGACATTACTTTACTACTTCTCCTCCTCTTTGTCAAAGAAGACCTGAATTTGGAGGAGGCTCTCTTCTTCAGAGAGCCCATATTGGGCTTCTCCCCCAGGACTTCGGCATCTAACAATGGAACATAACATCAAGAACAAGAACTCCGACGAGGGCATACAAAAATTGAATGGGACAAAGACAGGATTAGAAACAGACCTAGCTTGAAAGACATGGTGTCGGTATTACTTTGGCGGATATGTGGATAGGGTAGAAAAGGGCAGACGGGATTGAACACTCTTTACAAGAGTGTCTATATAACCAAGGTCCTTGCCAAATGCCTGCAAAAATTCATAATTTCAGCTTAAACATACAAATACAACCCCAGAAACAACAGAACACGACCAGTCTTCCTAGCGAACATCAAAATGTAATCGAGCTTGTATGCTATCTACTCCGGATAAATTCCAACAGAAAGAATTGGAATGGAAAAGAGAATATGATCCCAAAAACTCACATGGATTCAGATCAAGGAGAAGGCAAAGGGACCAAATTCAAATCCATATCTTTTAAAAGCAATGTTTTAAACACATAACATACACCTCGTTATTGGAGAAAGCCATTATCGTGTTGAACAGGGGAAACGTCAAGATGAAGAACAACAAAGCCAAACTCGATTATGCATTATAGAAATCAAATGCACAACAGAATCTAATCACAATGCAATCTAGCAGAAAAGGGAAAAAAAGAATATAATCCCCAAACTTAGCCGTTTCCAAAAACCATCCGCACAAATTCGTATCAAGGAACAGCTTTCGAGCCCATGATTTCAACGCAAAACAAAGTGGTACAGCGACAAATTTCGGATTCCACAGAACACAGAAGCAACTCAGTTCTACAACGAACAACGAATCACGGTGATTCAACTCCGAAAACAAATAGCACAATGATTGGTTACGATGAACTCAGGAAAATAAACGGAGAGAAAGAGGGGAAGAGAGAGGGAAAATTACCTCTGCAAAGAGGAAATGGGAGGAGGGAGAGAGATAAAAAGGAGAGGGAAAATGGTCCGAAAATCTCTCAGCGTCATTCCGTTTTGGATTGATGGCTCCGAGAATGCAGAGCTTCCTCCACCCCATATTCTCTGTGTTCTCTCCTTGACCCACCTTTGGTTTCCATCTTTCCATAGTTACACTTTTATCCAAAACGGAAATCGGAAGGGACGATCGGGAAAATGATCTGCTGCTTCGCGCGCGCCTGCCTTACAATGCACCAAAGTCAGTGTTGAGAGACTCTGTTTCTACTGAAAGGTATTCGTAGTTAAACCTAATCAATATCTTAACCTTGATTTTCGCCAACAAAATTTAGGTACTAATTATCTAAATGCATCTACGTATTTTTTCTTTATTTTCAAAAGAGTTTATTGAGAAAGGAATCTTGCGGTGCAAGGAACATGGTGCCAAAATTGCTTTGATCGTACACTGAGGTTTGGAGCTCAAAGCAGGGCCCGCCATTAATGGCGGAAAAAAAGAAGTGGGAAGATGAGATAAGCAAGTTGATGAATGGAGAAAGAACGGTACAAGAATCAGCTATGAACAGTTTCCGGCATTGTATCTGAGTACCCATGTTGTCTGAATCTTCCATATAATCCAACTCTTTGTGTTTCAACATATCCCTCGTAATCCAAATGCCGCCATCACAGAGAAACTCCAGAGATTTGGGTTTTCAGCTTTCAGACCTTCAGAATCTCTTCGGCCAATCTCTTCAACGACTCGCAAACTTTGAGAAGATCGGATTCCGAATGAGCAGCCGATACGAACAGTTTGATTCCAACAGGTAACCTGCATTTATCACGCAACGATCTTTTCGTTGTTGCGATAAGCACGGAATCTTCCTTCAGAACCTGCGGAAGAGCATCATCCCCATAGGAAATCAGAAACTCAAAAAATGCAGCACCAAGTCCCCGGAAAATGGTACTTACACGACCCGATATTTCTTCGAGTGCAAGCAAATCATCCTTCTCTGAACCCGTAGATTTCTCTAGCTTTAGGAACACAATAGCTGATTCCGGGTTGCTCGATAATGACAGGCCCTTAATGCCCGACAATCCTGCCAGTTCCACAAGTTTTGGGATAAACTTTCAGAAAAAGAAACGGAATCAACGAAAAGTCGCTCACTTGCGGAATAATCTGATATCGGATCAAAAGACACCACCTTTCCATAGGGTTGTGATGTTTTGCTTCAGCTTAAGTAACAGATTAGGGTTCTCTTCGATGATATCAATGGCGGTAATAGCAGCACTTGCAAGGTAAGGCGGTAAAGAAGCCGAGAAGACATACCCAGAACTGCTGAGTCTCTGTCGCAAATGTGTAGACAGAGGCATTGGAATGTGAGAATCAAAAAGGATTTTAAGCAGTGAAGTTTTTTCGGGTACTTTTGTTCGTTCATGATTACTTTTGTTAACGTGATTCCAGATACCTGGTAATCGATTACTCGAGCATTTCCCGTGCAGAATCCACCTTCAGCGGCTAACGCATGACCCATTGCAGCAGTGACAAGGTCTATCTTCTCAATCTGTCCGCAAAAAAAAAAAAAAAAAAAAAAAAAAAAAAAAAAAAAAAAAACAGAAGAAATCATCAGCATGGATTTTAGAAACGATAATCGCTACAAGGGCATTGTTCGTACGCACAGGAACACCGTGGAACTCTGCAAGACCTCTTCCAGAATGCCCGAGAACACCGAATGAGTTGCTCTCATCCAAAAGAAGACGAAAAAAGTACTTCTCTTTCAATTTTACTATCTCATCCAGAGGAGCTATCTGACCAGAGTTCTGCAGGGTTTTACACAAAGAATGCGATAAAAAGAATCATCAACATCATATGATTCAAGGAAAGAGTTGAATTTGCAAGCAAAGGAAGAAAAATATCGGCTTTTTAATGATTATGATACCTGATAAACAGCTTCAACTACGATGTAACGCCTCAGTTTCTTAGCACGCTTATTCTTAGTCATGATTTTCTCGAGGGTGCTACGGAGGGAGTCCATGTCATTGTGCTTGAAGTATACAATTGTACTTCTCGAAAGCTGAAGCCCGTTTTGTATTCCCCAGTGAACACCCTCATCGCTATAAAGCAACAAGAACAAGATCAACCCTTATATTCCAGTAGATGGTTTTTAATCTGCACACGATGGTTAGGCAATCGGGTACTTACGCAATGATGATGTCACCCTTTTTGCAGAAACAGGGAATTGCACTGAACATCGTGGAAAGTCCATAAGAATAGAGGATTGAATCAGGAGTACCCAAGAATTTCGCTATTCTGGTTTCGCAATCAAGGTGGACATCTAATTGAAACGAGAATTGGACAATAAGAAACCCTTTTGAGCGAGTTGTAAGACCAAAAACCCACCCCCTAAGTAGAAAATCCATGCTTGGAAACTTACCAATGGTGCCATAGAATCCACGAGGGCCACAGGAACCGACACCATATTTTTCCACGGCAGAAGTACATGATTCCTGACATGGAGTACTTTAAAACAAAACTGTTCGTACAGAAGAGACAAACATAAGACAGGCAGTTTGACTTACCATTAACCTTTCGTGTCCTATAAGTCCAAGATAATTTGCTGAAGCAAAGTTCACAACATCTTTTCCATTAATCATTGTATGAGGTCCTGAAGCACTGAATCCACAGCAAAATTTCAAGAATAAGAGCAAAGCTGGAGGAAAATAAAGAAGAAGACCTACATAGATTTGACTTCACCTCTCGAGAACTGGCGGGTCATGCTTCATATCCTCGGTAAAAGGAGGAATAAGAGGTTCAGGTACCCAGTCTTGGCATAACTCATCTATTTCCTGTAATACATGATAGAAAATTTTACTCGGTCTCCAATGTGTAACATCGACCATATCATAGTGGGCTGATGGTGATTCTATTCCGGTAGGAACTAAAGCAGTATAAGAAGTTTATGCTACAAGAATCACAACCTCATGGTCTACTGTCAACTCCATCAAATCAAAAAACAAAAGAGCGACGATCCAAGGGCAGCAGGAAATGCATAACTAATCAGATGTCAAATGAATCACCAAAGAATTTAACCTGCTCTGTCAATGGCCGCTTGGGGGGTTTGTAACTCTTTTGGCTGAGCAAGATGACGATGACAACACCCAATAAACCTTCCACAAAAAAGTGCCCTGGGAAATAACACAATGCAGTAAAAACCTTCAGTCAATCCATGGCTGAAAACAAGAACAGAAACGATCAGGAAATGGCCTTTGATATCCAGAAATTCACCTCCGATGGGCACTCCGAACACAACAGCTCTAGCTGAAGGAGCATCCAAAACCATTGTAACCCAGCTTATTGTGGAGTTAAACATGTCACCAAGATTTGACGCCATTGCCGATACCACGGCCAACGCTCCGTCTTTCCACTAGAACATTTCCCCAACAAAATCAAGCCAGGCGACGAATTTGCAACTCTGGCAAATCCAACACCAACCAAGCACTACCAATCTTCAAATCAGTATAGGCGCATAATTCTGCCAAATGCAGAGAAATTATCAGTATCGTGTCCAGTAAGAAAAACCCATCAATGAAGATCCGTCATCAGATCACTGAAACCAGAGAAATTCCAATAACTCGAAGAAATCGACAAACTAGCAGCAACAGAAAAAAGTAGAGAAATCGAAACGAGAAACAACGAAAAAAATTCATTGGTACTACGCAAACAAGAGATCTAAGCATCCGAGATAACAAGCAGATCACGAATCCAAAAAAGAATTTGCTATTAGCGGATTACCCAAGATTTGAGGGGCGAAACAAAGCAGAAGAGAACGTTGCTTACAAGAATTCCCCCGCACAGCGAGTTGCAGGAGGAACGAACAGAGACTGAAACGATCGACGACTATTTTTTTCTGTAGTTTTCGATTTGAAGATAATTTGCATTGCGAGAAGGAAAAAAAATTGAACTACGGATATTTTTTTTAAAAGGAAAAAAAAAGAGGATGGCGAAAGGAGACGAGACAGGTTGGATTGTGGCGGGCAGAAGTGTGTTTGGTCAGCATGATCCATGGGCCGTAACTCTAATGGTACGGGCCCAACTATTTTATGTTTTATATTTTATTCTGAATTTGGAAAATTTTATTTCATCTTTCCTCATAGATTTATGAGAAAAATGCTGATTTTAATTATTTTTGGTTGGATTCATGATGTCATATACATGGTCATACAATGTAGACATACCCATGATAGATCCGTATATGCAATGCAATGTGTATATACATTAACGAGAATACGGTTTGCGTGACGACCAGACCGAGAGTAATAAACTGAAAGAATATATGTACATATTATAGAGAAGAAAAATCAGAATGATTCAACGGAGCTTGCAGTGTCGAACTCCAAGTCCAAGCTACGGTTCTCCCGAGCTGAACCTGTTCCAGGCCTCCTGAAATTGGACAACGGTTCTCTTATCACTTTACTCCAATAGCCGTATATCCAATGGCGTATTCTTATCGGATATTCGGGTTTTCTTAGGTCGGCAGTCTCGACCTCATGAAGATCGGATACCCGCACGAGCTCGGGTTACCCGCAAGATATTCGGCTGACCAGGCAAATGCAAGGGGCCGAAGCGAGAGCGTGAACTGGAACCGGAATCGCGGAATCACCTCCTCAACCTCTCACACTGACGTCGTCTTCTTTTTTTTTTTTAATAAAGGAAAACAAACTGAGGCGAAACCCTAATCTCTCAGAAACTTATCTCGCCTCCTCCTTGCCCCTCGCAGTCCTCACCGCCTTCTTTTTGCATCTCGGCCCCTTGCCAGCTCACCCTCTCTCCCCCTCGGTATGGATAATCGGTGGACGGAACCGGAATTCGGCTCTGTTCCCGACGCCACACATTTGACCTTGCAGTTGCCCTGGCCACAGGTACCCGAATTTCGAGTACCCGCGGATATACCCACACCCAGCTTTCTACTCCTAATATAAAAGTGAATACGGGACTCATAGAGATATTTACCTTGAGAAGATCGAAAACCTTTTCGGATATATACTTCTGCTGAACGTTGGCGCCCCGTTGTTGTAATTTGTCCGGATGAACACAAAGCGTAGCCTTTCTGTAAGCTTTCTTCACAGCTGCTGAAGTTATGACTTCCGTCAAGGGGATAGGTTGCCACCCACTCTCGTGTCCAAGAACCTGGTTTTACCAACAAAAAAAACGAAACCCATGTTGAAAAGCTTGCAATTTTCACCGCCCTGAATATGGAGGGAATGATAATATAACGGTAAGGCATATATACATATTGTAACGTTGAGAGCAATGCACGTATGTTCCCTTCTTTCCCACTTGACCACCTCTTAACTTCAGCGTCTAGGGTTTCTGCTAACCTCTGCATCAACGGGGACAATAGAAAAAAACACATGAATATGCTTTAAAGAAAGTTTGAAGCTTTTAGTTCGGAAGCAAGGTGAAAAGGGTATTTATTACATTTCTCTCTGCTTGCTCTCTCTGAGCAACGAGATCACGCATGTTTTTCTCCTCCAAGGCTTTGGCCTGCAAGAATCAGATTTGTTTAGATATATTTCCTGTGTATAAAAATATAAAGCACTAAACAATCTAGGGAAATAATAAGCAGACCACGCGCTCGGCTGTTCGGCGGTGCCTTTCCAGCCTCGATACATATCTTCGAGGTGATTCACCAACAGTACCTTCATATGTGACAAACTGATATATAAGCAGAAGGAAGAAAGGAGAGAGATTTACCAAACGAAAAAAGAAACAGCTCAGTTTCATAGCTTTATGTACCGGCACATGCAGAAGGGTTTTGATATCTTGAAGCAGCACCAACGGGGGGCAATGACTTCTCTCTGGCCTCGACACATGCCTTCTCCAACCTTTCGCGGGCATCAGTCAATGCTCTGTGATCAAAGGCCATTCCGTCCTTTTCCCTCTCTCTTTCCCGCTCTTCTTCTGTTTTTCTCAGTTGCTCCATTTGAAGCTCTCTTTCTCGCTTTATTCTCTCGGCTTCTTTCTTGCGTTGTTGAGCGAATACTTCATCGAGATTTCGGCTATTGTTTCTTGTAGACTGACTTGCATTGTTTTGGACTGCCTCTTTTCTTGTAGTATCGACAAAGTCCTTGATGACTCGAGAGGGCAAAGGTTTTTCTGGATTTACGTCTTGATTTAGACCAGCTAGGGTATGATAGCTACTTCCTTGTTCTTCTTGTTGATGATCAAGCTTGCTTTCATTATTTCCTGGGTTTGATGTGAACCTGCTTTCCTCCATATCTCTTTGGTCACAATCAACTCCATCAACAGCCACATTTTTTACTCTCTCCTCTTCAGCTGCAGCTTTTTGTGATGTTTTCTCTCCATCATTTTCTTCCAAGCCCTCTTCTTGACTAGCATCTTTCAGCTTGTTCTCAAAATCTTTCCATGAACAAGTTTCATCAGGCCTGTCTCTGATCTCTTTCTGCCCTGGGTCATCTTCTTCTGCAGGTACCTCATACAGTGTTTCATGGCTGTCTCCTCCCTCATCCTCTCGCTTAGTTTCTCCGAGGCTCCCTCTCAAAAATTCTTTTCCAGAAGCTTTCTCGGTAACCTCTTCCAGTCTTGCCTTATCTTCTTGTCCCCTGCAATCATCTTGTTTCTCGTCGTTTTCACTTTCTTCTCTTTCCTTGGCATCCATCTGTCTCCTTGCCATCTCTTCTTGTTCATGAGCCTCTTTCAATCTCTCATCATTCTCTGCCCCTTCACTAGCTTCTCTCAGATTTCTTTCTTTTTCTTCCAGTTCCATAGCTTCTTCCAGCTTCTTGTCATTCTCTTCTCGCTCCTGTTTCAACCTCTTTTCTCTCTCTGCTTTCTCAAGAGCCTCCTTCGCTCTCCTCTCATTCTCTTCTCTCTCCTGAACCTCCTTTAAATGTCTTTCCGTCTGTTCCTGTTCAAGAGCTTCTTTCTGCCTCCTCTCCAGCTCTACCTTCTCATGAGCCTCTCTTACTTTCCCTTTATGTTCTTCCTCTTCACAAGCTAGTTTAAGTTTCGTCTCCTGCTCTGCCTTCTCATGAGCTTCTTTCATTCTACGGTTCTTCTCTTCCTTTTCAAAAGCGTCTTTTGACTGCTGCTCCTCCCTTAGTGTTCTTTCCTTCTTTTCTTGCTCCAAAGCTGCCTTCACTCTTTTCTCATTTTCTGCTTTCTCAAGAGCCTCACTCACTCTCCTCTCGTTCTCTTCCTTTTCTCGAGCTTCCTTCATCCGATTTTCATCTTCTATCTGCTCCTCCAAGGCCTTCTTCAGCTTCTTCTCATTCACATCCATCCCATCAGCCATTCTCGATTTCTTACGATCTTCATTTGGTTCCAGGGACATCTCTACCATGCTTTCATTATCTGCTAGACCAAGAGCCTCCCTGAGCTTTCTCGCACTATGTTCCCACTCAAACACATATTCCTGTTCCTTTTCTATGTGGTTATTAATCTCTTCATAATGCAATTCTTTCTTCTGCTCTGCATGTTTATCAACCAAGAGCCTGTTTCCTTCTCGATCAAATTTTAAAAGATTTTCGTGTTTCTCTGACCCACCATGGTCAGGTAACTTGTTTTCTGCCTCAGCATGCATCACAACATTTCTTAATTTCTCCTCCATCCCCTCTTGAAGAACCTTTTCTGGGAGCCTCATCTTCTCATGACTCTCACGGTCAAATGCTACTTCTGTTGTTCCATAGTTCTTTAACAACTTCTCGACTTCGTGTTTCCCCATGTCTCCTACTGCTCTCCTTTCTTTTAGTTTCTCCACATCACTCTTAGTTGCCCGCGTTTGATTCTGCTCAGGAAACTCTGCATTACGATGCAAAAAAACATCGTTGCCACTACTACTCTCATCAGCATTTCTCGGTTCTTCTGTTCTCACAAGTTCAAAAAATTGTGTAGCCTCTTTCCATTCATCATTTCCATCAAATCTGGCAGACCCTTGCATTGGTAGAGATTTCCTTCCATGCTTATCCTCTGAGGACTTTTTAGACACGTTATTATTTTTCTCAACTTCAGGCCAATCAACTGGCAAGTTCATGTTATCGACACTCAATTTCCCTTCCTCAGTCATTCTTTCATTTGCTGGGCTTGGCTTCACGGTTATTCGTGCCCCATCCTTCTTCCCTTCCAAAACTTCCTCTGCACTTTTTACTGTTGCCTTAGCTTTTTCCATTACTTCCCTCACAGCAGCAGAACTTGTATCAGCTTCCGCATCAAAGAATGATGGAGAATTACAGTCCGCTGAACCTCCAGACACAGTTGTTCTACAGTTAGAAGCTGAACTACTAGAATCCCTCTTTAACAGAGGAGGTGGTCTTGAAGGCGGCGGTACTTCAGATGGTTTAGTCTTCAAATCAATATCAGAAACAGTAACAAACGGCTCACTAGGAAAAGATACAGCTCTGCCGTAGTGTTTTTGGTTCCTCCCTTCATTTCCAAATGGATACCCACTAGTATCTCCACGGACCAAGAAGGACTGGGATTTCTTCTTGAGCTTTGTTGTTTCACCGGCATATTCCATTTCATCAATTGCAAAGGTGTAACCAGGAACAGAACCTAAACCTGCTACATGTGTCACCCCACTGAACATATTTGAGTAGCTTATCTGTCCGGTTACATTGTAAGAGATGTTGAACTCGGTGGTGCTGCCATCGATTGACTCATATGAATCTCTCCCATTGGTAAAGCAAGGGCTTTTGCCTGCATGTTCTGTCTCTCCCGATAGAGATTCCATTTCTGCAGGAGTCCTGCACAAGAAGATTCTGCCAAGCTCAACCTTAAAAAGTTCGAGACAATCTTCTCAAAAGTTCCCATTTTTCCCTCCTGCAATGCATCTGCCCCACCTCACTAAGATGATGGGGTGATGGGTTCAGCCAAAAGAATAGGGGAAACTCTCGTAGAACATATGAACAGTGAAACTATATGTTCACGAATTTAACTTTCTTGGAATTTTGCCATCTATATTCTAAACGATGAAGAAAACGAGGACAATGGGGATTACCAAGCTTCGTCGGAGGAATCATCTTCACCAACCTCAGACCGATCCATCAACAGTTCCTCATACGACGGCGCGAAATCGAAGTCATCGAACCCTCCGAAAACCTCGCGGTAGTCAAAACCCGGGCTCCGGACGTCGAAGTATACATCTCTGTCATCGACGAGTGGAAGATCGAGCATCGGAATCGAGGAGACGGCGGCGCGTGAGGCAATGACGCCACCGAAAACCTCGCAGTAGTCCTCGAGACAAGGAGACTGCGTCGGGGCTCCGAACCTCGGCGGACCGCCGGAAAACTCGTTGTACTTGGTGGTTGCCGCCGCCTTGCTGGGACCGGAACCGAGGCCGCTGCCACCATTGCAGGCCTTCTTCGAGAGCGAGGGTACGGGCCTGTTTGGATGCCGAGAATGAGAGAGATTCTCCATGAAAATCACCGATTCTAGGGTTTCGCAACCTTCTTCAAGCTCACTCCGGCTCTCTACTCTCGCGCTAGAGTGTGAAGCAGAAGTGAGATGGGGGAGAAGAAGAACAAACGAAGATCAAAAGGAGAAATGCTTCATTTGCTCATTAGCTTTAATTGTCCAAAATCATTCGTATACTACGTGCCAATTTAAGCGTCCGTACAAAATACAATTAAAAAATTATAAGACAAACATATTTTCAATAAATTTAAAAGTGGATGACAAAGTGCAGAAATGTGAAGATTCCCTTTTTTTTCAAATAATAAATATATGCATTTATTAAACCTTGAATACTTGTCAAAAATATTTTCAATAAATTTCTTTGGAACGGATCATTTAAATATCTACAAGTAACTAAATTTTATTATAGAAACAATTACTCAAATTGAAGATTCGTGAAGAATCCGGATTTCCAATCAGTGAGGAATTTTGAATAGATTAGCACATTTCACACGTGTGAAAATAAAAACGAACCTGTCACACCATCATCATGGTGACTGATACCAACTCGTCACCCCACATCCAATTCGCCGAAGTCATTTCATTGTATTATTATCAATTCACAAATATGATGCCTTTTATTTCAGACAGTCTCCTTAATTAAACATAAAATTCCAACGCATAGTCGTTAAACCGAATTTAATCTAAAATTCAATTATATACACACAAAAATTAAATTAAATTAATTAAACACAAATCAGAATACAAATAATCTGAAAAATATTTTTGTTAATAGAAATTTAAATAAAATCAGAATTAAACTAAAATTTTGATATAAAACTAAATAAATATTAATTTCTAAAATTTTAAAAAAAAATTGAAAATAAAATATGCGGAGAAGAAACAAAAAGAACAGAAGTACTGACTAAATGAATTCAGAGTAATAATGAGTGTCTTATTTTCCTCGCAATGGAATCTGACAGCATATTCCGACCAGAATTGACAGCACACCCACTTTGTCAACTTTCGTCCATAATCTATTATCATACATACATGCATGCATACATACATACATGCATACATACATACATGCATACATACATACATATCCATGTTATATTGGGCCCAACCAGTTCATGTCCTAAGCACAATAAGGCTTTGATTTTTGTTCAATGTTTGCAACTATATAACCATATTTGTACATATGCCCCCACACACAAGACCCATTTAAGTGCACACACAACATGAAGAAGAATAGTAAAGGTTTGGTATTCATGTCTTTAAAGGCTTCAATTCAATGAAGTTCCTGATGAGATTCTAAAGGAAAACTAACCAGAAGACAAATGTTACTGATGATGCTTCTTATACAGAGGCTCTTCAAAGATGGTTTTGAAGGATATGTACCACAAAAAGTGTAACAAAGCAAAAGCCCTGATGAGTTGTGGTAAGACTTCTTGCAAGGAGTGCATCAACGTCTCAGGCCCTCGACGATGTATGCAGCGTACAGATCCCTTTCATGTTTCGAAACAAGAGAAATAATTCCGGCTCTATGATCTCCATGTCTTAGAACATTTTTAGAAATGTAAAGGAAAAAATATTGTAAAATGAGACTTACATGGAGTGCTTGATGGCCTCTATGGCGGCTTCAGATGGCAGGAAGCCTTCCACATCCACTTTCTTGTTCTCGTTCTTCTTATCTGTAATTTATGATTGCCGGGTATTAAAGCAAAACCAGAAAGCTGATTGTTCTTTGATCTATTTATCCAACAAGAAGGTGGTTTATTAAAAAAGATGGACTAGAACTGGTTGTGGAAAGAAGAAAAAAGGGTGTTTGGTGGTTACAGTCCTCAAAGAAACGTCGGATTTCAGCTAGACGATGAGGAGGAAGCTCTTTGATGTCCTTGTAGTGACGGAACTCGGGATCATCAGCACACACAGCAATGATCTTGTCATCCTTCTCACCCTGCAAGAGACTTTCTCAGTTTCAAATTCCAAGGACTGTGTAATTCTTGCTAGAACAATTTCTCATGCCGAGGTTCTTGTTCTTCTTACAAAGATGCAGCAAGAGAGAAATCTGATAATCAACGGAGAAAGTGGTGTAGGTATACCTGATCAATCATGGGCATTAAACCTATGGCACGGGCACGGAGGAAAGAACCGGACAACACAGGCTCCTGCACAAGAGAAAATCAATTAGAAAACAGTTTCATGATCAACTGTGACTACTTGAATACTGATTCTGCAGAATCACATAAACCCGGTCACGAGACAAGAAAGTACCTGCATCAGTATCAGGACATCCATTGGGTCACTATCTTCACAAATGGTTCGAGGAATGAAACCATAATTGTGAGGGTACACAATTGACGAGTACAGAACACGGTCAACCTAGAAAATGATATATTCAATGTTTAGATCTGTTGCTGCACATTTCGTAACATGATCAAAAGATTTCTTCAGTAGTAAAACATTTATTCTGATTTGTAATCATTCCAGCTAGGAAAAAGAAATTCAAGATATGAAGAAACTGCAAATATGTTCTTCATTATGCCTCCATTATCACACTTGATTAAACCAAATGATAAGAAACAGCATTATCAGACAACAGAATCCCACACTCAATCAGGCAAAATGCATTTAGACACAATTACCTTAATAAGGCCAGAGTTCTTGTCCAGCTCATACTTTACCTTCCCACCTTTGCTAATCTCAACAACCTTCCAGACGAGCAAACAACAGAGCGCATAAGTTCTCTAATTCCTACAACGTCAAAGGATCTAACTATTTTCATATGCACAATCAATGGGAAAAGCTTACGCAGTTGAAAACAGCTGGTGCCTCTGGTCCTGAATGATTCGAACATCAACATCAACATTAGTTTTTTCAGGCATTCAAGAAAACGCTCAACAGCATTATGAGTCATTGCAAATGTCGATTTAGGTATAAAGACAAGAATACATGCACTAAAACATCCTTGGTAAAAAGCCAACTACATCTAGCACAAGGTTACAGTACCAATCTCTAAGTCATGCCAAGGATGAGCAGCAACTGATCTGTGCGACATGGATGAAAGAATTCTCTCATTTAGGACAACTTTGGAGTTTCTGAGAGGGAAAATGGGGGTCCGAGTGCTTCGTTCAATGTTGTCAGCCATATCAGCAGTGCACGGAACCTAAAACAAAAGCAAGCATAACCACAAGCTAATGTCATGCTAAAGTCTAAGCTCAGAACACGACTCTGCATTTGCCCAGATGTAGATAAAGCAGAGAACAATGTTCGATCACATTGTAATCTAAGAATTGACCGCATCCTTTTCCAGGAAAGAAGCTCATATACCAACAATTAGAGCAGAGAAAAAGTACAGGTAATTGGTATGAAAACCGTAAAACCCTCCAGTGTTTCGGCAGAATAAGAGACGAAATTGCTCTTAGCTCATAAAATCGACACCCTGTATCAAATTCGATCATGTTGTCTTCCTAGACCTGTGAAAAGCACGCACGAAAAACAATCTACAACATTCACTTACGCACTCCATACCATCTATTTACATCTAATCAGACTAAACATATTATAGAAAATCACATTCAATGAGGCTATAACAATCACCTTTCCTTCAAAAACTATTCCAAGAACGAAAATGGCCATTGACTCTGATATACGGAAACGAAACATGCAAGTGAACAAGCTGCTCTAATTCTTCAAGAAACTACCCATCAGAGAAAATGAACAGGATCGAAACTCAAACATCAATAATCCAAACAAAAAGTGGGCATCGACTAACTGTTCTAGAAGATGCAGGGGAAGAACAAGGATAAATACATTTTGTTTTGGTGACGGACAAACATGAAAAGAAACCGATCAAATCATGCAGATCACCGACTCTTCGTCTAAAATAAACAAAGCCCATAAAGCATCCCCTGAAACCAACAGACTAAGCAGATTCACGGAAAATAAAAAGAACGGATAGATAATACGAGAATATGAATCCACATTCGCCTGAGCTCAAAACGGAGAAACACGGAAGGAAACTGACCAAAACATGCAAACCACTGGCAGTTTTGTAAACAAAACCCGTAAGGCGATCTCTGAAACACACCAGATTAAACAAAAAGAATCTAAAACCTAACATCGCCAACCTAGAGAAGAATCAAGCGAGTATCTCGACCGATTTCGTAGAAAAGATCAAACAAACAAAAAAAGCGAGAGAAGATGATCTTACCGAAGCAATTACGCGAAAACTCCGAAACCTCTAATCGCGGAAACCGACAAATTTTCCGCAGCGTAAATGGTGCTGCTCTGCTTTTATACGCGCAAAAGCTTAGCAGTTACACTATCCATGTGTGTGTGTCTTCTGGAGATTCTTAATGGACGTTGGAAGACGCTAACGTCACTTTTTTCTCTGGTTGCTGTTCGTTCAACGTGGGGTCTACGATGAATCTGGTACGTTGAATTCGAAAGGAAACTGATCCGACGGCTGTAGTTTCTTCTAACTCTTTGGGCTTTGATTTTTTAATTAGGTCTTTTTAAACGAAAACGAATCACTGTCAGACACGTGTGCTTTGAAATTAGGCCCAACCCATACCCGAATTTGGAGGCGTATCAAATTTAATCATGCATTTCTCTTTATAGGTATTTTATTCATGGGAAACAATCTAAACACCACCCCCTAAACTTTTGTAAATTCCAAATATCCATTAAAAAAATACCAAGTATACGTTATTCTAGATAAATTTTGAAATTTCAAAAAAATTATAAAAAAACTCTAAATATTTTTTAAAAGATCAATGTAAAATTTCAATCATTTCAATTTAAATATAAGAAAAACTTTATATAAGTTATGGGAAAACAAAAAATTAATTTATAAAATATCTTAAAAAATGTTTGTAATGTACACTATTTACAAGTTAATCGGCTTGAAATAGTTGCAGATTTGGTTCTATGGGTTATTCGTGAAGTCCAACCGGGGCCCACTAAGACCCGGCCCATTCAAAGCGGTCTAAGTCCAGTGTATCTTCCACAACCACTCGCCGTGTTCTTCATCTACCGGTACGAGCTGGAGAGCGATATCAGAACCATAATTCTCGATTTCTAAGACCAAGAGTCTCTGATTTCTCTTTGAACTCCGCTAATGGTGGTGGTGGAAGATCCGACGGTGGCTTCGGCGATATCTCCGCCGAATTCGTACGGCGCGGTCGTTCTCGGCGGCACGTTCGATAGGTTGCACGATGGGCATCGGCTGTTCCTCAAGGTAATGGACTTTCGCATCGTTTTCTGTTTCTGGGTCTTTTTCTGAAATTAGACGTAGACTTCAAGAGTGTTCATGGGAAGGTAAAAAATTCAGGCAGCTGCGGAGCTGGCGAGGGATCGGATTGTTGTCGGCGTATGTGATGGTCCGATGTTGACGAACAAACAGGTAAGTGAGTGATTACGTTCTAAATCTCTGTGGATTTCCCCTTTTATGAGTAATTAGTAATTACACCATTTTAGTTTAGCATTAATACCCACCCAAAACTGGAAACTTGGCAAATCTTGGTTCATTTGAGAGTGTTCTGTTTGTATAAAAAGAACACAATTTGTCTATCGATTGATTCCTTTAGTTCTGCGATTTCAGAACATTAGTGTTCATTTCTCGATTGGATTAAGAGGAGAAAGACTTTTAGATTTCTGTGTCTAATCTATATGTGATTTGAAGCTGAAAATTCTGCTTTTTAGTTGTTTCCTTGCCCCCTATGTTTTGGTTCTGCACTTAGAAAATGCTTACTTTGTTTAGCCCATGTAGATGGTATTTTCTCCTCATTTTTTACCCCTTTTTGCCTGCAGTTCTCTGAACTGATACAGCCTATTGAAAAAAGGATGCATAACGTGGAGAATTATATCAAGGTAGTTGCCCGAATGTGCTGTTTTTGTCACGTTCATCCGTTCACGGGTTTCTTCTTTTACCGGTTTTAGGTATCTTCATTTGCTTGATATGAGGATGGGCTATATTGATTCAAACTGAAAGTTTTAGTTGAACGAAAGGGGGTATTTGAAAGCTCTTTCATGATATGTGATGTAAAGGGGGACCTTTCTCTTAAGTGAAGGCGGGGGGAAGATGAAGTTTTCTGAATCCGATTTAGGGTTTTCCATCTTCATTTCTATGTGCTCTTGTGCAGTCTATCAAGCCCCAGCTGGTTGTACAGGCAGAACCCATTACTGATCCATATGGCCCATCGATCGTCGATGAAAACCTGGAGGCCATTGTTGTCAGGTTCTTCCTCCTCTGCCCACCTCCGCTCCATTTGTAAAACACGGTCTTCTTCCACATCTTCGGGTTTGGTAATGTATCACTGCCCTTGTCTTCTTCATATATTCATCTTCTTATGCTTCGGCAGCAAGGAGACACTACCAGGCGGCCTGTCAGTTAACAGGAAGAGAGCAGAAAGAGGGCTTTCGCAACTAAAGGTTCGTCCTTTTTTTTGTTAAATCTGTCAGCCTGTTCGTATAAGTTCTTCGTAATCTTAACCCAGTTTTCCATTCGAACCGATCTTATGCTTGGGCAGATTGAGGTCGTGGACTTGGTGTCGGAAGGATCGAGTGGGAATAAGATAAGTTCAAGTTCTATAAGGAAGCTCGAGGCAGAGAATGCCGAGAAACAGGAAGAACCCCTTGAAGCATTATAATAATCCCTGAAGAAGGAACTTCCCATATACAGACAGACCAAAGTTTCTCTTCTTCATCACACACAGAGCAGAAAGATGTACATGTTGTAAACGCAACAGACAGATGACTTCAATAAAAATCAGGGCTTTATTCTAAATGCGAGCATGAGAAAGAGTCTCAGCCCAAAACGACACCGTTCTCTGCGTTGCTGAGTCCTGGAATTTTAAAACGCTGTTTTGAAACGACGCCGTTTATGAGCCGCATTTCTTTAAAACAACGGCTAGTTTGTGATAAAGAGCTGGGAATTTGAGAAAAAACTTCCCTAACCCCTTCCTCATCTTTCTGCGACCCTTTGATCGTTCTTTACAAGATCACAGAGAGAGAGAGAGAGAGAGAGAGGTTTCTTGTGCGGCAAGAAAGTTCAAGGTTAATTCCTTCGCCAGATGTTGCTCTTTTTAGGGTTTCTGGCGTTCTCCATTGCTGATTTGCTTTCGTCTCTAACTTCGCAGTGAATTCAGTTTTTCTGTCAGTTCTTTTTCCGGAGAACTGTAAAGTTCCCTCCTGCGAAAAGAACTGTGTTCGATCTTTTGCCCTCCCTTCGTTTGTATTTCCTGTGCTGCTTCTGTTCCGATTTTCATACTAGGTTTTTGCAGATTTCGCTGCTAAGATGAACGATCTCATGACAAAATCGTTCTTAAGTTATGTGGAATTGAAGAAACAGGCGAGGAAAGATATGGAGCGCGAGGAAGAACCCGACATCGAGAAGGTCAAATTCAGTTTCAGCCCTGATGATGAACAGAATCTTTCGGGATTCTTCCAAGAAGTGGAATCCGTCAAAGCCCTAATGGAAGAGATCATTCATCTCTTGTTGGATCTTCAAAACCTCGACGAGGAGGCCAAAACCACTCACGACACCAAAATCCTTCGTGGGTTGAGAGACAGAATGGAATCTGACATGGTCGCGATCTCGTGTAAGGCCAAGTCCATGAAAACACGACTCGAGACGCTCGAGAAAGTCAACATCGGAGAAAGACAAGCGTCGGAAGCTTTCATGGAAGGGTCTTGTGTTGATCGGACACGAACTTCCATTACCAACGGACTCAGAGCCAAACTCAGAGACACCATGAACGATTTTCGTCGTCTGAGAGAGAGAATCTTTGCAGATTACAGAGAAGATCTCAAAAGAGATTACTTTCTCGCGACGGGTGAAGAACCAAGCAACGAGGACATAGAGAAGATGATATCAGGATCTGGGTCGGTGAGGAAATTTGAAGTGAACCCGGAAATGGATCTGAAGACGAAAGAGAGACACGAGGCGGTGGACGACATAAGGAAGAGTTTGAACAGGCTCCATCAAGTGTTCCTCGACATGGCTGTTCTCGTGGAGATTCAAGGAGACAAAATTGATGATATTGAAGCTAATGTTGTTAATGGATCAAGCTTCGTGAGTGGCGGGAGAAACAGCCTGTTTTACTCGAACCAGATGAGGAAGATGAAGAAGACGAAGAAGAGGTTCTTATGGATTCGGATCGTTGGATCCATCATTCTTCTTGTCTGCGTCATTTTGGCGGTTTCTTCTCGTTGATTCTTCATCATCCATGGCAACAAATTCGTTAATTAAATCTTTGGTCCATTACGGATTCGTTAATGTCGGTTATTAGTTATTAAAAACAATTATAAAAATCATTAATTTTAACGTTTTGATTTAAATAAAATTTATTATACGGGACCCGACGACCCGTCGTTTTTTTTTTTGTTTTTTTCTTCTCCCCATTGATGACGTGTCATTGAAAACTAAACGACAAAGCGGAAACTTCGGATCCGTTTATTTAAAAAGGCGCATAGATTCGTTGGCCGATCACTCCTTTGCTCCGGTGAACAGAGGAGTCGGCGGCGGATTTAGGCGAAGTCTCCCTCCGGTGAATCCGTCCGTTTTCCCGGAGACGAGCAGCGAGGAGGCGTCGGAGAGAAAACGGCGTGATCGGCTCTGTTTTTGTTCAAGCTCCTGGTTTGTTTCTCTCGGATTCGGCTCCTCGGATCCGGTGAAGATTCTGCTTCCGATCTTATTCTTCGTCTTTGATCGAGAGAGACCTGCATTTCGAGACGAGGCTCATATTTTTGTCCTCTGGATCCGTCTCATCGAGGTTGGTTTTTTATTTTCTCCTCTTTCGTTTCCCCCATTATCATTCACATCGCGGAGAAATCGTTATTCTGGGTATTTTTGTGGATCTGCTGCGTGTCTGTCAAATATCAAACATTAGATTTGGTTCGATTCGAGGAGATTCTACGAAGGCTTGTAAGAATGTGAGTCCTGGGAACCTAAGAACAATTGATTTTTCTTCCATCATTCGAGTTCTTCATTTAATTTCTCAGCTTCTGTGTATACGTCATAGTAGTACTTCACACTTCGTCATGATCAATTTAACATAACACTGGCAAATGGGGATATTTTGAATTTCTGTCTGAAAATTTGCCCACACATTTTAGTGGTGGAAGTACCAAGCTTTAGATTTCATGAAAGATGTGATTGTAGGTGACAGAGAATCGGATGAAAAGAAAAAAGTGACTGATATGCTGAAAGGAGATGTCATTGAAAAGCATCCTTCGAGAGCTGAAGGAGACGAGGGATAGAACTGGAAGCATCTCGAGGCGTAGCCGAGCTAAGTCCCACATCGCTCCTGACCAAACTGAGCCGCCACCTAGAACCATCCCGCAAAGCCCTTGGGCCTATCTGCCACCGGAACTGCTCTCTGACATAATCCGGAGGGTGGAAGAGAGTGAGATCTCTTGGCCTGCTCGAGCAGCCGTGGTCTCTTGCGCTTCCATTTGTAAATCATGGAGAGATATCACCAAGCAGATTGTCAGAATCCCCGAGAAATGTGGAAGGCTCACTTTCCCAATCTCCTTGAAACAGGTAAGAAGAGAAAGAGACTGGTTTCCTCCTAGCCTTACCCCCTCTCTCTCTCTCTCTCTCTCTCTCTCTCTCTCTCTCTGGCTACTTCTGCTTAGATTTGAAATCTAGTTTGGATTTTGAGCAGCCAGGACCTAGAGACAGTCCCATTCAGTGCTTTATTAAGAGAGACAGAGCAACTTCTACATACCTTCTCTACTCCAGTTTCATGCCTTGTAAGTGGTTCTTCTTCCTCGATCCCAAGTAGCGGATGAATTCCAGATTTGAATGTTAGAATTTGATGCTTGCTTATTTTTCAGCTGAGAATGAGAATGACAAACTGTTGTTAGCAGCAAGAAGGGTTAGAAGGGTGACCTCTACGGATTTTGTAATCTCCCTTTCTGCAAAGAATTTTTCACGGACCAACTCCACATATATTGGTAAACTAAGGCAAGTAATCATCCTGAACGGACACGAACCCTTGTCTGTCCAGTTATCGTAAGGACCGTGCTCTAACAGACTAAGTTATATTGTGTGGTCAGGTCTGGTTTTCTAGGAACCAAGTTCACCATGTATGATGGCCAAATACAAGTCCAACCTAGGACTAACCCGGGCCGAAGGCTTCACCCCAAGTTGAATGTACATAACTATATTATAGGAACCATAACCTATGATCTCAATGTTATCCGGACAAGGGGGCCAAGGAGAATGCATTGTGTCATGGAATCTATACCCCTCTCTTCTATCCTTGCTGAAGAAGACCAAGTCTCTTCTTCTTCGCCACCCCCCAATATTTCTCAAAGCTTGCTCGACCAGAAACTGGTTCTCAAAAACAAATCGCCAAGATGGAACGAGCAATTGCAGTGTTGGTGCCTCAACTTCAAGGGGAGAGTGACTGTTGCTTCGGTTAAGAATTTCCAGCTTGTGGCAGATATCAACCCATCTTTGGATATGCCTCCTGAAGAACATGAGAGGGTGATCTTACAGTTTGGCAAGATCGGAAAGGACATTTTCACCATGGATTATGGATACCCTCTTACGGCTTTTCAAGCCTTTGCTATATGCATCAGCAGCTTTGATACCAAACCGGCGTGTGAAGGGTAAGTTACCACTTACCCTTCAGATGAGATCCATTGATGCATCATTTGAAGGCTTTTCTGATTTTCAAAGTGTTGATATCTAGCCTTGCCAAATTCTATGTAAATTGCTGTAGCTAATTGACTCTTCATTAACCTGGCTCTCACAGTTACAAAATCCTGATCTTATTTATGTCCTTTGCTTCGTTTTGACAAAATTATAATGGATAAGAACAAGCAAGTTACCATGTTGTATATCTCATGTATATAAGCAAATGCCTTTACATGTTGTTTGCACACTTCAGTAGATGTGGTAGCACAACACCATGACATTTCTAGCTTCAAAACCAAATTTAACTAAAAAAATTTACCTGCTCTCTTGCTCAGATTACTCATCTCACGGTTGAATAAGTGATAAATTCCATTGAAGTAAACTGAAACTGTTGATTCGGAATTGGATTCCTGCAGTTTCAAATATCAAAATTCATGAAAAGGCAATCATAGGATCAAACCAAAGTGTGCGCATAGTTTAGGACAAAGATGGAGAGATGGATACTCACAGTCTAGGGCCGTAAACTTTGATCTGACGGATGTGAGAATCTCTCCCATTGAGGTGATTTGATAAAGCAGCTATTTGCAACATGAACGTATTAACAAAAGTTTCCCTGTGAAGTGTGAACGAAGACATTGGCTAAACTCGTGGCTTTCATGCTTAGTAACCACTAAAAACGTCGACTTGCATGAACTAGGGTGAGCAAGAATATCCGAATTTCGGGCACTTGCTTTGCAATGAGAATCGGGTATAAATAGGTAGAAAACCCGAAAAGACGGATTCGGGTTCGGATAAACGGCTCTGAAATGGGTATTACCCATGGGTACCAGTGCCACAGTGACAATTCTAGCATACCCCAGTACAGAGACAACTCTAGCAAATCTTACGAGAAGCTCCAGGCCATCTTGCAAGTCGAGTTTTCAGGAAGTAAACTTCAAAATCCATGGAAAGTTGTATTCATACATATGGACCCTAAAGCTCATTACATCACTTGAATTGTAGCAAATACTCTGATCATCTTATCAGCAGCACGACCAATGAACTTCCAAACAACAATAGAAATTGATATCTAATAATGAATCCACAAGAGCACAATTCGATTGAAAAAGAACTTTTTTGCATTATATACCGTGGATCCGCTCCAGACAAGGATATGTAAACCCATCCAGTTGGCTTTACAAGCTCCACATTCTTAATCACCTGTACAAATCGAAGCCAATCCAAAAAAAAAAAACATGTCAACCCATCACGAGTTATAACCAGAAGACAAAACCTCACTTCGAAGAGAAAACCACCTTCAAGTTGTGGAAGCCATCACCGGCTCGAATAGATATTTTACTGGGAGTATAGCTCTCGTCAAGCTTAAGATCAACGTACAGAATCACTAACTTTCAACACCATCAAAGAAAATTACGAAATCAATGTTATGTAACAGAATGACAAATTGACAATCCAAAACGAAGGAAAAATCGGAAATTTCCCGGAAAATGGGGTCATAAGGTACCCGCAATTTCACTTTCTTCTGGAACTGAATGTTAACCAGATGAGGCAGCAATCCGTCTGATCTGCAAATCCAGATGGCATGATCAGCTAAAACTAAAGACACCGAACCGAAGAAGAGAGACAAACGGGGGCTGTTCAGATTTCTTAACTGCCAGTAGGTCTCGAGATTGTCGTCGCGAAGAGCGGAGACGCCATTGCCGGGCTTGCAAGAGCTGACGCTCCAAGCAGCGTTCTTCCCCATCTCTCGGAGATCGTCGTCCACAATCAGCTTATCGTTCCCTCCTCTGATCTTCCCTTCTTCCTCCGATTCCGATGACTCCGTCGCCATTTCTCTCTCTCTCCCGAAACTTTCGCCGAGAGAGGTCTCACCGCTTTTCCCCTAAAAACCTCGAGGGTTTTTTCGAATTCGTTCAGAGGGTTGGCTCTAAAAAGTCAGAAAGCCGTGCCGTTGTTGAACTCCTTGAACGGCACGCAGTTTCATTTTCAAGTTTGAGAGCATCAAACACTTGGAAAGCCGCAATCTAAGCCCGTCAACACTTGGAAAGCATACTATCACACATATTCTAGTTTGATAATCAAACACCTAACCATATAAAAATAACATAAGATTCATCCATATGGTTGTACTCGTTCACCATACAAATGCACTATATATATACACTATAAATAAATAAATCAATTCATTGTCAAATTATTTGAGTAATGGAATTTATTGGGTGGATGTTGACAAAATCAAACAGCTTAGAGATAATATTATTGGTGGGACAAATTGGGATATAAAAAAAAAAAAAACGTATAGACCCACTTGACAGAATGAAAGCTGCTTTTACATTGATGTATACTACACTGAAAATCTCTCTCTCTCAATTCCTTAATGATGGATACATCCATTAAACAATGGGGTATCAAGAACATGGGATTTTGCAAGTTGATCTTGTATATGTGAGCCCACTGGATTGGTTCCAATCCTTGACCCTAAACGTATTTTTCTGGATTTTCACCAAGAACCGATCGTGAACCTGTTGCTTTGATGAATATGTAATGGAATCGATTGATTGATTGGTATGATAATGGCAAATAACGTGTTCGATGGTTCTCAGTACTGGAAACCGAGGCCAGATGCGTTGTGGAGGCTCAGTGAACAAGTTTCCCATCTCGACAATGTCCGAGGTTTCTGCAAAAAAAAAAAGAAAAAACACAGAGATGTTACAGAGGAAGCAAAACTAGGTTACTTGGAGAGGAAGGAAGGATGGAACATGAATTTTATATATATATATATGTGTTTCAGAGATGTGTCTGAGAGGGTTTACAGCGTTGAGAGATGGTGCTTGGTTCGGAGTTGTGAGGGAGAAATCTAGAGATCCTTGATGGTTTAATGGAAATGAAGCAAGACCCTGATCCGTTACTACTGATGATGACGGCTTCCAGATTGTGGGAAGATTTGTGAAGTAAGCTTGTTGAAACTGTAATTTTGTATATATAAACACAACAAACATCAGATGATGAATCTGAAATTTCAGGAGTGTGTCAGTGATGGATGTTACCTGTTTCGCAGATGACTCAACGATATCGAATTCTTGTTCTGGGTTCAGTACAGCGAGTTTCATCGACAAGAACTGCACGAACTCTTGAAGAGTTTAGAGACATATGACAGAACAGTACAATGAGAACAAGACCATGCGGACTCGTCTGTGTTACCTCGACCTGTCTTTGGAGAGACTGAACATAGTTGATGATCTCATCAAGCATACCGGCTTTGCCAGTGGCCTTGTCGCAACCGGGAACGAGATCCTGCAGGCATTTCATCTTATGGCTGATCTTTTCCCTTCTCACCTGCAAATTCCATGGAGAATCATGATTAAGAAAACCCTAGAAATTCTTATTTCTTGTGGCGCAAGAAAGAACTTGTGGATTCTTTTAACGGCTGAAGCAGTTTTACCCTTTCTGCTAAGCTGTGTCTGTCAGTGGCTTGGCCACGTCGAGCCCTCACGTGGATGTAATCTGGTTTTCTGACCTCTGAAGCTTTGGAAGTTTCCTTAGAAGTGTCTGACGATGTTTCTGCGTTGCTAATGTTGGATTTTCCTTTCTTGATTGGTTCTGTTTCCGCCTCCATTTTGATCTTCTTGTCTGTGTGTTCTTCTCCTGTCTTAAGCTGAACAAAGGAAACACACAGGAAGCGGATAAAGATCAAAACCCAGAATCCAAAGAAAGCTCAATCAACGTATCTGTGTTCCCAAAATTCGATCTTTCAGAGCTACAAACCTCGGACTTTCTCCAAGAAAAGAGGATAAAGATCAAACCCAGAATCCAAGAAAGTTCAATCAACGCATCTATGTTCCCAAGATTTGATCTTTTGCGAGCTACAAACCTCTGATTTCCTCTTGTTCAGAGCCGTTGCGATTTGTCCTTCTGTCGCCCGGGGTTCTATTTGGCAGCTACTAGTCCTCGAAATGCAGCCATCAACGGAATGGTGCGGGAGAAGAACAAAATCCCTGTTGTCATTCGATTCGAAATCGGATCCGACCATTGGAAAATGGCTGAGAACATCGATGTTTCCGACATAACTGAGCTCTCTTCCATTGGAAGACGCAGGGGGCTGAAGCATCTGAAGAAGTTCAGGTGGAGTATTGTTATTACTGTCTCTGTTCTGAGACAACACTTGCTGTTGCTGCTGCAGCCATCTGAACCTTTCGAGTACAGACATGTCCATGGCGCTCGTCAAGGACAAGCTTTCTGGAGAGACAAGACCTCCCAACATTGTTGCAGTGAGAGTACAAGCACCAGAGAGAGAGAGAGAGAGAGAGAGCTATGTAATATATAGTAATTAGAGGGCTTGCAGAAGATGGAAGAAGTGAGAGGCTGATCCACTGGTATCATTCTTCCTTAGCTTTAAATAGAAAAGCAACGTACGTAGACACACACACACACACACATATATATATATATGTTTGTATTTTTTTTTTATTAAAGTATCCATAAACAAATCTAATCCAAGTGGTCGTCTCCCATATTCTCATTCCTTTGACATTGAAATAACTTATCAAATCCTGTGATTATTTATCATATATCTATTATGCAGAAACATGAAATCATTTTTTATACAATTTGTATTCAGAGATAAACGGAAGTGGAGATTCGGTGTCGAAGCAGAGAGGGGACTGATCTGATTTTTTTTTTAAAGGGTGGGGTCCATGTGACATAACCTACCATGTGGGTGTGTCCTTATGAACAGAAAAAAAAAGGAGGGTTGTGTGCATTTGGTTAGGAGTGGATAGGGGTTGCTCCAAATTTTAAAATCTTCCGAATAAACATTCGAAATTCAATCTCATATTCATGGGTTTTGGTTTGGAAAACAATTTTGTTTTGAATATTGAGAAATCTGATGATGATTATAGTGCATAGACAAATCTCTCCAATGTTTTTTGTTTTTGGGTGGTCTGATGGTCATGGTGATACACCATTAGGCATCAGAAGAGAAAAAGAAAAATCTAATGGAGAAGTGTGAAATATGGTTGTACTTTTAACATGGAAATGTTTTCAGTCATGGACCTTGTGGCGAAAGGTGGTGAAACTTATCCATAAAAATATATCCCTTAAGATTTCATCAAATATCGGATATAAAAATGTTTTAATTACTTCATATTTTGAAACTATAACAAGGTAAGAACCACACACAAAAAAAATATTCCGAAAAATTGGATGACAAAATGGGAACGCTAGAGGGAGGGTTTGAACCTCCGACCTTGTGGTTAACAGCCACACGCTCTAACCAACTGAGCTACTCCAGCTCCAACAATTAAATTTTTATACAGTATTACCATCATTGAAACATAATTTCCATGCATAGAAACAAATCCCACCAACCCTTTATTTTTCTCCCATTATTCTTATCTCATGTAATTATATATATATATATATATATTGCATGCATTTACGAAATCCTAGATCAAGGGCCACGAAAAAACAGGAGATGACAATGCCAACAATAATATTAAAAGTAGAGATGGAAAATTAATAAAATATGGAGAACGATGGGTTTGAAGATAAGTGATGGGAAGGTAGGAGACCGTGGCTTTTGATCAAAAGTGTTACACCCACTCATATCATATGGTTCTGTCTCCAAGCGTGCTGCTGCTGCTGCTTCGATATAAGCTTTTATTACCAACTCTAATCTTTTTTAATAATTTGTTAGCTTCCTTTATCCAAACTGATCGAGACACACTAAAGAGATGACTGAAAAGGAGGGCTCTCTCAAGTTGGTTAGCTATATTCCCATTGGCGTTGATATACTCCTAGCTGGTGGCATCCAACACAAATTTGTAAATCTTATCATAGATTCATTATTATTATAGTATATGTACATACAAAGAAATTATATTATTATTTTGAAAAACTGTGGAAAAAAATCGACTAAAAACAACACTTTGTGACATTAGAAGGAAAATAACAAAAATGTTATGAATCCTGTCCGTTTTCGGATTTTGAATATGAATTTGTTTCCCTTCAAGTAATAATAATAACAAATTATTACTTCAATAATAATTTTTTTAATAAAAATAAAATTTAAGATTTTAGTCATTACTATAGAGTAATTGAGAAAAATCTTATCAAATGTATGTAAAAATATTTCAATTTAATTTATTATATATTTTTTAAAAGCAAAATTTAAAAACTGAAATGAGATTTTCATTTCAATTAATTTTATTTAGAAAACATAATTGATTATTTTAAATTTTTTAGATTGAATTTATTTTGAATACAACTAAATTTTTTTATTTGGATTTCTAGAACCCAAAAAATCCATCCTAATTGAATTTGCATCTGCCCGAAAGAAAAAGTCTTCCCCCCGAGTTAAAGCATCTGGCTGATACGGAAGGTTCCTTGTCAGCCCAATTCAGGCCCAAAAGCATCTGGCTGATACGGAAGGTTTCTTTTCAGCCCAATAAAGGCCCAACATGTGACCCACATCGAAAATTTGACCCATCCCTACCTTTTGATTATTTCCGAGCATAAGAAACATTCACCACAGAAACGTGTATCTCCGAGTCCGAGCTATTAACCCTTTTGGAAAATGCCGTTTAAACCCTAGCTTCCGTGGGGTTTATCGTCTCTGTCTGATTCTTCGCTCATTTCTGTACATCGAACCTTAATTCTCCATACCCATATCTCGAATTTTGAGGTTCTTTGTGGGAGAGAGCCTGTCCTGTCGTATCCATCCATGTCTGCTTCCAGATTATGCTCCGCTGCGGCGGTGGCTGCGGCCTTCACGTCAATGTCAATGTTTCAGAACCGCGCGTACGCTGACTCTCCCTTTCGCTTTCCCTTTTACTCTTCTTCCCCATCGCCTTCGCCGTCGAATTCTCCGGCGGATCAATCTTCTTCGAACTCTAAGCCGGAGGAAAAATCGGAGCCGGACGAGCCGAAAGGATCGGGCTTTGACGCGGAGTCCTTGGAGAGAGGCGCTAAAGCTCTTCGAGAGATCAATAGCTCTCCCCATGCCAAGCTGGTGATGGATCTTGTCGCGTGGTTTTGTTTCCGCGTGTTGATGCATTGGTTTTGTTCGTCAGCTTGTGGGAATTCATGTTGTTTTTCATCAATGTCTTTGATTTCACCAGGTTTTTGATCTCATGAGGAAGCAGGAGAAAACTCGATTGGCTGAACTAGATTCAGAGAAAGCTCAGTATGAAGCTATTCAGGCACAAGCTGACATTGTGAGTTATTCTCTCTTCCTTGCTTTTTCCATGTAAACCTGAATCATTGTGCGAGAGTAATCATCTGTATTGTTTGCTGCTATCTACCTTGGCTCAAGATAATTTTTTGTAAATTTGGGGACATCAGTATTCTATCCATGGCGTAATTCCCTTCTTAAGTGTCTTGTCGACCTTGTGGATTGGGGCAGCTGGCTTTATGGTGATCTTATTCGCCTTTCATTGAACACAAAGCCCTTCACTTTTCTAACATGAGCTGGGAAGAGACAGTGATTGTTGAAACGTACATTGAGTGGACAGGACAGACAGCGGAAATTGGCTGAAGAACAGAGAAATCTTGTGCAGCAACAGGCTCAGGCAAAAGCCCAAATGCTTCGATACGAGGATGAGTTGTCCAGGAAGCGACAACAGGTACTCTACAATAAAGATACGTGCAGGGACCCTCCTGTTGCTTTAAGTTATGGAAATTCTGTCCCAAGAACTTCTGCCCACATGATCATCCACTGATGAGTTTTCGCTTTTGAAAATTCGGTAGACGGATCATGAAGCTCAGAGGAGACATAATGTTGAGCTGGTCAAGATGCAAGAAGAGTCTTCCATACGGAAAGAAAGAGCAAGAATAGCCACAGAAGAGCAGATTCAAGCACAACAGCGCCAGACTGAGAAAGAGAGAGCTGAAATTGAGAGGGAAACTATTCGTGTCAAGGCCTTGGCTGAGGCTGAAGGTCGGGCTCATGAAGCCAAACTTACCGAGGAGCAAAATAGAAGAATGCTTTTGGATAGGATAAATGGGGAAAGGGAGAAATGGCTTGCAGCAATTAACACAACTTTTAGTCACATTGAAGGTATGAAACTGATGATCTTTTTACAGATATTCATAAATGATATGTTCTTCGAACAGTGGCCGCAAACTGGTGAACCCTGTGCTTGTCGATGCCGGTGCAGCACACCACGTTGTTCTTGAAACAGAAAACCCTTACGGCCGGAGGGACTGCCAGTTCTACTTCGTGGCTATATCCCAGTTTCAGGTACAAGAGCCGCCCTGCCCCCTCGGCTCTCGCTTTGTATCCAACCCCGACAATCTTCAAGAACCGAAAGAACTTTGCTTCCATTTCCCTTCCCCTTCCAAATGAGTCTTGCTCATTCACAAGAAACTATCCTGCCTAGATGCAATCTCTTAGTTTGTATGAATCTTAACCAAGCGTTCCACTGAATCATGCAGGGTGATTAGACTTATGCAACAGACAGGAATGGCAGAATAATGATAAGGGTGATGGGAAAGAACGTATTTGTATGGGGAATTCCTTTTTGAGACAGCCATTTCCACTTGCATTATCTTAATAGCCTTTTCTTCGGGATATTATATTTTCTTATTGCTTCCGGGCATTCTGAAACTGCAACATCATATCTTTCTCTAAATGGATTTCTTTGAAACTGGCAGGGGGCTTCAGGACCTTATTAACTGATAGGAACAAGCTAGTTATGACTGTTGGAGGAGCTACAGCATTAGCTGCCGGGGTTTACACGACTAGGTATGCATCCATTACTAGATAAACCTTTGCTTGTGTGACAAAATACTTCTCATGACCATTTTTGATTATATGGGCTTCTGAATCAAATATGATTTGATTGGAGTGATTTCAACCCTTATTGATCGGCCTTGGTAGCCTAATTTGAATTTCTTTCATGATTTCTTTAATGACAACAGAGAAGGTGCACGAGTTACCTGGGGTTATATCAACCGAATACTTGGGCAGCCATCACTTATCCGAGAATCTTCCATCGGTAAACTTCCATGGTCAGGCACAATGTCTCAACTGAAGAATAAAATCTCTAGATATAGCACAGCTGCAGGGGCAGCTGGATCTGCTGAAGGGAAAAAACCCCTTGAAGACGTTGTTCTCCATCCTTCATTACAAAAGAGAATCGAGCTTCTTGCTAGAGCTACTGCAAATACCAAGAGCCATCAAGCACCATTCCGCAACATGATGTTTTATGGGCCTCCTGGTACCGGTAAAACAATGGTTGCTAGGGAGATAGCTCGGAAATCGGTGAGCCATTGCCTTGCCTTATATGTTATTGTTTTCTTAATGACGGTGCAAGTTTGAGTTCTGTCTTTTTCTGACTTCAACTTAGGGGAGTGCATATCATATTGAACATATGTTATATTGTATTGCTGCAGGGTCTGGACTATGCTATGATGACAGGAGGAGATGTTGCTCCATTGGGTGCACAGGCTGTTACCAAAATCCATCAGATATTTGATTGGGCTAAGAAGTCAAATAGAGGTTTGCTGCTTTTCATAGACGAAGCTGATGCTTTCCTATGCGAGTAAGATTTGATTTCCATTTTTCTTTGGCCTTCAGTAATCCAGTTTAGACTCAACTAGAAATCATGTAGATTCAGTTTGACAAAAGATTACTTGGGTTGCCCGTGTCTGGTTAAAGGGTTTGAACAAGGTCAGATAGTCGGGGAAGAATGAGTAAACTTTTTGTCGATAAGTGCCCTAAGCTATACCTTGAATGATGAAGAGTTGTATTCACTGTTCAAGCTAGCGTAGACTTCCGAAAGGGTAGAAGGTCGATATTTTTCCTTACAGAGAAGATAAAAGGTATTGCTAGGAAAAAGGGAACCAATTCTATATGCTACGTCCACCCATTTGATCTCACACTTCTTGCTACATTTGCTGTTTCCTTGTCTGACCAGACTGGTTTCTAACTATCATATTGTTGGTCTTTGTCCAGGCGGAACAGCACGTATATGAGCGAGGCTCAACGTAGTGCACTGAACGCTCTGCTCTTCCGAACTGGTGATCAGTCTCGAGACATAGTCCTGGTCCTGGCCACAAACAGACCTGGAGATCTCGACAGTGCAGTCACTGACAGGATCGATGAAGTGATTGAATTCCCACTTCCGGGCGAAGAAGAACGTTTCAAGCTTATCAGGCTCTATCTCCACAAATACCTATATGGGCAAGACAATGGCGACAAAGACTCAAAGCCCATATGGAGCCGCCATCCATTCAAGAAGAAGGCACAACGGATAACCGTAAAGGAGGACCTTACCGACGATGTGATAAGAGAGGCAGCCAAGAAGACAGAGGGCTTCTCTGGTCGTGAGATCGCAAAGCTCGTGGCCGGTGTACAGGCGGCGGTGTATGGACGGCCGGATTGTGTTTTGGATTCACAGCTTTTCAGAGAGATTGTGGATTATAAAGTTCACGAACACTACCAAAGGGTCAAACTTGCTGCTGAAGGCGGCCAACCTTTGCCGCAGCTCGGCTAGTCTCTTATTAAGGTTTTCTTGGATAAGAGGACGAGGAACAAGTAATAGATTTTTTTTTGGCTTCATCCATTTGGGTTATTTGCCAAGTTGTTAAATTTTTATTTGAGTGATTTTATGATACATTTAGGTATAGTCATCAATATTTTAGGTGTGGGTCCATTACCCAATTGAAAATGGGTTGGTTTTCGGTTTACCCAGCGGCCCGGTTATCTAAACCGGTTCTGGAAGTTAGAACTCAAAACTTCTGTGAAAGGGGCGAGGGAATCGGACAACCGTGCCCGAGCTTCACTAACAGGGCGACACGTAAAATCGAAAATGCCACGTGGCGAAAGAAAAGCTTCTTGCTAAGCACCTCTGATCTTGGAGGCCTCCCTCCTATAACTTCCCTCGACACAAGACCAAGATCACATCGGTAAAAAAAGACAAAAAAAAATACAATAATACAAGAACACGACAGTTAAGTATTATCTTTTTTTTTACAAGAACGAAAGAAAAAAAGAATATTATTGTCTGCTTTATCCGGCGAGAAATAATGGGGAAGAGAGTGGCGGCGGCGGCGATGGTCGTGGTGCTGATGCTGACGTGGCAGGAGGCATGCAGGGGATACACGGCGGAGGAGAGAGTGAGGATAGAGGCGGAGCGTGCGAGAGACGCGGCGGAGACGGCGAAACAAAGGGCGGCGGAGACTTTCGAAGAAGCAAAGGACAAATCTTCGTCATGGGCTGATTGGGTCTCCGACAGAATCTCCACGTCAGTTTTATGCTCTTACTCTCTCTTTAGTTTCTTCTAATTACTTAACCTCCTTCCTCGTTTTCATATAAACGCACATTTATCCATTCTTGATGGGATTTGTAATACATCCACAGACGAAACAAGGCGAAACATAACATTTTAGAGGTTATTATAATTCATTAATTATTTTATTTGTTTCCCATTTCGCCGGTCGAGTAGAGGATTTGGAAACAAGAAAGAGGAAGCAAGAGAAGCGAGCGAAAGCGTCAAGAACATGGCGTATGACAAAGCAGAATCGGCAAAGAACTATGCCTACGACAAGGCTGGTGATGCCAAAGACTTCATCTATGACGAAGCAGAATACGCATACGACAAGGCCAGCAGCCATGCAGGAACCGCCTACGATAAGGCCGACGAAGTGAAAGCCTTTGCTTACGACAAGGCAGAAGACGCGAAGGACTTCGCGTACGGGAAGGCGGATGACGTGATCAGGATGGCGACGGACAAAGGCGAGGAGGCTAAAGACAGAGCGTATGAAGCATACGAAGGAGCCAAGGAAGGGTCGAAGGCCGCTAAAGATATGGCGGCGGAGAAAGCATACGGTGCGAGAGAAAGCATGGGGGAGGCGATGGAGTACGGCAGAGAAAAAGCGAGGGATGCATACGATTCCGCCTCTAACCATGCTTACAACGCCATGGAAGGGTCGGAGAGAGCTTTTGAAGACGCCATGGATAAGGTCGGGGAGAAGTATGGTGAAGCCAAGGAGAGGATGACCCAGAAGGCTAAAGACGCTTACGAGAGGGCTTCTCATGCCGCAGGCGAGTTCGGAACCGAGCTCTGAAATCATAACTACGTAATATTACATTTACTTTACTCTTACTCCCGCGTGTAGTAGGTCTTTTTTTTTATTGATTTCGTTGGAAACACGAAAGAAAGGTTAAGATTTAAATAAATTCTAACGTTCTAATGAGTTTCCAACGACTGGATTTGCAAACAAGAAAGAACCCTATAATCTTAGAGATATGTATTGCATGCATATATATGTGTATATGTATACGATCATGATCAAAGGAAAGGGAAGACATCATGAAAAGAAAGGGAGAATAAAGGATTTGAAGACGCAGAAGACTTTGGCTAAAATCAAAGCTTTGTATACGAAGTTGAATCGACGCCGTTTGAAGTGAAGGTTTTTCTTTCTGTGATCTATTGATTTGACTAATTAAGTTGATCGGCGACGTGTTGGTGACGTCAGAGACACCGTCTCCGATGTCATCGACGAAGGTGTAATCCTTCGCCGCCGCCGGCGAGTAATAGCTGCATGGAACTTTTTTAGATATAAAAACTAAAGACCGTCTAAAAATGGTAAAACAAGGGTTTTAATAAAAATCTTTAACTGGGCTGTAATGGGCCGAACATGATTTTTTTTAGTAACTGCAAGATCTGCAAACATCATTAATTGGGCCATAATGGGCCGAACATGATTTTGTATTTTTTTTTTTTTTAAATTTCGGTAGACGAAAGCATACGCGCACATCGTAATCGTAGCGTTCATCAAACGACGACCACTTGGGAGGAGTGGAAGCAAGCAATAACCACCGCCGGCGAAGGTCCAGATGATATTTTTCACCGAATGTCGTTGGGTTTGAATATTGTGTCTTTCGGTTCGAATGTCAAGAACCGATCTCTCACAATGTGTAATATGAATCAAAATGACATCACAAGAAGCACAAATGCAGATTCACAAGCATTTCTTATTGATAAACAAACGGTTCTAAGCTGAAAAAAGCAACCACCAAAGAGGAGGAGGAGGAGGAGGAAGAAGAGATGATCGCTTCACTTCACTTAGACTTCTTCCCTTGTTTCTTCTTGATGACTTCATCAATGTACATTATACCTTTGCCCTTGTAGACTTCAGGAGGCTTGCAACTCCGAACAGTGGCCGCAAACTGGTGAACCCTGTGCTTGTCGATGCCGGTGCAGCACACCACGTTGTTCTTGAAACAGAAAACCCTTACGGCCGGAGGGACTGCCAGTTCTACTTCGTGGCTATATCCCAGTTTCAGGTACAAGAGCCGCCCTGCCCCCTCGGCTCTCGCTTTGTATCCAACCCCGACAATCTTCAAGAACCGAAAGAACTTTGCTTCCATTTCCCTTCCCCTTCCAAATGAGTCTTGCTCATTCACAAGAAACTATCCTGCCTAGATGCAATCTCTTAGTTTGTATGAATCTTAACCAAGCGTTCCACTGAATCATGCAGGGTGATTAGACTTATGCAACAGACAGGAATGGCAGAATAATGATAAGGGTGATGGCATATAATGGACCGTCAACATACAATTTCTTTCTATTATGTCTAGTGTGAAAATGCTGACGAACTCGCATATATGACATGAACCATTGGCGACTAGTCTATGCACATGACAACTTATCAATGGCAATTTCAATTTCACTTTGCCATTTTGCATCATCAATTCAGAAGACAACGAGGTTAACATATACCACTGATAAAACTTGATCCCGGATTCTATTGAAAAACAAATTGCCGCTACCTCGAGAGACCGGATTATCTCCTAACACTAAGACCTCCAAATGTGATCAAATCATTGATACCCTTCATTTCACTTAGAGCAGTAGTACCTTATGTAGGGCACAAAGCCATAGAAAACCCTAGAGAGAATGAATGGTTAGTGACTGGACCAGTTTATCATCTTATTCGACCCTAAGCCTAAAGCCTCTACTAGTAACCAAACCTCGTAATCCTATACTCCAAGAAAACACAGACTCGATCCCATTCAACTACGAAGCTCAGATCACTGAAAATGCCAAAACCGAACAAAAAGTGTCCGAATTGACATGAACCCAACTCATATACCCAATATATATATACCCAAATATACATATATATATATATAGAGAGAGAGAGAGAGAGAGATTCGAACCTGTCTAATAACCCTGGATGTGCGCTCGGCGGCGACGAAAACAACTTAATGTTGCTCTTCGTTTGATTTGCCGTGCTTGCATTCCTCGTCCCTTTGAATGATAATGCAGACAAACTCAAAGTGCGTGACGTTTTTCACGGAATCGAACGACACAATGTTTTCTCAGAAAATCTTCCGAATCCACCACTCACTTATTGGACGGACATAACAGGCTTAATCCCATAAGCGGCCCATATCTGCCTGACGAATTGGAAGATGATCACGAGCGCCGTCTACTCCATCGTTCCGAACGGAGATTTCATTGCATTTTCCAGCTACAATAACAATTGAGCTCAGCCGAAGAGGCACATAACTGTTTTGAGCCCTGTAATTACTACACAAGGATAGATGAGACCGCCATCGTTACATCGCCGCATGTCTCGAGAACTCTTCATGATCATTTTCACTTACTGAACAAGAATTTATAAATATAAAAGTGATCGTATCATCCATAATGTTAAAGACGAGAGTAGGGAGGGAAATGAGAAAAATCTGGGTGGAATCGAACCACCAACCTCTCAATCTCCCCAAAAAGGAAGACGAGCGCTCTTGCCATTCTTGAGCTTCTCAGATCTAACACGCCACAAAGTTCACCCCAGATGGCAGCCACACATATATAATCGTGATTATCCCTACGGATGTTCCATTCCACTTGTTCATTTCAAAGGGTTTAGACCAATTTACCAAACGTCTTTCAGAAACCCTCAAACCAAAAATCTGTCTCAACTTGACTAGATGTCATCCATTTCATTGATCGGCGGCTTTGATTCACCAAGCTCTCCGCACGACCACAACAAATGATTCAATGAAGAACGATACATCCTCAGCCTGCAAGAAGACATCGTCCCCACAAAAAGTCTAACAAATGTTAGTTACAATTTCGAAGTCTGGAAAAAAACAACAGCAGCTTTATGAATCACTCGTAGTGAAACCCTTAGCCGTTGCAGAAAAGATTGTTTGCTCCGCCCTCTTGATCACTTCTTCACTTCAAAGACGGTGGGCGCTCCCAAAATCTCCCCTTTAATCCTCCTGAGTACTGGCCTCAAGAACCATGGACGAACTTGTTGCATGGTTCGAAAAATATTACATCTACAATCCCTTTCACTGATCTCAAAGAACTTTAAAACATGTTTATAATACACAATCTCCATCAACCATCCCAGAACATGTATTAATCACAGTTCAATACAACCAAACCAATGCTATAAACGAACACACTACTTATTTCAGGAGATTGCTTAGTAAACAGCACAGTAACGAATGCAACACATAGATGGGTTCGAAATACGGTCAATTATATTAGCTGTGCCCTTCGCTTGCTAATTAAAAAAAAAATCCCTGTCAATCATATTAGCTGAAACAGCTCAAGATGATAATATTGGAACACCGACCATTGGATATCTGCCAATTGACGATTTCAAATCAGTAAATGGTGGGTATTATGACGGTAAGAACTTTATGTCTTATAGCTCGAGATAACAATATGGATACTCTACCCGACACATACGATATGCATACTTGGTCCGATGTGTTTAGATTTAATAACCAATTCCCTTGCATGATTCGAATATTCAATTGTATCTTCTTGCAAAAGATAGTAAACCTAGATTCAGTAGTCAATATCTAAGTTAACAATTCAGATAAGGTCATGTTGAGGAATAACACTCTGCATATTAACCAAAACTAGGCCGTTTGCATGGATTTTTTGTTGGGCTCTGAATTAGAATCAAAGTACATAACGAATACCTGTGTTGACGTACGTTGTTGGGCAAGATTTGGTAAGATACGGTTCCAGATCTTCTGACCATTGATCTAAGTTAAGATTGGCCTTGTTTCAGAGATATTCAGTGATATGACGGCATTGTTGCGGAGCAGATGAAACCTCCACAGATCACACGGCAAAACAATAGTAGAAAATGGGAGAGAGCGAGAGGGAAAGATGGAGCGAGAGACGCGCGCGCGCACACACACGAGAGGGGAGAACCCGGGCAAACCCCGTGCGATCTCCCCTCGAACCGAAAACAAAATTTTATTAAGGATCGGGTGACCTGCCATGCAAGCGCACCTGTCATGGCAAAGGTCGGATGACAAAGATGTACTCAGGACTCCAGCTCCTCGCCAAAAGCCATGGCTATATCGTCCCAACATCTTATACATCCTTCTATACCTAAAACACAAGCACATATCCACCACTTTCTCCGGATGCCGAACCTCCCGCTTCAGATACGCACCGACCGTATCTATCAATCTCTCAATCTCAGCTAACGGAAGAAGATCCAAAGATCTCACGAGAGCCTGCGATGAATCATTTTAAAAGTCAAGATTAGATAGAGAACTCACAAACACAGATCCGTGGCCTCGGATCTGGAAAAGCAAACACGAAACGAAAACAGCGTTTCAAAGGAAAACAATACGGAACCATATAGATAGAGCCAGATCTGCAATAGGAGATGAAACAGATCCTGCGGATCGACAGCTCGACGAACACGATCCGTCTTCAAGCCATGGATCCCATCAACCGACGCAAATTAGATCCCTCCGGATATGACAGATCGATGCATAGATTGGAGCCGGCCTACAAGCTCAGACACCGAAAACCCATAGATCGACGCCATTAGCAGAGAGAGAGATACAGAGAACGATGACCAATCAATGGAAGGAAGAAAAAGTTATGTGAAAGTTCACGATAGACCAAGGCCTCGTTCTTATCGTAATGGTTGTGAGAAATGGACGGACTAGATTTAACCAGAAAGTATCAACGGTTGGTACATCGCCACGTTGATAATACGTGCCTTTTGTGTGTTGAATTGATGAGGCGGTTGTTTGGGGGGACAAAAAAAAAGAAAAAGAAACGGCGGTTTAGGGAATGGACGGCTCAAATGAGTTGTAGGTTTATCAGAGTTTATTTGATGAGCAACGACTTTTTCACCTGCTGGGAAATTCGACCCTTAAGAAAGGCCCAACAATGACTGGAAGACCAATATTGGCCCATTGGTCCATTAAATAAACGGGCTTTAGAAGGAGGCCCAATACTACATCCCCACCGATAGGAGCTCCATGCTCAGCAAGAGAGGAGTTTACTAATCGAATAAGATATACTGATATAGCTGTATCAAACTGAAGTCGACATAAAAAAGAATGGTTATGATTTTGATTTTATTTAAAACTGAATCGAAACAAATAAATAAAAAAATAATAAATAAACAGTTTCTTTTTAAAAAAAAAATAAGTTTTCATCACTAATCATCGTCGTCGTCATCGTCATCGTCCCCGCTAGAACCGTCGTCGTCGTCGTCGTCATCATCATCATCGTCATCCCTCTTTCTCTTGAAAAGAGACGAGGAAGACGGAGGGCATGTAACCTGGTCTGCATAGTTCTTGCTATCTTCCATGTCTTCGTCATCCTCTTCATCATCTGCAATCAGATTCTCGGCAACTACAAAATCCCAGTACCATTTTGCGAGGTCTCCTCCATTCTGCAATTCCATAAAATTACGAAAGATTGATTCCGATTTGGGGGTTTATTAATCTCTCATGGCTCGACCAGTTTATACAATGGCATCATCCATATGGAAATTTAATCAGCAAGAATAGAACTCCTCAGACCAAGAACCGTGAAACAAGATTAAGACATTTTAACTAAATAGAGATCTTATTCTTACCTCCTCTTTAGAATCTTCCACTCCTTGTTCTTCCTCGGTTTCACCATCCCCATCGTCATCTTCCTCTTGCTCATGACCATCGCTCTCTCCCTCTGTGCTGGTCAGCAACTCATTGCTCTCTACCACACTAAAATCTCCCTCGTCTATCTTATGTTTCTTAAAGTGAGAGGAGGAAGACGGAGGGCATATAACCTGGACTGCATCGTCCTTGCTATCTTCGATGTCTTCGTCATCATCATCATCATCATCCTTCGTTCTCTTAAAGCGGGAGGAGGAAGACGGAGGGCATATAACCTGAACTGCATCGTTCTTGCTATCGTCGATGTCTTCGTCATCCTCTTCATCATCTGCAATCAGATTCTCGGCAACTACAAAATCCCAGTACCGATTTACGAGGTCTTCTCTATCCTGCCAATTCCATGGAATTATGAAAGATTGATTCCGATTTGGGGGGTTTATTAATCTCTCATGGCTCGACCAGTTGATACAATGGAAATTTAATCAGCGAGGACAGAACTCATCAGGACAAGAACCGTGAAACAAGATTAAGACATTTTAACTAAATAGAGATCTTATTCTTACCTCCTCTGTAGAATCTTCCACCCCTTGTTCTTCCTCGGTTTCACCATCCCCATCATCATCTTCCCCTTGCTCATAACCATCGCTCTCTCCATCCATCCTATCTAAATACTTCAAGGATTTAATCAACCCAAAAACCCTAGATCGATAATCCTTCACCCGCGTCACAAGGCACCCATATAGATCAAGCGAGTCAAGTTTTAACTGAGCTAAAGGCATCAAATCCTCTAAATACTGTATTCTATTGTAGGAAAGATCGAGGTCACGGAGCGAATCCAACCCAGCTTGGACAAGGAAATTAAGTCCACCGGCAATCCTATTGTCAGACAGAACAAGCGTCTGGAGATTCCCGAGTCGCGGGAACTGCTCAAGCGAAGAAACGCCAATTCTAGCTATAGAGAGGTGCTCAAGGTTACGGAACCGCTCAAGGAGGTCCGACGGCGGGAAACGCCCCTGCGAGCACTTGACGACGCCGTCGAGAGTTAGGGTTCGGATAGCCAGAGGATCCGATTGTCCGTCCAACGCCGTCTCAACGGCTCTCTTCCAGACCTTATCCATCGGATACAGAGAAACTCCGACTGAAGCACTCTGCTGTCTCTCTCCGATCGATTAAAGCGAGGATTATGCCAGGTGATGGGAGAGTAAACGAGGAGCTACGAACGAACTCACGCCACCAACGAAACCAGAGAGATCCTTCTTCGCCTGTATCACCAACCAGCCTGGAAACCCCAGAGAGTCCCGAACGTACTGAACTCCCCTTTTATAAACCTCTCTTCCTAGACGACGGGTGCGATAAAAACTCCGGGGCAGAGAAGATTAAATCGAATCGAGGCCGCTGGTTTTCAGGGACGAGGATGAATGACGTGGAAGAAATGAACGGCAGAGATCTACACATGCACATGGAAAAGACGAAAATAGCCTTGTTACTGATCGGCTTCGAATCCGACGGATCGATTGATAAAGATTTTCAGTGGACCCTCTATAAAAATATGCCAATGGGCCCAACTTCTTCTACTGGGCTTATATACATTCAAAATATTGACACGTAAATTTCGGACAAACTTATTTCTCGGTCCGATATTTCATCTGTCACCTGTTCCCGTCTCATGGATTCTGGAAATCGGCCTCAGACACATCACCTCGTTCATGTTTGTGTCATCCTCCATTACTCTCAACTCAAACCGTTTGCTTTGCCTTCTTTAGTGCCACCACCAGACATGGCAGTCTTCTCTATACTAGCCTGTAATAAATGTCAGGAAACCGATTAAAAATTACGGGTATCGCCTTTTTCTACGAGCTTCTCGTCCTGTTTTGTTACCTTGATAGAGTTATTCTCTGTCTTAAGCTTCTCACATTCCTCGGAGAGCCTTTGAAGCTCTTCTCTCAGGCCATGGTTCTCATTGGCCAGGCTCTCCACTCTCTGTTGAAGCTGTTCACACTCCGCCTGTTACGTGGTTGGTGATATGGTAATTTGCTCAGTCTTGTGGAAGGTAACATTAGAGAAACATACTGACGTACACAGAGAGGAGGATAATAATATATACCTGCTTTCGTAATCTTGATTTCCTCGCAGATTCGCGGTTAGATTGCTTCCGTTTCTGTCTCTTTAGTTCCCGTTCATCCTACAAGTACAGCTCGGGTTTTTAGATCAGGAAGGAAGTACGTGCTATTTTCCTTGATAAGCTACTTTCTTGAGTGTAACAGAAAGAGGAAGATTCATACTATCCATTGCTCGGGTGCAGGAACATTGGCACCGGGAGTATTTGGTCTCATCTTTGCAGCTCCTCCAGCACCAGAAGACCATAACTCCATCCCCATATTCAGGTTAGTTGCTGGGGCTACCGGCTTCATGGGCAATGAACCTTGGACTGCACCAGTAGTTTTATTCTGAGAACTGGCTGCTAAGAAAACTAGATCGGTCATGAAAAAATGTGTAATAAAAGTTAGATGCTGGAAACCACATGTGGTTTCAGAGTGAGAAAGCCTTACCGTCAGCCAGCATCTGTTCAAAGCTTCCCTTTCTACTGGAACCTTGCTCCTATAGCAACATGAAATCCAACCATCAATTTGGTATGTGGTTTATGCATTGAAGCCCCAAATCACCTTTACAAGAGACCGGTACCTGTTTGTTGAGGTTCTCATTGTTTCCCTCAGATGAGCCCTCTGTTGCACTATCATCACTGAAAGAAAAATTTCATAATAGAGAAAGAACTAAACGAGCAAGTTGAAATCAACAAACATATGGAACAGAAGACTTGTAATCTGATTATCTGAAGCACCTTTGGGAGACATCATCATTGTCTGAACCAGAAGCCACCTTCTCACTTCCTTCACCCTTTCCTCTTGTGTTCCCCTTTGTTTTCTTGGCAGAAGCTTGATCCTTCGCACTCTCTGCGTTGGCTGGAGCTGAGTTAAGAGCCTACAACATCACAACACAACCCAAAACCAAAATTTCTATGCTCATCACATATGTATATATACATATATCACCCATGTAATTGAGCAAAATGAATTTGGAACTGTAACTTAGATCATGCTGCGGGATTACAATTACCATCGGCATAGTAGGATGTGCATACCCTCCCCCGGGAGGATATAAAGCTGGGTAAGGAACCGGAGTCCCATAAGGCGACATCATATGATGCTGAAATTACAGACAACAGAAGAACGAAGTAACTAAATATGGACTAACCCACAAATGCAAGGAAAAAGCTCTAAAATGGTAAACCTTAGGAATATGACAAGAATAATCAATATTTCATCATTTCAAAGGGAATGAGAACTACCTGGGCACCCCACATGTAGGGGTATGGAGATGCGACTGGCGATGGGAAAAAAGGAGCCGGAGTACCTCCAGCACCATAGTAAGCCTAAATGGTGACCGATACAATTAGCTGTTAGTAATCACATTCTATGTTCTGACCATAATCTTGTGTTTTTTGACTAGGAAAGCAATTCGAGGATTGCAGCAAAATGTGACAGAAGTTCTAACATCTATGAGTAGCATTAACCTGCATTGAGCTTGACCAGTCTGGATATGGCGTGGAAGGTAGTTCCTGCGCAAACAAAGTAGATGGATAAAAACTAAAGTCATAAACATAGTATAGAAGAAGCATGGAGATTTGCAAAAATGAATCCACGAACACGCATTGGTACACCAACCTGAGTTGAAGATGCTGGTTTCGAAGGCTTAGAAGGCGTGCTTTCCTCGACTGTGCCCATTGTTTACGAGATCGTTTTACTCACGCTAAAGAAAGGCAAACACAGAAGTGAATAGAGGATCTTTGATATAAGTGAAAGCATTAAAACCACAACGAAGTCGCATTCACCCATCCAACGGAAACCGAAAACTCAGTAAAGACAACATGTACTGAAACATCAGAGAGAGCCACGACAATACCCAGAAAGGAACAAGAACAAAACCCGGTACGAAAACAATAGCCATAAGATACACTGATAGAGGGAGTGAAGAGAAGTAATTTCACATGACATAAAACAGAACAAAATCAAGCACCTTAATTTTTCCTGTCATTTATGGTAAATTATGGACTGTTGATCCACGCAAGCATATGATAATATTAGCATCGCATAAAATGAAGACGAACTTTCGTTCCACAGTCATTAGCCATTTCGAAACCGAGATTCCAGAATCGATATTATAAAAAGATAGATTCGACACTCACAAGCATCTTCATAATCCACAAGTTAGATTCCGAATCTTCAGCGAAATTCCCACAATGGAATAATAGTCAAAAGTTAAACTAAACTAACCGTAAAATCTCTGTAAAAGCAGAAACTGCAGTGACCAAACATGAACACATCCACACAAGTAAACGAATTTCAAGTTTAACCCATATCTCCGAACCAACCCTCTACTTGAAAAGTCGCTATCTATCTAAAAACATGCGATCCTCACATCGATTATACATGTGTATATGTGCCCTGCGTGTGAATGCGCGTATCGAGAGAAGAGAAATAAAAAAGGTAAAAGAGCATGGAGACAGACCAGCTCCCATGACATGAGGTGGAAGTCCAGCTAGGATGCGAACTAAGTAACAGATAGACAAAAGATCCGAGACACGTCCCCCTCCACTTCGACAAATCGGACAGCCCGGAAATTCCGTCGGAGATCCCAAAAAACCAGAACCAGAAACGTCCCGTGGACCTTCTCCGACCGGAATCCTTACAGGTTCCAACAGATCCTGTCGGAAATCAAGGGGGGAAACAGATGATAAAAAGGAGGATGAGATTCCGCGATCTGGTGTGGCGAGATCCGATAGGAGAAACGCAGAGAGATGAAAATTTTGGGGATTTAGGGTTTGGAAGATACGTGTGGGAGAGACACCACGTGTACAAGTATTACTGGATAAGGTTTTGATGACTCAGCATTTGGTGTGACTCATCCGTCTTACAAACATTGTTATGTTTAATCATAGATTCATAACGATAATCATAATAATCCATCTTATTAATGTGCATATATATTGATATTATTAAGTGTTACTAAAACTGTGGATAAAGTGGCAAATAAACGAACATTAATGGATTGAAGGATAATGTAAGTTTATAATAATTGGGCAGAAAAAAAGCCCGCTGGTCTCATGGATCTTGCTATTAAACAGATAACGGGTTCATCTAAATGGGCCTTCAAAGTTTAGTGGGCCGATTTCTGGGCTCTCCATCTAGAAAGGCCACTGACACGTAAAGTAGGGTTTTTTTTCTTCTAAATATTATATATATATATATATATATACAGGTCCGTTACTTTTTCTAAATGTTGCATTTGCATAGCATCAGTCGCGGATCTAGAGAGAGATATTATCGGGGCAAAATTATTTTATTATAAATATCTTTAATTTTACGGGGACATTTTTATAGTTTTAATTAAATTTTTATATAATTTATATAGAAAATTAAAAAAAAAATTATTGATTGGGGGCATGTGCCCCGCATACTTCAACGTAGATCCGCCATAAATTTAGTTGCCAATTTTTTAAAGAAAAAAAACGAAGGAAGCTTGTCCAAAGTTAGGCCACGAGACGGTGAATCTTGCAATATTCCTTAGTGGTTCAAAGGATAAGGCAGAACACTATCTTGTTCATTTCCGGTAAATATAGATGAGATTTACCTTTCACTAGAAAAGCCCACCATCTTTTCTGATTATGATTCATCGGAATCTAAATATAATCGAAAAAAATATATGATCTTTCGCTTGTCTCATGCACGTGTTTGTTTCTTTCTCTCGTTAAGGTAACGAACGAATATATATATATATACTGCGTTTACTTTTGTGTGGTGGTGATGACGGATATGCTTCAAGTCCAATTGCCAAAATTACATCCATTGAGCTCCTTTATCGAGTACATTAATTACCGCACCATCATTTCTTTTGATTTGGTTTTATTGTATATCTTTGGATTAAAAAACATGTAAATAGGTTAAGTTTATAGGAAGATATTATTCTTAGAATATTATTATTAATATTGTTATGATTTACTCTAGATATTATGTCTAGAATATTCTATTATATTTTGCTATATATTATGATGTATTCTTCTCATTATCTATAATAGAAAAACATTTTCCTATTAAAGTTTTCCTATTAGACTATAATTCTACGTGTATATACATCTCGATATTATGACATAAACCCTCAAAGATTAATTTACAAATATTGTCATGGTACGAGATGATGGTTTTATGGTAAATCTTTACTTGTAACAAAATGTAAATCAAGATAACATTTTCACTAATATCTATTGAATTATATGAAAGAAATAGATATAAAAAAAATACTGCCATATAACTTTCTAATTGTATTGAATCAGAATAAGACCAACGAATACAAACGAAAGAGAAGGGCGAAGAGCAAACCAAAGAAACGTAAAGAGAGGATATATATACTCTCCCGTACGTACTACGCATATTAATTATATCAAAGTTTTTCATGCACTTGAAAAATGTTGTTTTCATTCGTTTAATTTAGGGGAAATTTTATATAAAGACACAAATGTTTTAAAATATATTTTGTAATATTTTTAACAAATTGATGTATTTTTATGGATTTTCTTTTTAATTTTATGAATGCGGCGGCTCTAGAGGCTAGAGCTATGGAATCCAATCCCTTTTCTTTATCTTCGACAAAAGTAATATACGATGAAGCCAATGGGTTTAAATCAAACCATAGATAAGCCTTGTCCTTTTAGCAGTCGAATGCATGGAGCTGTGTATTCTTTAATGAAATTTTTTTTTTACCAAAATAAGTTCCATTTTATCCAAACTTTTTTTTTTCTTTCAAAATTGGCAAATTAATTCTTATCCTTCAAGTTTGAAATCTCTAAAACGATTTGTTCCACCTTACCATTCTATTTTTGGCACAAGCGTGGATGCTTTAGTCGGCCCTTTATTTTCTATTATAACCCTAACTTACAAATGATGCCAATAAGATTGTTCAACCTCAAAAAGAAATATATATATATATACATATACACACACCCGTGTATGTGTGTACGTGTGTGTGTGAATATTTGTACTGTTGTACAATACAGATCTAGAATCTCATGTTTCTTAAATTTGGCTTCAGACATGACAATTAATGCGTCGTAGGCGAACCTCTGTACACGTGGCATTTCGTATACGGTTCGTCCAAATACATATAGGTATATAATACGTATGTAAATACTTCAATAGTTTGCTTGCCAGCGAATGTTTCTATTCATTAATACATTTCCGGACTAATTTGGATGCCAAAGAAAGCGGCTAATCGACAAGAAGTCTACTAAAGGAAGAGACAAGACATTACTCCATTAGCTAGCCATTGCTATTGCATGGGACCATCGCATATTTACATCTACAATTGCAGATACTGTCGAATATTATATATATATATATAACACTAAAATAATTATTTAACAATTCCCTAATTTAATTATAACAACAATATCATAATAATGGGGCATCAATTAGCTAGTAATATTACATATACATGGTCATCCATTCCATGCCGTCGATGTAACCATTTTGCGGAGAGTAGATCAAATCGTTGTAAGTGTTGTCCATTTCAAAATCCCCGAGAAATGGCGTGTCGTTGGCTTCCACCGACACCGACGATGTGGTCGGACTGTTGCTTGAAACTCCTTCGACTCGCTCTGCCAGCCGTTGGATCTCCCTCTCGGCCTCAGACAGCTGCTCTTTCAGCTGAAGCACCTGCATGCAATTAGTTAATTAATTAATTGTGGTTATTAATTGTAACAAGTTATATTTAATTAAGAAACAAACCATGGGATAAAAATTGAATAATTTTCGCATTTTCATCTCATTCTTGAATATCCGTGATTACCCGATTACAATTCAAACTAACCCTGATCTAAATCCTAGGATCAAATATTTTGTTTTGTCGAATCTAAACTCGTCCCATCTTTACATAAATACTCGTAGATAAGATCGGATATTTTTAGTAAATGGGCCTAAAGGCCCAAGGCAAAATCGCCAAATCAGGTAAGAGAGTAGGGGAAACGTGTCGTGATTGGAACACGCAAAGTACTTTGTGTTGTGTAATGAGGTGGCATTTTCATGTTCATTATCATATTTTTTTCCCCAATACCTGTCTTTATTTTTTTATGTTCCTTTTTGGTAAAGTTTTTTTTTTTTTTATGTCTTTCGTAAGGCTTCCCTTCATTCACCGGTTTTCTTCGAGCCCTTTGCTCGTGTTCGAATGACCTTGGAGATTATTATAATTTTGGAAGTGATTAGTTATAATAAGAACAGGATATCAAATGTATCAAAATTATAATTTCAGGCTCTGAAAATTCACTCTCTACCTACTTATAACATTTCATATGTCTCCCCTACATATATAGAAAAAAAAACAAAATTTGAGAAACAAAAAGAAAAACGAAACGCATGAAAACTTTGTGTGAGAGAGAGAGAGAGGGAGAACATGTGGGTACCTCGGATTCAAGACGACATTTGCCGACGACAGCGCTTTCATGGAGGTTCTTGAGCCTGTTGAACTCTTCTTCGAGCTTCTTGTTCTTCCAACGAGCTCGACGGTTCTGAAACCAGACAGCGACTTGACGAGGGTCGAGCCCTAACTCCAGCGCCAATCTGTCTTTCCTATCCGACTCGAGCTTGTGTTCGCTCCCAAAGCTCATCTCGAGCACGCTCACTTGCTCCGTACTTAACTTCCTCTTCCTCATCATCCCTTCGCTCGCTTTGTTCTTCCTCCTCCTCCTCCTCGGCTTTGCTTCTCCTGCTTACATCAATATTTAACAAGGAAACAATAAAAACAAACACCCATTCATGCATGAACCTACACAGTTGAGTGTGTATATATATATATATATATATCACTGAGAGTGTATGTGTATATGTGTGACTATATTTCTTTCTTTGAGTGTGAAGAAGTCTATAAATTTAAGTTATAGTTCTTGGGAAACAAATAAACAATAGATCACTGTGTATATATTTGTGTGAAAAGCTTAATGAAAACTCGATCTTCAAGAACTTTATAGCAAAATTAGATGTGTCTTGAATTGGAAAAACCTTGTTGTGGAACAATCTGGGTGAAGGCACCAGAGTACATCTGAGACACGAGCGTCATATGATCATCCATCTCTCTCTCTCTCTAATGGTTTTTCTTTCTGTCTCACTTTTGCTGTAATGTGAGAAGATGTGTTGGGGGACGAGGATGACTTCTTATATATACATACATATATATATATATATATGTGTGTGTGTGTGTGTGTGTGTGTGGAGGAAGTAGAACATTTTTGTGTTTCTTGATGTTATGATGTCCTTTTCCCAATGTGGGCTTCCCCTCCTACGTAAATTTCATGAATGCCACCGGACATAATTATAGTCCAAGTCATGTTGTGGGGAACCAAAGGGGGGGGATATATATGAAAATAATACATAACTCCATCAAACCCATGTATATAGTGTACATGTAATGTCTTACACACATACACACACACGGAGATGTATATATACGTATGTGTGTGTGTGTATATAATGATTAATTGTTGCAAAAGAAAATAACAATAATAATTTCATGTGACTGGATTCATCGGAACAATGAATATAGAGCCGTCTCTATATATCCCATCTTATGGATAAGTGTTGGTAACAACCGCAGGAGAAAATATCCCAAAATAAAAGGGGGACTTGTACCCATCTCCCTTTCATTTCAATGAATAGTTCAAAGTCGCTTTTGGTTCTAAAGTTAGTTCCTTACATACACACACTAACACAACACACGCGCGTAGACACGTACGGTACATGTGATTAATGACATATAATATACATGAATTATACGACGGTCCAATATGAATGTATTATTATTCAATCGAGTGGTCTGTAATATAATGTTTCAATGGAGACTATGTAGGGGAGGGGATTATTAGGGCTTCCCCATTAGACAATTAATAAATATATGCATGATCGTTTAGTATACGAAATAAATAAACAGGGATTATTTACGGTGCATGCAGCAAATTAACATGGAGAAACTTTTAAAAAAATCCAGCTTTTATGAAATTACGTCAAAAGATACAGGCGTGTGAAAAGCTGAAGTCATCAAACACGTGAAGAGACAAAATGGGAAAAAATATTAACCTTAGGGTAAACGGGTTAATATTGTACGAGTTTAATTATATTATACGGTTTTCAAGTTCCAAGAAAATCATATAATATTGCGAAAAGTACAAGGGACTGTTTGGCATATGAGATTGCGCTGTCCAATGACCGGCCTCAATGTCTCCATCGGCCAATCAAGCAAGTACCCATTTCATCATCTCCTTCGACGAATAGAATTCGCCTTCGTGGCTCGAGATCAACGGTACGTTACTTGTTTCTGTTTGGTTGCCGAGAAAAAGGAGACTTGACGAAAGCAAAGGGAGGATGGTACGAAGGGATCTTTGGGGTTTCGGGAAGAGAAAACGATAGAAAATCTAAGGTGGTTGGTTGGAGAGAGATTCTAGGCGCATAGAGTTTGTCGTCGTCGTTGACGTACACTATTCATCTTCGGACCATGTTATTAAATTGATTAATCATGGGTTTAATTAATTGATTAATTAATCAGGTTTAGAAAAAGCATGTTCTAGATGTTAATTGATTAAATTGATTAATTAATTGCTTGTAGATATGGATTCTCAAGATCTGAACCCTAAACTGGGAAAGGATGTGTTCGATTGTCTCACTCGAACGGATAATGTTTTGGCTAAAAGTTTCTATTTATAGAAGAGGAGTTTTTATTTTGAATGAAGAAATCATTTAATTTTATAGATGTATCCAGTAGAATTTCATGTGACATATAAACCATTCTAAATGTACATGATGATGATGATGTCATTACTAATTATTATTATTATTATTGTTGTTGTATACAAACATTTATCTTTTTTATAACGGAGAACCTTAGTTGTTATTCTTTAGACGCAATCTAAGTCATCATAATCAAGATCTTCCAAAATTTCGCATAATGGTGTTATCGTATGATTTCATCCTCCATTGAATATTTTAACCAAAGCTCTTGAAGAATACTACAATGGACCGTTCCAATAAGCACTGAACCCATCAATTTCACAGATCACTCGACATCGGAATCTAAATATAATCGAAAAAAATATATGATCTTTCGCTTGTCTCATGCACGTGTTTGTTTCTTTCTCTCGTTAAGGTAACGAACGAAAAACGCGGGAACAAGGGAACATTATAGGAGACCGACAACAGAAGAAGGAAGAGGATGTGATTGGGCGACGTGGCGCACGTAGAACAAAATAAAATATGTATATATGTGTATGTATGTAATCACGAAGCCAACGTTACAATGGGTGGTGATATTATTCGAGGAATTGAGTGGAAATGGAAGCCAACTCCGATAGCTAGCTCTTTTGTCGGTCCTTCTTATTACAAAATGTCGGCTTTAGGGCAGAGATTTATGTGCACTGACACGTTCATCCAATCCCACTCTCACATCTGCACCCCCTCTTCTCCTATCACTCACTCATCATCTCCACCTTCCACGAATCTCTCTCTCTCTCTCTCTCTCTCTCTCTCTCTCTCTCTCTCTCTCTCTGTTATTTGTGTACGGTACGCATATATTATCCATCCAAAGAAAACGTCCATGCATAAAGACGAAAGATACCTAAAAAGTCCCGTTTGTTTCCTTTTCATTTTTAGAGCTCAACGTCTTCATCGTTCAGTTTCACCATTAGATGGCCTTTGGTCTCTCGTATGGGTATGCCTCTTTCTATATACAAATTATAACTTAGCGTATGATAAGTATTTTGTGTGTGTGTGTGTGTGTGTATATATATATTCTCATCTAACAACGAAAAACACAAGGCGATACGCAGAAATGTCTGAGTATATATTGATGGAAATTTCATGCAAACGCAAACTAAAGAGTTGACGGATGACATCACATAATCAGGGAATGGTCGAACCTAATACTCGTATGCACAAGTTGTATTATTTATTAGGAAGATGAAAAGGTTCATTTAAGATTTCAAGGGATTCATTGGTGGATTATTTTTGTTTCGAGATTTAGGATTTCAATTTGAAAATAGTTCATTCGAACGTAAAGTAAAGGTGATTAAATTTGAAAAATAAAAGGTTTCTTATGATTTAGACGTTTTATGCGCTGCAAAAATAAAAAGAAAGGGTTTTGTGTGTTTTGCTTTTACACTCTCTCTCTCGTTTATCACATTGCAATTCATCGTGCGTCACTCACTCTCTTCCTTTACAACATGCCTCACCTGAAGCATTACGAATGTCAGTGCAACATATATACAAATACATACACACGTATCTATGTATATATATATATATATATATATCATCTTCTCAGTCAATGTAGAATATTAAAAACAGGGTTTCTATCTACCTAAGTTACACTAATTATGTATATATATATATATATATATATATATATGATTTTATTTGATCATCACACCCAAGATCGCCGCAATGAAAAGAGAAAGAAATAGATTTATAATTTTTACGAATATATATAAATTTAAGTAATTACATGTATTATGTTAGAATTCTCTATAACAAACATCTAAATATCTTGAATAATAATCAAATAATTTTATATCATATTACGGTTTGACGATGTAGTTCTATTAAATGCTTTTATTTATTTATTTTAAACCATTTGAAATCTTGTAAGCACTCTCTCTCAAAATATTGAGTATATGTTTGGGTTAATTCAATAAATTTCCCATATATTTATACAAAATAAATTTGACACTTTTTTGTGGCATGAAATGGGTTGGGATGTGACGAGAACATGGGTGTCTCTGGTGACGTGGCAGCTTCGCACGCGTTTGATAAAGAAGGCCACCTCTCTCGTTTCTCCACGTGTCATAAAGTCAACGCACACCTCTTGGCACCCAGATCCCCTCCTCCCGACCAATCACATCATTTCCTGCCTTTTCTCCTGCCATATTTAAACCTTCATATCTTATGTTCTTGTTTTTACAAACAATGTATAAAAAAAACTGCGTTTTCCTAATATTCCTTAATTTTAATCATACATCCTAATCGAATCATGAGACCACTAAAAATAATAATGGTCTTCTAAAAGCGATATGAATTGATTAGAACTAATAATAACAAACTTCTGTAAAAAAAATGATGGAGTTGAATTAATCGTAATAAATAAATAATTAAGAAATTCTGTGAAATAGAAACCTTTTTTTTTTGTTAAGATCATGTAAACACGAACCTTGCGTGAGATGAGAAATCATTAATTTGCATGGACGAAGAATTCGTTTGTGACGTCACATTTTACACTCTCTTTACCAAATGAAGGGGCAAGAGTTAAGTGATGTAATAATCGTATCATTTGATATTTGGAATTCGCTTGAATCATTATCTATTATATCCACCAATACCTTATTCGGGAATGAGACGAGACCAATGAAGCATGCGAGGTCAATTTTTTTGCCAAATCGAGTAAAACCCATCACGACACGTGGCCTTTTCTCGTAAGCTTCATTGGGATCTCTCTCTCTCTCTCTCTCTCTCTCTCTCTCTCTCTCTCTCTCTCTCTCTCTCTCAAGTGGGAAGGGACAAGGAGTAATACATTACGGGGTTACGCTCACTCGTGACTACGTACTTGGCTCTTCAACTCACAAAGTCTTCCTCTTCCATGATCTTTTTTTTTTATATATTGGGGAACCCGCGTGACTACCTACCCTTACAAACGGAGACGAACTGGTCACCACCCGCACCTAACAGTCCCCATGGACCTCAGTCCGCCGGACCTGGCCACCAGGCGCGCCTAACGCTCGGGCCGTAGTTGGGCTTAGGCGCCTGCGGGTCAAATCCCAAGCCCACGCGCACGAACCTGCAACACACGCGCAGGAGGTAAATCAGCCCATTATGATAGGCTGACAGACGAGCAAGTCAGAGGAAGGGAGACGGCAGGATTCGAACCCCCCACCTCAAGGAGTTGCCCCCTGCTCCCAACCAGCTGACCTGGACTTCCATGATCTTTGCGTTGAAGCATTCGTTTTCTATGTTGATCTTTTAATACTTTGGACTTTCCTTTAAACCGAACTAAACTTTGTTGATAACCAAAACCGAAACCGAACCAAATTAAAATTTGTAACTACTTGATACAATTTCGATCTACCAAGACTATCAAGTTTCCTAAATGTTAATGTATTTTTGTGGACGCGATTATGACGTTTGCTATATGCCGTTTGCTATGAATTTTGATTTCATATTTTTCGTATTTCTCGGACAAAGTTAATAAATTGTGTGGTCGTGAATTGATAATTAATTTTTTTTCCTGAAAAAAAAATGTTTTGAAGGGTTTATTGAATAAAAAATAATTAAAAACTCATTGTAAAAGATTACGATCGATTTAACAACTTTTTAATAGTGCTTGTTTAGGTTTCATGTTCTTTTTATTTTCCCATACGTAAAAAGCTTCATGCTTTTTGCAAGTTTCAGTTGTTTGTGTTCGTATTGGATGTCCGAACAAAGAAAAGATCCAAGTTCTAATTTTGTGGATTACTATTTTTAGTTATTTTCTTACTCATTAAGCCATATATATGCATATATTTTTTTTTTGTATAAGCATATAAAAAAGTTCATAAATTAAGCCTATAATGAGTTACAATATAATATAACATCAACTAACGCAAACCACTGGTCATCTCATATGCACTAATAAATGAGAAATATTTATTATGCTATATAATATGATATGGTATATATACATATGCTACTCTCAAATACTATATGCATGGCTACAAAATCTTAGACCAAAAAGGAAAAATATCGATACTTTATGGATAATTTCATATAGCCAGATGTTTTAGCACCACAACCACAAGTCCAGTATTATACTTTAGGTCCTAGTAAAAATAGATTATATATATATATATCATGTGAGTTGGTGCGTTTTTCTTTTTCTGTTTGATAATATTTTAACGGTCCTACTATGCGACTGGGCGGTTTATGCCATAAAGCATATATGCATTAATTTTATAGTTTCAGAAGAAAAGTAAATTTCATTAAATAATTCCCTGAATTACGCCTTGATTTGGGGATTAACTCGGACGTTTGACTTCTCTAATCAAATGCTCATGCATAAACATTCATATATAGATTTTCGGGGCAATTATGAATGCAATCTTAATTATCGTATATATTGGCGTGAAAACATGTCGCAGAATTATTTAAAAACCTAAACACATGTCCAAGAATCCGGGAGGATTCAGACAATATGATCTTGTGAAGGAATTAATATCAACGCTCTGTTGTAATTTTTCTTTAAATGCAATAATTATAATTTATAAAAGGATTAGGTTGCATTTATTTTCATGAGCGTCGCCTGCATGCAAGCATGTAACCTTCAGACCACCAGCTAAGCCTAAAAGGCTAAACCATTCCCTGTTTAATTAATAAGATTCTAACAAATGATTAAGACATTATAATCAACATCACATCCTTCACTAATAAAATTTAAAAACATTAACGATCCTCGCAACGACGTGGACGGCCAGTGAACCATCACGTGGAACAGGGGCGGACCCAGAATTTTTTTCCACCGGGGGCAACAATTATTAATAATATAAAATATAAAAAAAACATTAATAAAAATAAATCGTCATAAAGTTATTTATGTTTTACAACTGAATTCTACGGTTCTTCATTTTCTGAAATTTATCCATAAGAATTTCATTTGTAATCGTCTGAAATATATCTTTTTCAATGAAACAAACTAGACAATTACTCAAAAACTGATCACCAATCCGATTGCGTAAAGCTGTCTTCACAAATTTCATCCCTGAAAAGCATCTCTCAACAGTCGCGGTGGCAACAGGCAAAATCAGAGCCAACTTCAAAAGTTTGTACACCAATGGATATGAAAGATGTTTCTTTGTTTCCACCATAAGATGAGCAAGATCTCCAAGATTAGTCAAATTAGAAAATCGATCATCTTTCGTCAAATTATCGATGTAGATACTAAGTTCATGTCGAAGAGACACTTTCTCCAAAAAACTGAAATCGTCAGGATAAAATTCAGCCAATTTCACCAGATTTGGCATGTTAAACTCACGAAATGAGTCAGCTGGACTCAAAGATGCCATGCAAATGAGCAGTTCTGAATTTATCTCGTCAAATCGATCATTAAGTTCTTGAAGCTGCAAATCCATAACAGTATAGAAACAATCTACCTGATAATGATGTAAGTTGTTTATATTGCTCTTTTTTCTTGGCTTCCTTGAATCAACATAATCTTCCTCCATATTGACCATTTCAATATTGTGTTTCTCACAAAAAGAACACACGTCATCCAGAAGCGAATTCCATCCAACATCTCTTTGTTGTTGTAATTGTCTCTTTATAGATTTCACCAATGAAACAACATTCAAAATGTCTTGATCTTTCCTTTGTAAAGCCATCGATAAATTATCTGTGAGTCCCAGAATGAGCAACATCAGCTGTAGATAGAACACAAAATCAAATGTGTAGAAATATTTCAGAAGACCATATGCTTGACGTCTTTTAACTGTATCAGTGCCATCATTCTCAACGTACTCAAGCACATCAATGACAGAAGAAAATAACCCAGTCAAACGCAATAGTGTTTTGTAATGAGATCCCCAACGCGTATTTCCAGGTCTCTGAAGAGTAATATCTTGATTCAACCCTTTTCCTGTGTTAATTTCTCCACTATTAATTTCTTCGTTCACTTTCGTTCGATGACTTTCTCGAATCATATCTTTTCTTTTACAGGAAGCTCCAACCACATTCAACAAAACTGAAATCATGTCGAAAAAATTTCCAACATCAAATAGCTCTTTTGCAACTGCTACAACGACCAATTGAAGTTGGTGAGCGAAACAATGAATATAATATGCTGATTTATTTTCTCTTGAGATCAACGATCTCAATCCATTAAATTCACCTTTCATATTGCTTGCCCCATCATAGCCTTGTCCTCTGACCTTTTTTAAACTCAAACCATGTTTAGCAAACAAAGAATCAATGGCAGACTTCAGAGATAAAGCAGATGTTTCTTTCACATGAACAAGGTCAATAAATCTCTCTTTCACTATCCCGTTCTTGTCAACAAAACGAAAAACTACTGCCATCTGCTCCTTATCAGAAACATCACTAGACTCATCCACGAGTAACCCAAACACATCATGTCCAATCTCCTGAATTATGTCTTGGGTTATTTGTTCTGCAAAACATTGTACAATATCTTTCTGGATTTTTGGAGAAACCATCTGACTATTCCCCGGAGCATTCTTCAAAACAACTTTACTCAAGTTCCAGAAAATTTCCTTTATTATCAGAAATTTCTGACTCATCGTGGCCTCGAAATGGTAGTCCTTGATTCAACAAATATCTAGAAGAACTAATTGAGGCATTCAACCGAATACGATACTCGTTTTTCATCGTATCACTTTGCTTATGCATAGCATGTATGATAGATTGACTTTGCCTCATCAAATCATCACTCTTTTTGCGTGCATTATTATGAAAACTATTGACATCACCCACATGAGAAGCCAACCTCTCGGTTTTATTCCAACTTGAAAAACCATGTGACACAAAAGCATCATTCCCAACTTGTTCTCTAAACAAGTAGCAACACAAGCAAAATGCTTTATCCTTCTTTATGCTATACTCTAACCAATCATTGTATTGGTCAAACCAAGCTGGATTAAATCGTCTCAATTTATTTCCTATCATCTTCTTTGGAAAGTCATGACCACGTGGTTGACAAGGTCCCCTAATTAAATATTTGCGCCTGATCTCATCTCTCTGATTAGGATGATACTCTAATATTTTTTTTTTCTATCAGCTGGATCCGAAGCCAAATCATCCAAATCAATTTTTTCAGGTATTGAGAGACTAACCTGAGAATTTGATACATTCTCGATTGGAATTTCACCATTATTTTGAGATATCGATGCAAAATTTCTTTTGAGAAATTTATCCATTAATTTTCCTGTCAAATCAAATACAAAAATAAATAAATATATAATATTAAATTAATTCATATGATTAAAACATACATAAAAACAGATAAACAAATAAAAACTAAAATAATAAACGTACCTTTGATCTCTGCTACTTTGTTTATTTTTTGATCGAATAGGAGAAAGAGCGAAATAGAGAAAGGGGAGGAGAGAGGGAAATAAAAAAAATAGAAAATAATGATATAAAATTATGACGGCAGTGACCTAAACCTAAAAAGTAATTAGATAAAAGTGGAGACATGTTTAAGGAAAATATTCAAAAATCTAAATAAAAGGGGGCCCACATTACAAATATGAGGGGCACGCTTGGTTTCTTATTGAAATCTATAAAAATTTATAACTAAATTATATTTTTTAAAATTTAGCTATGGGGCATGGGACCCCATTCACATACATGTAAGTCCGCCCCTGACGTGGAATATATATATATATATGCATCACATACGATATGAAATAATATATTCTCTTTGTTAAATTCTGGGTGCCTCTTCCAAGCTCCAACTGTCCTGTGGTTCCTTCTGCATTCCAAATCACGATTAGGGCTTTTTAAGCACATGGTTAGCAACACCGGCGATCTTGTCATTACCGATATTAATCTCAATATTAACCTAAAATTAGAATGGGCCACGTGGCGCGAGGAAGCGAGGACAAGTGTCGGTTTTAGATGAGGGTTCTCGACGTGACCAGTGTTTGTAGATTGCCCCTTGGGTTTTTTTTTTTTTTGGTATTAGATCCGTAGGAATGCTTTCATTGCTTTGTATGATTTTAATGGTGGTCCAAGGCATACGTGGCGCAACAGAGAAACATGAGCTTAATAAATTAATACCTTTTTAAACAATAGAAGTAGGGCGATCATTTAGGTATCTGTGTAAAAATTACTCAATATTAAATGGAATAATATATGTTGTATTTGAATTGAATATAATAAAAGTTATTAATATAATTTTAAAATCAAACAAGTACATTTAAAATATTTAAAAATAATCCAAACAAGTTAAATAATAAAAAAGAATTAAAATTAAATATTTTTTAGAACTGAATTCAAATAAAATTTTAAAAAGAAATTCAAAATAAAGAATGATTGATATAATTTTTTCAAATAAAAAATCCAAACACAACAATGAATAAACTAAACCGAATCAAAACACCGAATATATCCATCCTAAATGAGAGTATTGCAACGTATTTATATTAGAGGTGCATACAAATAAAAAAAAAAATACTTTTAATGCTAAGTAGTAGATTGGTGCGAATATCAAATTAGTGTAAATATTAATTTCTTTTCTTTGTCGCAAACCAATGAGTAAGATCCATATTAGCTGGAAAGAGACTACCAAATCTAATTTGCTAGATTTATTATTATTTAAAATAAGCTTAGATCATTTTCCTAGAGTTAGAATTTCAATTACCTTTTTACCCAATCGTTGCAACCACAATAAGTAAATTTATTATTAATTTACACAAATAATTTATAAAATATTAAGGGTGTGCGTTTAGATTCTAATAGGCATATTAACAAAAAAAACTCTTCAAGTGGTTCAAAAGACGAGCATGTGGTTAATGGTTGAATATCATCATGAACTAATGGGCCCAAAAGCCCCAATATAGACTTGTCAGTTTTACCTTAAAAAAATGTTATTGGGCCTATAATTCATAGGTCCAGTAATTTTTCATTCATTCAAGGCCCAATAAGATGTATACGACGCCGTTTTGGTAAACCTCACAACGTAATAGGGAGATTTAGTCTCGTAATTACACATTATTTAGTCAGTGGCCAAGGACAAGCCTTAACTCACAAATGAAAAAAAAAAAAAAAAGATTGCATCCATGATTTGAGTAGGATATATCTCCATCCATTCAGTTCTCCTCGCCAGATTCTCACGACCACACATCACTTGGTTCCGGAAACATGGGGAAAGGGCTTAAGCAGAATGTAATATCAGAGCAATTTTACAGAAAGTACAATGGTTGTGCATAAAGGGACAGGTCCTTGCTGGGAGGTAGACAAAGAGCTGAACTAGATACAGCGAGGGAAAAGGGTTTGACCCACGTACCCACCCACCATTGCCCTCCTCACATTGAACTCGAACATCTTCGGGTTATCCCTTAAAACCGCCGCTGCATCGTGATTCAGAGGATCCTCATAATTGGGTTCCTACGTGGAAACAAGACTCGTTAGCATATACAGGCAGTAGTATCTTCCGTTGGGGCGTATTCCAGTTCAAATACTTTACCGTGAACAGATGGTACAGCCCATAGATGATGGTGTTTATGTTGAGGACGGGCTTCCAGTCTTCACGCAAGATGTTCAGGCAGACGTTTCCTTCCAAATCGATATTGGGATGGTAGACCTTCAAAGGAAAACGAATGAATGAATGAATGAACGATCGAAAAGAAAGAAAGATCCAAACTTTAAGATGGAATGATGTGGACTGCGGGGCGGGAAAAGGAGATTTCAGGTCACCTTGGTCATGCATTTCACTTTTGGAGCTTCATGTGGATACGCATGAGAGACTTGGAACGTGAAAATGAATGTACCGTTCCTGTTAATCGACAACGAGAGATTAAGTTCCCATGGAAGATCAGAGACTATGAGACAAAGAGAAGAAGAGAGTGGATGGAAAGTTATCCTTACAGGTAGTATCCTTCATCAGGCTTAATGGACACCTCAAAATGCATCAAATCGTCCTTGCCGTTTGGAAAAGATATCGAACAAGAATTTGGCAGGTTCAACTCTGATATATCTGCACATAAAGAGAGAAAATAAACACAGGAGCTTTAAATAATTTCACCCCGCGACTTTCGATACAAAACCCGAACTGACAAACACTACCAGATGAATGCAGAGATAACTAGGATTGCATTACATAAGAAGCTAGATCAAAAGCAATATTGCATAAGATGAGGAACCTTTGTGAAGACGTAATTCGCCAGCAGATTGCTTCTTGACCGGAGCCCCTCCTCCTCGGGTGGCATTCTGAGCTTGTTGTTCTCTTTGCTTTTCCTTTACTTTGAATAACCCAATCATGGCTTCTATAGCTATCCTACAAGAACAAAACCTGAGAAAAATCCATAAACTACAAAATCTGTTTATACAGACACCGCTACCCATATAATCTATCTCGTGATAACTAAAGACAGAGCCTTGCAGAAGATCAAGCGAGACAATGATTAAACTTCCAAAAGCCATGACACCAGTTCTACCTCGAAATCCAATCCAAGAGAGGATAGACCTCACAAGAATTACGAAGCACCATAGAAAATTTACTCGCACAATTCACATGATAGCTACAACTACAAACCTGTGGACTTAAACCCCAAAAGACGCCTCACTTGAAGCGAAAGAATGAACTTTGATTAGGGCAACCGTCAAAGTTTTAAATTTTCACTCAACAGATCGAAACAAACAAAAACCCAACATTGAAGATCCAAATTCGAATATCCCGACAGCAACCCATCAAAAAACCAAGAAACCGGAAAAAGAAGAAGCAGAAGAAATCAACTTCAGAACAAGATTATCAATCAGAAGGGATAGACCGGCAACAAAACGGGACGAAGATACCCAAGAAGAGAACAATATTAAAGAATTTACGAACGGATTGCTCAGCGGAAAGGAGATCGAACCGATTTCGTGCAAATCTGTCTTCTCTCTCTCTCCTTCTTCTTCGTCTTCTTTCTCACGCGGTCTCGTCAGCTGGAAAATGAATGCACGGAAAGGGTGTTACTGCCCTCTATTTAACTTTTTGCTACGCTGATTCAAAATCACAATCTTAAATAATCTTTTTTTTTTGTTGAGGCCCAAATAGGCCTATTAAGGGCAACACAAAATAACATGGTCCAGCTTTTAAATGGGCCTATTGTTTTAGGCCCAAATTATATGTCACACTTTAAATGGGCCTATTGTTTTAGGCCCAAATGATATGTCCTATTTCAGTTTACAAGTGGAAACTTTTATTTTCCATTTTCTATTATTTTCTAGTTAAATTATTCATTAATTCATACGTACGTATGACAATATTGATTTTTATTTGTAAGGATAAAATTAGAAAAATTATAATTTGCATTTAAAATGAGAAATTTTATACTATATGAAAATAGTTTCTACGTTTAGAATATCAAGTGATAACATGATGGAGAGGGACATTTTATTAATATAAAACATATATTTTTAAAATCGTCACGATTTCAAATTCTACCAAAATTTGGACCACAAAATTTAAAAAAATAGTTTGAATAATTACCTTCTTTAAGACGATAAATAACTTTAATTATATGATATAAAATATCACGAAATTAAAGTAGAAAACTTTTATAATTTAGTAAAAAATCGAAATATATTTTATTTTTTTAGTATATTACTTTTTTTATACTATAGGAAGTTTTTTTAGCGAATAAAGATTTTAATTAAAAGAGAACACACTATTAACAAAGATATTGTTTAAAATAAGGGATCAAATGAACCAATTCGAATCGAAATTAGTTGGCTCGTTTTGGACTCAATTCATTAGATTCATTTTCAAACGAGTTTAAATTTTTTTTGAATCATCTCGATTCGTGTATATCTCAAGATAAATTTAAATGTATAATATTTTTTATTTATATTCTAAAACTATCAAATAAATGATGATTTAGTATAAAATTTAAATATTAAAATACTAAACTTAAATATATAGAAAAAGTTATACATATATATAATAAAAATAAAATTATATATTAATTTTTATAAAATATATAAAAATATTAATAAAAATAATTTTTATATATATTTGAAAAAAACATCCACCTCGTGAAACAGTTTATGACTCATCGCGGTGACTCGTTAGAGTTCGTAGATGTGATGAATAAAACAAATCGCTGAAGAAAGGATTATGTAAGCATGCATTATGTTATGCCTTCCTTAACTAAATAAGAACATGGACCGGCGTCTGAGGTCTCTTTGATAGTGATAAATAAATATACAACGTATAAATATATATACATATGTATATATATTGTACTACCCTTTTTAAAACCAACATATCTTATAAAATAATATAATATTAATTTTTAATAAAATAAAAAATAATAAATGATAGATTATTTCTTGATATTTGGTAGGTTGTTATAATTATCTTTTCTGGAAAACGTAATGTAATAAAATAAATAATAATGAACTACTATAATAACATCATTTACTATTGAAGAGTTTTATTTTTTTAATCTAAACAAACTAAATTATATCTTAAAACAATATTAATATATTTTACTAATTTACTATATGATCTATTTTCTTAATTATATCTTAAAAATAAAATAAAATAATTTAAAAAATTAAAATAGTAGTTACCAATTTAAATTAAAAAGTATAAAATATTTAAAACAATATTAATATATTTCAATAGTTTATTTTTTTATTTTATATATTTGTAAATTATCTATATCAAAATAATATAATAGTATTTTTAAACAAATATAATAATAATTGGGGGTCACATAATGCTTTTCGTATATTGATATAAATTGATTTAATTTTTTTTATAATAATACATAATTTATTAAAATAACAGTTTTGAAATTTTTTAAAAGTTTAACAATGAAAACAAACAAAGAACTTGACAAAAAATATTTTAAAATATTAACACTAAAATTATACAAAAATGACATTTTTAGCAAATTTATTTTCCTAATTAAACATCAATCTAAGGAAGGCTTGCGTATGGAAGGTATTTTTGATATAATGCCAAAATATCTAGCATATTTACATTGCTATGTGAACAATTTCGGGGAAGACTTGCATATGCAAATAACGCCACCTTGTTGTTAAGATAATTTTTGGAATCTAAATACTTATAAGCAATATTAAAGTTAAAATTATACAATCCATTACATAATAAGTAAAATCATGTTAAATAGCTATTTTTGTATGAAATACCAATAAAAAGATAATAATTATCCAGAATTATTTGCCCAATTAAACATGTAGGAGAACTAATATCCCACAAATGGTGAAAAAATTAACATATCTGCGCTCTCTCCTAATATGCAAATAAAAATGTCAGATTCTGCCAGAAAATTTTTGGTATTTGAATATTTTTATGGACTAAAAAAATAACAGTTAAATATAATTATAAAGATGTGTTTTTTGGCAGAACACCATCATCTTCCACCACTCGGCCCATTTCTGTCGAAAACCCTATCTGTTTGCTCCACAGCTTCTCTAATGGCCGACCCAATTCCTCTTGCACTCTGATTCCATTTTCCTCTAAAATATTTTTTTCTTCATATTCGGAACCTTTTCTCCTGCTTGAGATCCAGAGATTTTAGGGTTCTTAAAGTTAAAAAAAAAAAACGGCAGAAACACATACACACAAAAGTTAACGTTTGGGAGAAGGCGAGAATTGCCATGGCTTCTGTGAATCTGAGTTCGTGTGTTCATCCATGCTATTCCTCTGTTCTCAACCAAGCGAGACGACCCCGATCAGTACCCGGTTCCGGATCCGCAATCGTACCCGGGTCCGGACCCTCCCTCAAGAGTCTCTCCTTCGTCCCTCGCCCAAAACGCAGCGGCTTGTGCGTTGTCACTAGAGAAGACAGCACTCACCAGGAGGAGGAGAACCGCAAATCCGCCTTCGATTTCAAGGCCTATATGATCGGTAAGGCCGAATCGGTGAACAGGGCACTCGACCTCGCCGTCCCTCTCGGCGAACCCATCAAAATCCACGAAGCAATGCGTTACTCTCTCCTCGCCGGCGGAAAGCGAGTCAGGCCGGTCCTTTGCCTCGCCGCGTCCGAGCTCGTCGGCGGAGATGAGTCCTCCGCCATGCCCTCCGCCTGCGCCGTCGAGATGATCCACACCATGTCCCTCATTCACGACGATCTGCCCTGCATGGACAACGACGACCTCCGCCGCGGCAAGCCCACCAACCACAAGGTCTTTGGCGAGGACATGGCCGTATTGGCGGGAGACGCACTCCTGGCTTTCGCGTTCGAGCACGTGGTGGTGGCGACGGAGGGTATTTCTCCGGCGAGGGTCGTCCGGGCAGTCGGGGAGCTGGCGAGGTGCGTCGGAAGCGAAGGGCTTGTGGCTGGGCAAGTGGTGGATTTAAGCAGCGAGGGGCTGAACCAGGAAGAGGTGGGGTTAGAGCATCTGGAGTTCATCCATGTCCACAAGACCGCGGCTTTGCTCGAAGCCTCTGTGGTTATCGGTGCGATAATGGGAGGCGGATCGGACGAGGAGATCGAGAGGCTCAGACAGTTCGCGAGATGCATTGGGCTTCTGTTCCAGGTGGTGGACGACATCCTCGACGTGACGAAGTCGTCGCAGGAACTGGGAAAAACGGCCGGAAAAGATCTGATCGCGGACAAGCTGACGTATCCGAAGCTGATGGGTCTGGAGAAATCGATGGAGTTCGCCGAGAAGTTGAAGCGGGAGGCTCAAGAACAGCTTCAAGGGTTCGATTCGGACAAAGTGGCGCCTCTCTTGGCTCTGGCCAATTACATTGCCAGCAGACAAAACTGATTGATTTACTTTATAACCGAAAATGGAAAATGTATTAACTTCATAATGCATAAATTCTTGGACAAAAAGAAATAAAAACCCAACAGAACTTCTAATTAGTGATGTAAAACGGGCTAGCTCGAATCGGTCCGGACCGCCTCGTCTCGAGCCATTTCATTTTTGGTTCAGTCTGTTCGGCCCATTTTTTTACGAGTCAGAAAAATTCTGACCCAGACCAAATTGTCCGAACTCCGAGTCGGTTCACGAACTAGCCCGTTTTTATCTAATTATCCGATTTTTTTTTAAATTACATGAAAATTAATAATTTAAAGAAAACAAAACAATATTTTGAAGTCATCCAACATAATATAAAATATTTAACATAACAATCTATAAAATTATATCTAAATCAAGAAAAATTAACAAAACCAAACCAACATAAAAAATGTAATACACCAACATCAAAATATAACAAAAAATATACACCCAACATCAACCTAAAAAATGTCATACACCAACAACATCATAATCTAACAAAAAATATATACCAACATCAACATATCATAAATTTTAATTTGTTATATATACTGAAGAAGTGAATAAATTAAAGTATGAAACCCTAATATTTTTTAATGTCAGCTCGCGAGCCGGCTCACGAGCCGAGCGAGCTAGTCCGGATGGATCCGGGCTCGTCGCGAGCTGGCTCATTCGACCCGTTTTTATTTGGTTTTTTATTTTTGCAGCCCAACTCGATAAAAAACGAGTCAACCGCGAACCAACTCGTGAGTCTGGCTCATTTTGCCATCACTACTTCTAATATTGGTACTCTCTGTTTAAAGCATGAAAGAGAAACAGAAAGTGCTTTCGTTTATTTTCTTTCCTAATTTTCTCTCCATCCAAACAAGCTCTGGGAACAGTGGAGACCGTGTGGAGATGTTCATCGCCAGATTCTCTCTGCCCATGTCTGGATGCCATGTACAAGTGATCAAAGCTCCTGCCTTTCCTCTTCGGCACACGGTTTGGATTTTGATAAGCTGGATTTCGCATCAAGAAGACGAAGAAGGAGATTCACCAAAAAAAAAACATAAAAGCACCTGTTTGTAGTTCAGATTCCGGAGTTAGGATCCTTAGATTCGAACCGAGTCATCATCAAGTTTGCTTGCAGCAGGAGTGTATATATATATATGCATGTATGTATATCTTGCAAGACAAAGAGAGTGTATATACATATATGTATGTATGTATGTCTATGAAATAACCAGGTGGAACGTATAATATAAGCAGCAGAAGAGAAAACTTGAATATCCACCAAAACATGGAGAAGGGTATCAAACTTTCGCATGATTTTGTTTTCTCATAAATGCTACTATAATGTATCTGGAATATTTTTTTTTTGTCAAATCAAGAAGTTCACCTGGACCTTCGGTCCAACCTACATCTCCCTGGGCCCGGGAATAGCCTTTGAACACACAGCCTTTGGCTATGCCTCTCCCTCTCCGCATGTCTGGATTCGAACCCCTGATCTGGAGGAGGAACACCCTCACTTCCAGTTCAGATACCACTCGACCACAGATATGTGGGTATGTATATGGAATATTTAGACATTTACATTTTTATATATATATATATATATATATATATATATATATAATATTAAAAAAGTTTCGCATTGGGTGTATCAAAAACAATATTTTTTTTATAAAATTAGTTTCTACTAAAAAAAACTAAATTATCTGTTTAAATTATTCTGATTATCAATAATGACAAATAGATTATTTTATAATTTTTCATTATATCAAAATCTAGCTAATTTTCAATATATTGAAAAGGTTATGTGATGATGAGACTATTATGACAAAATACCAAATTCAACGGGCAGAAATCATCATATCAACTGAAGAAAGCGGGAATTATATGATTGACAGCGAAATGAATGAAATGTAGAATAATAATGTGTACTTTTGCATATGCAGAAAGCCGACTTCGTGTGAATGAACAATTACAAGGAAATACGATTCTTCGACCGGATTTGCTTGTGTTTTTTGCATGTGTAGTTGTGATTTTTTTTTATTATATTAAACGAACTATATCACATTTTAGATATTGTGTTTTTTTACAACAAATGCTGTATTATATGTTATTGATGATTTTGTACAGATATTGGAATTATTTTTTGAATTTACAAATATATTCAATTTATGAAAAACTTTTTTGAAACATCTTTGATAAATTATTTAATTTTTTTTCCAATAATGTAAACAAAATACAACTTAAGATATTTCAAAAATAAATTCATCATATATGCAATAGATGTAATATATTTTCTATATAACTTGTATCTAATCACCTATACGGCATTAACAATATATCATCTTAAATTTATAAATAGCTCGTAAATTATAATAATTTATAAACTAATCTATAAAATATATCACAAATATAATCCAATAATATTAAAAGTGTTGACAACCGTAAAAGAATCCTGCGCTCTTACCAAAGGAACGGATCAAGCATTCACGCTCTTTGTGTGTCGAGATTATTATATAATTCATAATTTATTTGCTTTCGGTGTAATTTTTTAACCTTCAAGCATTTAATGGTCATCTTTTTTCTTCCTCGTCGACGTTAACGCGTTGATAATACTTGATATAATTTATTGTTAATGTGGTTATATATATGTACAAATTATGTAATCTTAAACATAACAACAATGTAATAAATTATAATGTACGAGATAAGATTTAGATTATGAAATTGATAAAGTGACGACAAAGAATTGCAGACTTTTTTCCTCGTATCTCAAATTGGACATTTTCAGAATGCCGTTCATTTATTTTTTTATTCATTTTTTTTATATAATGTCCTTGTTCTATTACAAGTTATTTATATTATAATGATTTATAATCCGAAGTAATTATATTGAACAAGAAAAGGAGAGAGGGAACTGATTATAATGCTTCAAATAAGGAAACGTGCAAAGCGGGCACGATTCCACGTTTCTGCACATCTTTCGTAATCTAGGTGCCGATATTATAAAAAAAATGAAATTAATGTGTATTTCAATACCTTAAAACACGATCCTTTAATATTTATTTTGTTATATAGCATTTACGAGTTTATTTTACTCGTCGTTTTCTTCTGGATCCACGAGACACATGAAAATATATTTGGTTTTACGATTTTATGATACGCCATTTTGTCGTGTGGACCATTTTAAATTCAGAACGATGACTGAGTGCTGTCCGTTCGTTTGACCATATGGTACATATAAACACGGCTCAAGATGAAAAGACTGAGCCTCACGACAATGGAAGCCCAAGCCTTGACCTTGTCTGCCCTCTTCCTCCTCGTCTCTCTCGCATTCTTGTTTGGAAGAAGAATCAATCACAATCGCAATCGCAAACGCTACCTCCGGTTTCTGCGTCCCGCAAACGCGCTGCGTCTGATCCACCGCCTCCGTCTCCAATGGCGTCCGGTCGACATAGTCATCAGAAGAGAAGACAGATGTCGTTTCTTAGTTTCAGACATCGACTTCGACCTGAAGTCTTACATGATCCGTAAGACCGAATCCATCGACGACGCCCTCGACGCGGCCGTGCCGCTGGTGGAGCCTGTCAAAATCCACGAGGCAATGCGTTACTCTCTCCTCGCCGGCGGCAAGCGAGTGAGACCGGCGATCTGTCTCGCCGCCTGTGAGCTCGTCGGCGGTGACATCTCCGCCGCAATGCCGTCGGCTTGTGCGGTGGAGATGATCCACACGATGTCCCTCATCAAAGACGACCTCCCTTGTATGGACAACGACGACCTCCGCCGCGGCAAGCCCACCACACACAAGGTCTTCGGAGAAAACGTCGCCATTTTAGCCGGCGGCTCGCTCCTCGCATTGGCCTTCGAGCATATAACAGCGGAGACGCCGGAGACGGTGGCTCCGGCAAGGATTGTCCGAGCCGTGAGGGAACTGGCGAGGTCGATCGGGACAAAAGGGCTCGTTGCAGGACAAGCGATGGATCTGAAAAGCGAAGGTTTGAACGTGGAAGACGTGACGTTGGAGCAAGTGGACTTCATCCACGCCCACAAGACGGCGGCGTTAATGGAAGCTGCGGCGGTTATGGGGGCGTTAATGGGCGGGGGATCCGATGAAGAGATAGAGAAAGTTCGAAGCTTTGGGAGATGCATTGGGCTGCTGTTTCAGGTGGTGGACGATGTGTTGGACGCGACGAGATCGTCGGAGGAATTGGGGAAAACCGCCGGAAAAGATCTGGTCGCCGACAAGCTGACGTATCCGAAGGTGGTGGGTCTGGAGAAATCGAAGGAAATCGCAGAGAAACTGAAGAGAGATGCCCAGAATCATCTTCTAGGGTTTGATTCGGGCAAGGTGGCTCCTCTGCTGGCTCTTGCTGATTACATAGCCAACAGACAGAACTGATGTGGCAAAATTGTAATTAATGTGACTTTTCTGATCTCAATGTATTTCATTGTGGTTTTATGTTGGCCAAGATTTACGATCTATGATGTGCTCAGAATATATTAATTCTTCCATAGACGAACCATATTAATTCTTTTTAAATTTTTTTCATAAAATCGTATAATGCACGATTAATACACGTCTACTTTTATGTAATGATGAAAAAGAGTGATTGAAATTTAATAATCGGATAGACAAAAATGATGTTAAAATAAATGTTATAAGATTACAGAAATATTTGAACTCATAAATTCTTTATTCCGAGAGTCAACATGCTGTGTACAAAATTTATATCATCAACAAAAATGCATATAACTTATTTTAAATATATAGAAATAAGATTCTAATACATATATATATATACATGATATCATAAATAAATAAAGGAAAATACACAACATAATAATATCAATTAACGATTCTAAACCGGATTTACAACTTATCAATAAGATGAACTCAATCGTCTATATCCACCAATAATTGTTCCCATTGTTATGTCAAATTATTCCTATACCTAAAATCAACAAAAATTCAACTAACTCTACTTATTAGAGCCTCAATTTTTTTTTTTCATTTTGGAATTTCATTCTAGATGAACATCAGGATAAGCTAAAACTCTCTAATACAAGGATAATATATATGACCAATTAAATATATTTTTGATTAATATGAATATTTTTTAATAATTATTTCGTTATAATTTGGGAGTTCGTAATTGATTGTTTAAATAATTTAAATAATTTGTGTACTTATTATTTTGCTAGTTTATTCAAATATTAATAAGTTCTATATTTAGATTTTTATAAAACAATATATTTTCAAGGCTAAAATCAAATTGTTGTTTCAGAAGAAAAAATCCGAGTATATTAGAAAATAAAATTAAAAGTCAGAACAGAGTTTGGATTCTGGAACTTTCCTTCGGCTTGAAGGGTACAAATTTTTACGGCCGTACGACTCTTTGACTTCGTCTATTGTTCCCTTCGATTTTCTAAGATTTAGGGTTCTTCCTGCGTTTCCCCGGGGTTAGGAGCGTCCAATCGATTTGTTTCGCATAAGAGGTCAGTGTTGATTGTTCATTTCTCGCTCTTTTCCCTAATTGTTCGATCTAGCTTTTATTAGTTCAATTTCAATTCTATGCACTACTTTATTTTAATTTCCCGACGAAGAATTTGGTTGTCCTTTTTTAACTTGAGGAAGATCTAGGGTTTTCGTGTTGGATAGCCTGTAGTTCTGGTACGCGGCCAGGTCTAGGAGCGCGAGATTCTAGTTTTCTAGGGTTTATCTTATCTTCTGATACGAGTTATTCGATACGCTAATCTCGGACTTTGGTTGATTTCTTCCTGGATTTAGGGTTTTATAGATTTGTAGACGCTGGATTAAGCTGGACATTTTTTTGGGATCGAATGCCATCTCCTCATGTTGTGGGATGGGTTTGTTTGATTGTTTGATTTGCAGGGAATTTGAAATTTGATGTTCTCATAAGATCAAGAGATGGTGAATGGAGAGTCCACAAGCATACCTTCCGAGAGCTCGTCTTGCTCGAGTAATAACACAAACGATCAGGGAGGCTTTGAGTGTAACATCTGCTTCGAATTAGCTCAAGACCCCATTATCACTCTCTGTGGCCACCTCTTCTGCTGGCCGTGCCTCTACCGTTGGCTTCACCATCACTCGCATTCCCAGGAATGGCCAGTTTGCAAAGCCCTAGTCCAAGAGGATAAACTCGTCCCCCTCTATGGAAGAGGTAAAAACCAGACTGACCCGAGATCGAAATCATACCCGGGCATGCAAATTCCAAGCAGACCGACTGGTCAAAGACCAGAAACAGCTCCCCCTCCTCCTCCTCGACATGAGCCGAATAGCTTTTTCGGTGCTGGGATTGGCTCGAGGAATGCCCAGTTTGCAAAGCCCTAGTCCAAGAGGATAAACTCGTCCCCCTCTATGGAAGAGGTAAAAACCAGACTGACCCGAGATCGAAATCATACCCGGGCATGCAAATTCCAAGCAGACCGACTGGTCAAAGACCAGAAACAGCTCCCCCTCCTCCTCCTCGACATGAGCCGAATAGCTTTTTCGGTGCTGGGATTGGCTCGATGGGCGGGTTTATGCCCATGGCAAGCACCAGTATAGGGAATTTTACCATGGGGATTGGAGGGTTGTGGCCATCTTTATTCAACTTCCAGTTCCACGGATTTCCCGATGCCACTTTCTTTGGCTCAACAATGGGGCACCCTTTCGGTGGTTTCCACAATGACTTCCATGGCGGCCATGCTCATGGATTTCCCAGCCGTAATAACCCAATGGCAAATGGTGGACATCAGGCAGATGCAGCTCTCAAGAATCTGTTCATAATAATTGGTGTCTGCGTACTAATCGCTTTGCTGTCCTGGTAATCAGATTTCTCATTCCATCAGCCTGTAAATGTGTTCTACTGTTTATAGTTGAGTCAGTGGATGTTTTCTTTATATCTTTCAAACAGGTATCTCTATCTATAAGCTGTTCTGCAACTCTCGTTTTCATGATTTTCATGTCATTTTTTTTTTCTATCTTCATTAATAATCAGTTGTTACATATCGTGGTTTAGTGTATGTCATATGGATATTGATTATTATCTAGGCCCATTATTGGCACAAAGACCCAATAATGTTCCGAACTATAAGGCCAGTGCCGGGTGGCCCATTCATATATTCGTAATTAACATTTTGTTTTTTTATTTAAATTTGTTTTCATATTTCAGAGAATGATGTTTGTTACATATAATAGTTTTATTTGGTACATTTTGCGTGCCTCATTATTACAATCTTTGGACTCTTTTAAGCTAATGACTTTTTTTTTCCATTTGTTATTATGTTTAAAAAAAACTTAGGTCGAGTAATTAATTTATTATATAATCCATATTGAAAAGCTGTCGTAAAAGTATGATATGATGGTTTCACGCTGCACGTACAGTATCATTTGAAATTTGTTACACCCACTTGCTTATTTCTTCGACATTATTCATAAAAATTTCTATTCGATGTGGCCAGTAAATTTACAATTTATAATTTTCACCTATTATAAATGTGAATATGTGTTGTCATATCGGCAGCTCGCTTTCTAGGCCAAACATATTCATGTATACGAAAGCCATATGTCTACGTGAAATATTCATGGATCCTTCGATTTGATACTATTTTCAGACAGTCCACATGTGGCCTATTCATACACGCAAACATGTAAAGCTGTATGCATTCATATACATGTAAGTACGTATTCAGGCGTGGCCTTGTGTCCCACCGACGAATACGGACACCGATATCACATAACGACGCGAAATATTCAAAAAACAAAATTCAGAAATGGTAAGAAATAAAAGCATGAACGAGAAGGCACTGACCCTAAGGTGATGTGTGATCATTTCCGGACAGCTGTAACCAAACATACCAAAAAAGTGGTACGAAAAATTCCATTTCTGGGACATAAAAAAAATCAACTCGATCTTTGATGACGTGTCACTCTGACAAAAAGTGATTCTCAAGTACAATAATAGTAATAATAACTAAAATCCAAATCACTGACTGCGAGTGATTATCACTGTGTTGTAGAAAAAACAGTGTTGGTGACATTTTTTTTTTTGTCGTGAGTTGTATTTTCATAGATTTATGTAATAAATGTTTTTCGTATGAGATCCTCCACGACAGATTCTATATATTATCATATTACATTTCAATGATAAAATACACACAGAAATTAGAAGTGCATCATTATCATTGAATTATTCAAACTTAAATCTCGATCCACCATGATTAAAAGTGACTAATCGACTGATTGAAAGTCCGATGACATGGTTGATTGATCACGGGATTTCAAACGAACCAATTCGACTCGGATCGAAACCAGTTAACTCATTTTGGATTCATTTCGTTAGATTTGTTTTCAAACGAATCACAAAATCAACCGTTTTACGAATTAAACAAGTCTTGGCAAACCGAATAAATTTAATATTTTTATATTATAAAAATACTAATAAATAATATTTTCCTATAAGATTCATATATAAAAAAAGAGCTATACATATATAACTGATAAACAAATTAAATTAAATATATATTTTTGATAAAAACATACAAATATATTTATTTTCTTTAATGTAAAAAACTCAATAACTCGTAAAATTATTATCAAGATTTGCGGAATAAAATATTGTTGTATTATTGATGATCAAACGAGTTTAGACACACTTATATCTAAATTGTATAGAAATTGAAACTCTTTATATTTCCCAATAATTATCTTACCCAGAACGCGTGGACATAGCGCGCCAAAATTGGCTCGTTATATTCGTTTACGAATTGAACCTTAAAATGCCGGCTCAAGTAGATAACAATTCACCTCTTTGAGTTATTGATCCATTTGCATAATTGTATTTAATTATAAAACTGTAATTTGACCCGGGGACCCCGTGAGAGGTCTCCCGCATTGCTCAAGGTTTAACCATTGATCTCACGAAAATGACCCCACAGATTTAAGCTATTTACAGAGTTTACCCCAAACATTTCACTAGATTCTCAAACTCCCCTTCTTCACTCCTCTATCCTACTCAACTTCGCCGGCAACCTCCTCCTCCCGCCGCTGCTACTCCCTTTCCTTGACCCGACACTGCTTCCCACCGTACCGTCTCCGGAGGCTGATCTCCGGCGAAACTCATCTGCCGGGTAAACGACCGAAGACGCGCATCTCAGGCGACTTTGGCATTTTTCACGCCGGCAGCCGCCGCTCCTCGTGAGAGCGGAATTTGCTTTGACGGCCAATGCGGCCATCTCCTCCGCCTGAAGAGGGCGTCTGAGCCAGCTCAACGGCAGAGCAAAGTAGAGATGGCCGAGCTGGAGCTCCTCGTCGGCGCTAATGGCGGAAACGACGTCGTCGAAGTCCATTTCGTCGGAATCACAGATGAAACACGTCGGATATTTCTGAAGAACGTAACCCACCTTCACCGGCTGCGTGAACTCCATCATCCCCCCGTCTTGTAATATCAGCTTCGCCGTCGCCACGACGTGGGACGAATCGCACGAACTGCAAATACCCATTTCTTATATTCTCTTAAAAGTCTAATTCGCCGCCGTGACTCGCTGAGTCGTGACCCGTTTCCCGGTTAGAGAGAGAGTTCTTTGATTTGTTATGGAAGATAAGATAATGGGACAGCGAGTGGTTTTTGGTGTATATATAGAAGGGTGGAAGTTGGTGCCACGTAGGATTTGTCGCTTTGTGATTATCTCGACGTAGGGTCAATGCCAGGCTGTCAATGGATTGACATACCCTCGTTTTCGGGTATAATTACCACGTCAGGAACTGTACCTTCTATAATCTTCTATCGTCGTTTACACATTTACGAGTCGTACGTAAATTACGATTCTCTCGTGCTAAAAAAATAAATAAATTTACGATTACATTGCCACGTCACCAAACCACGGGTGAGGAGTTAAAACGGACCATCGTCTTACATGTTGTGAAAAATACTCGGGATGCGGGAAAGTTCATTTAAATATAAAACATATATCGTATAAAAAAAATTACATAAAACATATCATTAAATCGATAGTTTACGAAACAATAGTTACAAAAATAATGGTAGATTTCCTAGTGGGTCGCATCTGTTTGTGTTGTTTCAATGTTTTTATTGGTTTGTGTGGGATCTTTTTTTTTATTTTTATTTTCCTTTTTCTTTTTTGTGTGTCGGAATGAAATCTTGGTTTGTCATAAGATTCAACGAAAAAGCTTGCTCTTGTCATTACCATGAAACTTCCCTTTTTTTTTTCTTGTTTAGGATCAAACAATACCATAATCATGAGAAGTTGTCTTGGTCCCTCTAGAGATCGTTCCTCTAATTATAATGATACACTCTGATGTATACATATATATATATATATAGAGAGAGAGATCCAGGAATCTCAATTAATATTTGCTACAAATCTCAGTTAACTATCACATTGAATTTGATTTAAATATATATTTTATTTTCGTATTCAAATAAAACTATCTGTCCCCTACCCTCATATCCTCATACTTCATGTGACATTTTGTTCTGAATTCAGGTAGTTGCTTTATCGTGATCTTTTCAGATCACAACCCTGGTGTACGGACAATGGTAGGTGCATGCATGTACTTTCTTTTTTGGTGGAATGTGCGTGCATGCATGTACTTAACAAGCCGGTGCCTTCTTATAATCTATAAATTTTGTTTCTTTTATATAATTAATATAATCTGTATGATGATATCGCACTCCGATGCCTATAAATCTGTTGAAAAAAAAATCGGATTAAGGTATTAAGAAGTAAAAAGTTATTATCATAGAATTAAATTTCGATTCATTTTTTTAAGATGGATTATTTATCTGTATATCTGAATGTATATTCATCTTCTCTTTCCATTCGAAACCTCTGAAAAATCTTGAGACAAGAAATAGAAATCATACAAAAGACGGACATTCAATCTTTATACATAGTTCACAGCCATAGATAGATAGGGTTTTATATATGTTCATCGATCAAGCTGGGCATACCAAATTCCCTGAATCTTGACATCCTGAGGAGACTTAGCACCCAAGTCAGTTTCAGAAGGCTGAATGCTCTCGAACACACCAATCACTTCCCCAGTCTCGGGTTTTGTCTTCGTGATACTGAGAGTGATCTTACCAGTGGAAGAGGCAGCGTCCTTTTTGTTCTCCTTTGCCAGTTCCTCGTCATCTCCTCCGGCTGGCAATGCAACCGCGTTAATTGTGAGCCGCCGCGTCCCTTTTGGGTCCAAGAACGAGGATCCTCTCACTACAAAAAAAATGGTCATTTCCAACGGGTAAATCCGTTGGAAATGGCCAAATTTCCGTTGGAAATTAACGTTTCCAACGGACGGTTTTATCCGTTGGAATTTCGTCGTTAGAAATCGGTGTCCGTTGGAAAACCGTTGGAATTTTCAACGGAATTGCAACGAATTTTTCCGGAAATTTCCAACCGGCATCCGTTGGAATTTTCCAACGGAATTTCCAACCGATATCCGTTGGAATTTTCCAACGAAAAATTCGAAACATATTCCCGACCCGACCCGACACCGACCCCAACCCCGATCCCGACCCCGATCCAACCAAACCACGATCCCGAAACTCACTTCCCAGTAGGTAACCCATCCTTCCACTGCTCCAGCTCAATCCTCCTTAACCCTAGAGTTCTAATTAGAATTCTTCCAACTCCTCCAAATTAAACTTCTGATATCATATAACATTAATATATATACATATTCAAATTCATATATATATATATATATATTTGTTATGTATATGTATATGGTTAATATATATATACACTTATTCGTATACATATATGTGTATATACACACACATCATATTTGTATATATAAAAATATATAAACACAAAATATATCTATATTTATACATATATAGATGTATAAATATACAAAATATTTGTTTATACGTATATATACACCTCCTTAATATACATATATATACATCGCTGCTCCTTTAACTGAGATCATCAAGAAAGATGTGGGATTTAAGTGGAAAAAGGAGCAAGAGAACACATTCAACACTCTGAAAGAAAAGCTAAGTTCTACTCCTTTATTGGTTTTACCGGATTTTTCAAAAACATTTGAAATCGAATGTGATGCTTCTGGAATTGGTATCGGTGCAGTTCTTATGCAGGAGAAAAAGCCTATTGCTTACTTTAGCGAGAAACTCAGCGGCGCAACTTTGAATTACTCCACGTACGATAAAGAACTCTATGCATTGGTGAGAGCTTTTGAGACATGGCAACACTACTTGTGGTCTAAAGAATTCATAGTCCACACCGATCATGAGTCTCTGAAGCATTTAAAGACACAAAACAAGCTGAATCGAAGACATACACGTTGGATCGAGTTCATCGAGATGTTTCCTTATGCGATCCAATACAAGCAAGGCAAGGAAAATGTTGTGGCTGACGCATTATCGCGTAGGTATACTCTTATCTCAACTCTTGATGCCAAACTATTAGGTTTTGAATTCTTGAAAGAGTTATACTTGCATGATCATGACTTTGACAAAATATTTGTTGCATGTGAAAAGAAAGCATTTGAAAAGTTTTATCGACATGATGGCTTTTTGTTTCGTGAAAATAAGTCGTGAACTGCATAAGAAATTTAAAGGCGTAAATGTCTTTGAGTTGCTCGAGCAGTTGAAGACAATGTTCCAAGAGCATGCGAGTGTTGAGAAATACAACACGTTGAAGAACCTACTTGCATGTCATTTGACGACAGGGCAATCGGTTAGCACTCATGTTCTTAAGATGAAGGGTCATCTTGAAAAACCTGAGCGTTATGGCTTGAGAATGGATAGGGAGTTGGCCGTTGACCTTGTGCTCCAGTCTCTTCTAGACTTCTATGATCAGTTCATTATGAGCTATCATATGCATGAGATGGATCAGACCTTGATTGGATTGCATGGGATGCTTAAGATGGTCGAGACGAGCATTAAGGTGGAAAAGAATGTGCTCGTTGTTTCGAAGAGTTTGAAAAAGCGGAAACGTTCCAAAGGAAAGGGCAAAGGCAAGGCAAGTGGGGCAAATGTTGCCAACAAGCCTAAGCAAAACCCGAGAAAGGAGAATGCCATTTCTGCCATGAACCTGTTCATTGGAAAAGAAATTGTAAACTCTTCTTGGAAGATCTGAAGAAGAAGAAGCTTAGTGAAGCTTATGCTTCAGGTATTTGCGTTATAGACTAACGTATTCACTTCTTCATCCTGGGTATTGGATACCGGATGTGTCTCACACATTTGTAGAAATGTGCAGGGTCTGAAAAGAAGTAGGACATTGGCTCGAGGTGAAGTAGATCTACGCATCGTAAATGGAGCAAAAGTTGCTGCATTGGCCATTGGCATTTATGATTTATCTTTACCGTCTGGACTGGTTATAGAACTAAGTAATTGTACTTTGTGTCTGCTATAAGCAAAAGCATCATTTCTATTTCTTGTTTGGATTTGGATGGTTTTCGGTTTGATATTGAGAATAAGAACTTGGTGATGTTCAAATACGATATCTATTATGGTAATGGTTACCTTGTGAATGGATTGTATATCTTGAACGATCAACCTTCCGATTCAATGTCTGTTTATACTCTCGGGCTTGCCCGATGCGACCAGTTGCTTGATCGTGAACAGGAATGGCGTAGTCCATATACCGTCTTTCTCCTCAAACTTCACAGATATGTGAATAAGAAGGGCCACAACCTCGAAGGGGCCTTCGATTTCGTCGAGAGTGTACGGGTCATGACTCGTGAGCTTGGTGTTTTGGAATTTGGGTGGGGAATTCTTGCTAACTCCCTCCGCCTTGACAGTGAAGGAAGTGGGTTCGAATTAGAATTTCTTGGCGTAGTATTTGCCTGGCTTGATGGCGAATGAATCTGATCCTCCTTCAATGGTCGGACACTGGTTAGCAGTTCCTGTTCCTTTCACTTCTAAAGTATGTCTTGCTTTGGATTTCCTCGAAAGTTAGCCTATTTGGCACACCCTCTGTCTTTGCCTCCTTCACAAGTCACTCACCATTTTAGAACCTCATCCAATTACATATCTAAAAAAAGTGTTGGTCAGGCCCTAACGATCTCTTCTTATGATCCGAACTCCCACTGAGTACTTTGATAAACATTATGACAGAAAGCTGTGATTTTCTCAGATAAATACATTCAGATGGGAATCATATAATCAACCCAACATGTCGCGTCAAAATGGAAGACGTAAGAGCCAAGAAAGGGTACCGAAATGAGGTGGCGAGGGAGAAACCGGCGATCTTGGCTGTGTCAGCGAATTTTTGACCTAAGTCTCTGAGATCGGACTGGAGAGAGCAGCTGCCGGTTCAATGCCGAATGCTTTAGATACGCTCTGTGTGGACCGGAGATGCACGGCGGCGCGTGGAGGAACAACCTTGTCAGTTGCACCAGCGTTGCGGCGGCTTGTCAGGACGCGGCCATTGTTGTGATCAGACAAAAGCTTTTATTCCTTTTTTTTTTCTGCTATTCGCAAGAAACAAAAGAGGGAGAGTTAGTTAAACCTCAGAGATTAATACGGAAGAAGAGATTTCGAGGCGATAAGGGAAAAAGAACATGTCGACAAGGCTTCTGCCTATTGGTTGGATTGGTTCATCTGGTTCTGTCGTATGCTACGTGGCGAGTTCTTGTTCGTTGGAATTCCGTTCTGGCTGTACGTGAGAAGGCGAGAAGGTACGCTTCAAATCTAATATGATGACTTGCAATGCTAATGGAAAACTTCGGGAATAATAATATGAGATGATAAAAAATAAAACGAACATATATATATATATATATATATGCATGAAAATTATTCTAATGAGTGGATATTATTTAATGATTAAATTTGTCATAGAATATGGTAACGAATCACTTGTTTTATTAATCATTCGAATGATTATCTTGCCCTAATTCATGGTATCGGTGAAAGAGAATGATTTTTTATCCCTTTGATTTTTAGAACGAAAATAATTATTTTATTTAGATAGTTATTCAAAATTTATAGTTAGATGTTTTTTACACGTCGTATTGGTTTAGTTATAAATTAATTTTTATTCGCATTTAACTTTCTTTTTATTAGATTTAAAATTAAAACATTATTTATATTATCTTAATCCATCTCGAATTACTTCTTACCATTCACTCTAAAATTAAATCGGTTGTCTTAGCCCCAAATATCTTCTGGGTAATATATATTCTCTGATATATATATAAATTTGATTTTTCTATTTCCTCTCGATCTCCAAACTTGGATTTTCCTCTGTCACCAATGGCTTCAACAGCTTCGTTTTCTCTGCTCGGCGGTAATGTCGGCCTTCAGCGCGCGAGAAATGCTCACGTCATCTCATGCAAAGCGCAGCTTAGAGAACCTTTGTTTTCTATTTCCTCTCGATCTCCAAACTTGGATTTTCCTCTGTCACCAATGGCTTCAACAGCTTCGTTTTCTCTGCTCGGCGGTAATGTCGGCCTTCAGCGCGCGAGAAATGCTCACGTCATCTCATGCAAAGCGCAGCTTAGAGAACCTTTCCCCCCGCCGCTGCCGTCACGCGCCGTCTGGCGCAGGGAGCTGCTGTTCTCGCTGACGGCGGCGACGGTGGTGACAGCCCGGCAGTCGGAATCAATGGCGGGGGATATTCCGTTGTTCGGTATAAGGAAGCAGATAAGGAAGGCGGAGGAGGAAGCGGTGGAGATCGTGAAGGAAGGTTTCGAGACGGCGGAGAAGGGGATAGAAGCGGCGGAGAAAGGGATAGAGGCGGCGGAGAGAGGAATACAGACGGCGGAGAGAGGAATACAGACGGCGGAGAGAGAGATCGAGACGGCGGTCAGTTTCGGCGGATTGGCGCAGGCGGGGGCTGTCGCCGCGGCGGAGTTCGTCGGCGTTGTTGTCGCCACGTCAGTCGTCAACGGGATCTTGGGACCGGAAGCCCAGAAATCGTAGAATTCTCTGAGATTTTCTTTTTGTCCCTCTGAAAAAATTTGATCTTTATGTATGTTTTCTGCAACTTCCATTGAACATTATCCTTCATGTTGATAAACTGGAGAAAAATTCAATGTCTCAAAATTAAAATCTGGTCTGAAATTATGTTTCAGAGTCCTAAACGTATCATCGACCATGCCCAGAAGAAGAAAAATCAAAATCTGTGGACGAATATAATCCTTTTTTTTTCCCAGAATTATTAAAATGAGTGGCTCCTAATGCTTAGACAGAGCAAGAAGCTACAGCTACTGTTTATGATAATATTGGTATCAAGAGAGTATATTGTATGCTTTTGCTCTTCCAATTAACCTGTAAACTAAGCAGTGCTGTCCGTACATCATCTGCATCTTCCCCTCTCCGACTCTCCGTCGACGATGGCTCGCTTAGCTTTCCCCTTGAATCCTCTATCTGATCATAAATTACATCCAAGCCTCCAATGCCCTCGATCTCTGTTTCTAATCCAAACAGGAGCTCCACGATTTCGAGTTCTTCGCTGCCGAACAAAACCAGAAGCCGCCGAAACCCAGGTAAAACCCGTTAGAGAAAGGAAGAAAAGCTTCGATCTTTCTCCCGCGATTTCGAGTTTTTGAAGGTTTGATTGGATTGTGATGCAATTGGCTAAATGGGTCTCGCGTTTCTTGGTTCAGGAAAAGCTGGTTGTCGATGGCGGCGGCTCTGTTGGTGATGGTTCGTCGTCCTCAGTGAAGACAGCGGATTCATCTCCAGCTGATTCTGCTTCTGGGTTCCCCGAATTTCCCACCAAAGAAATCAACAAACGAGTTGCGCTCGCCTCTGCAGTTGCAGCGTTAGGGCTTTTTGTATCGACGAGGCTCGATTTTGGGGTTTCCTTGAAGGATTTGTCCGCTTCGGCATTGCCTTACGAGGAGGTTCCGGTTCTTCCTCTGATTCTAAATGTCAGAAATTCCTGTCGTAACCAATCTGCATTTGGGATGACATTGTTGTTGCTGTTCTTAGGCTTTGTCGAATGGGAAACCCACTGTGGTTGAGTTCTACGCCGACTGGTGCGAGGTGTGTCGGGAACTAGCCCCAGATGTGTACAAAGTCGAGCAGCAGTACAAGTATGGCGAAGTTGCTGACTCATATAACCCTTATATAGATCAATATGGAAGATTTTTACTTGCACAATTCTACCCAATCTGTGATGATTCTGGAACTTGTAAATGTCTGGTTATTGCAGATGCCAAACTGGTTAGTTAATGTTTATGATGCCATGTTTTCTCACAGGGACAAGGTTAACTTTGTGATGCTAAATGTGGACAACACCAAGTGGGAACAAGAGCTTGACGAGTTTGGTGTGGAGGGCATTCCCCATTTTGCGTTCCTTGACAAAGACGGGAACGAGGAAGGTAATGTGGTAGGAAGGCTGCCGAAGCAATTTCTCGGGGAGAACGTAGACGCTCTGGCGCGCGGCCAGCCGTCCATTCCTCATGCCCGTGTCGTGGGAGAGTATTCAAAGGCCGAGTCTCGTAAGGTTCATCAAGTGGTTGATCCAAGAAGCCATGGATAAGACAGACACCCCCTCCCTCTCTGCTGCTTTTCAAGAAGCTGAATCCAAAATTTCCACCAAAAGATCAGATAACTGTAGTTCCCAGCTGATACATATATATATATATATATATATGTTTGTATACGTGCGTATATATGTATATGTATATGTTTTGGTGGGATCACTCGGTTATATAAGGCCCAGTTTAGATTGGAAACAGAAACTCGGTTCCATCTTAAGAACATGGTTCAGAAGTCTGGTTAGATTTCTACCCAATCCACTGGTTTTTCTTCTTATTGTTTATTATGATTTATTTTATCGAACATTTAAAAGAGATAATATTATATTGATTTGACAATGTCAAATACTATTAAAATAACGAAAAATAATAATTTGGAAAAATCTCATCTTATCTACTCTTACATATGCTTAAATCTTCCAGATGGAACCTCTAAATTCAGATTAGATGGTAACAACGACATCGTAGTTTCAGACAAAACCACAATTTTCTTTGGAGACCAAAACTTCAAACACTAACCCACAAGCAAAATCTTGAATCTATGAGTTCCTTTCTTGATGCAGAAAAAAAGGAACAGAGCTTGAAGATCTCTCCCTGTTTACATCTAAAGGACCATTGTATAGAGATTAATCTGTATATACTCATTTTGTAAACTTCTAAAGCTTAAGATCCATTTCTTCCTTCATGTTAGTCGCATTCTTGCGGCTCTGCCCGTCGGATACCGCCTCCTCGTCGTCTTCGTTATCATCTTCTCCTTCGGCAGCCTCTGAGCTGAGGCCTCCTCCATCGCCGGAGAATCCTCTCCGGATGAGCGGCCCTTGCGGAGAATCCGACTGGCTCTCTGAGTCTTTGTCCTTACACGGGATTTGATGCAACCCTCCTGCAGTTTCCACTGTTTCATCAGCCCGGGAAATCGGATGTTTCCGCACATGGATTCTGTATTTCTGCAAGCCAAACAAGACTGATAGCTTATATCTCATGAAAATTAAAATGGCAGAGTTCTAAATGGTTTTGAAGAGAAGATTGCTAAAGGACTTTGCCTGTAAATGGCTTTTGACTTCATCATTGGTTAGGCCTTGGACTTGCATCAGCTCTCTGATCTGTTTCGGCGTAGCCACTGCGTAGAACATGCAGTCAGAATACATATCAAATAACAATGTCGATTTTCCTGAGACGTCAAGTAAAGTTGTGAACTTTAAAGGACGAACCTTTTGAACCTCCGAGACGCTGAAGGGCGTCTATGAATTTCCGGTGGAGCTCCGGCGACCATCGCCGCCGCTGTTCTTTCTTCTGATTTTGGTTCGAGGGTTTGCTCGGTTGATGACGGTCAACTCTGCAATTCACCACCATGACTGAAGCTGGAGGCATTAGGGTTAAAGGAGGAGGATGGCAGCTTCCGTACAGACGCGAAAATGGCGGAAATTCCCCTCCTTTGTTAGCAAAGTTACAGCTCGGAGATGGGTTTGGCGGCGCTGACCGATCTTCTTCCTCTTCTTCATTCCTCTGCCAACAAACATGATCCAATGATTCGTCTTTTTTATTTCTTGTCCTCAACAATGTCTGAAATAAACGAAAGCAATATAAATAAAAGGAGGTTGATTTATGAATTACCGATTGCATTTGGGAATCCGAGTTCGAGATCCATAACTGGGCAGAGCTCATCCAGTTCTTCTTGTCATTTTCCACTTTTGCCCCTCCGCCATCATCGAATTTCCTATTTGATCCTTCAACCGCCGACCCATCTCCGGCCTCTGCGCAACGCGTTGCCTCTTCCTTCAACCTCCCTATTGCTGCAGAATCAAAAGCAATCGATTGAATATCAGAATCAAACCGGGAGGGGAAGAATTTTATCAAAAAAAAGGGGGGAGGGAAGAAACAGAGATTTGTACCTTCATTCAACAAAAGCATGCAGAGAGGGAGTTCCCGTTTAAAAACATCGATCTTTCGCCTCTCTTCCTCCAATCTGTCGACAAATCCATGGATTTCCGACAGAGCCGAAGGACAGTCATTGATCTGCGAGACTTCGTGAAGAAATTCAGACAAGGGTTTCGGCAAGCAGTAGACACCCAGATCTAGATTAAGCTCCATCCTCCGAACCGTATCTGTTTCCACCATCTACCGTTTTCCTTAACACACATCGACCAGATGAAGACGAAGGATCTAAAAGCGTATTTATAGCAGAAGAAGAAGAAAATGGGGACTTGTTAGGGGAAGATGCGGTGAATCGCAGGCGTTGTAAATAATTGGACATCTGGAGGGCTATTCCGTAATTCAAGGAGATTGTATTGACATGGTACAGGAATCTTTTGGATACCGTACACACGCGGCGAATCGTCATCGGATTCCACTGCTACCGTTTATTCCTTTTTTCAGTCGTGGGATTACTGTATTATCCTTAAGACCAACGACCATGTGATCTTTTTACATTTTTGGATTATGAGGTCATTTTAATTAATTAATGTTTTCCATAAATTTTCTAGATTCTCATCCTTTTCTACCCCTTGGATATTTTTATGAAATAATTTTCAATCAATATTTTTTAATAAAATATTGAAAATCATCATCATCATCATAATAATAACAATTTATAATAATAATAATAATAAGTTTTACACTATTTAAAAGCTAGAAAGACCATTTTTTGCGTTTTTAGTTTCACTTATTAATTTTTAAAAATTAATCAAATTTCATATCTGTGCATTATTCTACCATTTTTTTTTATCGGAGAGACATTTAAAATCTACGCGTTCCAAAACTTTTAACTTTGTAAAGTTCAATCATTATATATATATACCATGCCAATCAAAATAAAGATATTATATTTACGAGCTAGTCATCCTTTATTCAAATATATGATAAAAAAATCTAAATTTAAGTTTTGTATAATAAATATTCCGATAGAATAAAAACTCTAGTATTTTATTCTAATATTGGTTCAACCGTGCACGCACACAATATATATATATATATATATATAGTTTTATTTTAATACATAATATATGTTAGTGTATCATCCACACTCAACAAGATTAATAGAATAATAAAATGATATTTTACCAAAATATTGTTTTTTGGGATAATGGGATGATATGGAGCCAAAATATTATTACTGTGAGATGCATGTACGAACACTGTGAATATTAGGTAGAGACAGTTCACATAACACTGGATTGAACCGATTTTAATCGATGCATGGGTCAAAGAGAGGTGGTTAAAATTCAACATGGTTTTTTACCATATGCACCTGTTTTCTCCACTCACATTGATCAACATGGTGAATATATATATATATAGATATGTGTATATATGGCCATGTGAAAGATTCCGCGACACAAAACAACTTTATTTGACACTTTACCTCCTTACAAAGTCGCTTAAATTTATTAGAATTAATTCTACAAATTTAAAGAATTTTGGACCGACTAATGATTTCGTGCAAAAATATACTATTTTTAAAAGGGAGCGTTCACAAATGCCCAAGGAATCAGGCCACTGGCACAATAGGCGGTCATTGTAACCAATAAATTGTCGACACATGGCAGAGAATCCTGATTCTTCCGGAAATCGTTTGGATTGGAAACGTCCAGACTGATAATGGGACACTTAACTAGTCTGATTATAGATTCTCATGTGGGTTATCGACACGTGTCCATCACATTATCTATTAACCACTGTCCATCTGTTTTTGTGGGTAACGTCAGAGCAGTGTCTTCCAACGACCATATTTAAAATATATATATTTTTATCATTGATTTCAACTCGTATTTGCGAACATGTTTTAATGTTAAAACCATATACTTATATATACAAATTGTAAACTATATATATAAATTACTCATTATCATTGCAAAAATCTATAAATTACTCTACAATAAATTTGATATACAAGCAAACAAACGCACGATAATTTCTATAAATAATATAACTTAAGTTATACTGAACCGTTTCAATACATCATACACATTAACCACTTTTCAATACATTCAACGTAATTAATCAGACGATATATTATAGTTAAAAAATCTATATAATTGAATTGAAGATTCCTATATTCTTTTCTAATGAAAGTTTTATTTTTGGACGGTCTTGGTTTCATTTTGTAAAAGATGAATATGCAAAAAGACAATGAAGACGTGTAGCTTTTGAAAAGGATATATATAAAAAAACAAATAAGAAAATTAAATTTTGAATAATATTGACGGTCAAGTCAATATTTCAATTAGTTTGTACAAAGAAAATTTATTGTTATTAATATTATAATTTATTCTAATAATTTATATATATAATTAAATCAGACGGTATATAAAAGTAGGTGTTGGCCCACAACAATCTAGTTCCACCCACGAATATGTTGGGCCGGCTATTGTTTGTGAAGATTCTATATTCGTGGGCCTTAAAACCAGCCCATAAAATCAATAATTATTTCAAACAATTCATTTTTTTTAATCCAAAACCAAAAGCACGACATTGATAATAATTTTATTTTTAATATATGGATAAAAATCGAATTAAACTATTCATTAACCGAAAAAAAAATAAATGTAATGAAACATGACATGTTCTATGTACCATCAATGAGAACCAATTAACAAATGATCAAACTGGCTGTCCTTGCCCTTTTTTTCCTGGTCTGCAAATCTATTGTCTAGCTGAACCATGAAGGAAATAGAAAGAAACTTTTCAATGTTCCATAGATTTGAAGGACTGATGAAAGAAGAACGTCTAAATGGTTTCTATGCGCCTCTTCTCGGGTGATCGCTTATCCTTCTCGCCTTTCGAATCTCTAACCGAGGATCGATTCTCTTTCCCCGTCGTAACATCTTTGCCATTCCCCATTCTGCTTTGATCATGAGCTGTGTGATCCGAGGAGAAGAGCTTCCTGCTTGAAACACTTCTACCAAGGGGCGGCTGTCGTTTGGTAGGGGAGAACAATGGACTGAACTGGTGATGAGACAGAGACTTCGAACGATGATGTTTACCATTTCTAACGGGAGAGTTCTCGTTTAAGCCGTTAGGACTCCCCGGATTTCTCTTGGAAGATGTATGGAGAGCTTCCTGGTATAGACATTGCCTAAAGCCGACAACTTTCTCTTCCAGTCTAACTACTTCCTCCTCAAGAACAGCTACTTCAGCAAGAAGCTCCAATGTCTTAAAACCAAGAGAGATCAAGTTTCGAGATTGAACTTAGACATTCCCATGTCGGTTTCTCCAAACGTAACGGAGAAATGGGTGAAATTTGTACTCACACCGGGAGGGAGATAAGGCGAAAGACGAGGGAGAGCTCCCAATGGCCTAGTGAAAGCCCTCTCCAGTGCTCTGTGCACATTCTCTTCTTGTCTCAGCTTCCTCCTCAGCTTATCAACCTTACACAATCATACAGAAGAGTTACCCAAATGGATCAAAGCCAATCCAATAAAGTGATTCTCAAGAATGATTATAATCATACATCTTGCAACAGTTCCATCCTCCTATCCATGTTAGCCCGGCGACGATTATCCAGAGATTTGCTTGAAACAGCACCTGTAACATTGCCCCTACTCTCCATCTCCTCCTCCTCCTTTCACAGATTTAGACAGACACTAATCAGATTTAAAGAGAAAGGATCAAGAGAACAGACCTATTCATTCCTTAGCAACAAGTGTCTAGTGTGAAACAGCGCACACACACTAGAGATTTGGATAAGAAAGAGTAATCGATGGCTTTCACAAGAACCGAATTCCACAGCTACGTGTGTTGGAAAAAAGCAAGATTCGGTGGTCGCTTATAGACTGATCTCCAAGGCAAGAATCTAAAAACAATCAGAATCTAATAACCCGAGTGAGAGTCACCAGGTTACCACAAAAGCAACAAGCTTTCTCAGAAACTAAGCATACCCACCAAGAAAAAATCCCAAAAACCAGCAAGAAATGGATCAAGGGGAGAGAGAGAGAGAGAGAGAGAGAGAGAGAGAGAGAGGTAACATGATTGTAATGCATTGAAGGAGCTTTCATGGAGGGAAGAGCAGCCCAAACACTTGCGTTCTCTGTTTACCTTTCTTCGACGCTACCGATGTAAATCAAAGAGACCCATAAAACCCACCATAAATTGTGCCACCAAAAAAGAAAGCAAGGTCGCGAAACAGAGGAGAGAGAGAGAGGAAAATAAGAGAAGGAACGGATGATATACAGGGTTCTGTTCTTGATTTTGAAAAAGGTTAATGATGCATTAAATCCATTTCCATGGCTGAATTAGCAACTCCTCCTTATGAAATTACAGAGCGGGAGAAAAAAGTAAAGCGGCCAGAAGAAGAAAATGTGTTGCCCTCTGCTCATAGTTTCCACTGATCCACCGTTTCTGCATTAAATATGCTCATATATATGTATGTATGTGTATGTATATACACATATATTTATATATATATAATCTCGCTCGCATTAGAAAATCTCGAACAGAGCGAGGAGGAGAACTACGAAAGCTCTCGTTGGAGAGAGGAAGCAGCGACAGCAGGCAGAAAACGACGAGAACTTTCCCATAGCTGCTTTTTTTTAAAGCATTTTCATACACAAAGCCCAATTTACAAAAGGCCCAATAAACAGTATAGGCCCAATAAACAAAAGCAATGATCTTAATTTAATTAGCTCTCCCTCTTGTAATTTTAAATATTATTATTTAAATTATGCTTATAAATGGTATTTAAGCAATGAGACGTCATTTAATATTTGTGTTAATGAAACGTGAGCAGAAAAAGTTTGACGAGTTTTCTAGGTTGGTTAGGGTTTTTCGAGGTTCATCAGCGTTCGCGACGGAGGAGGAATCCATAGGAGGGGAGGAAGAAGATGTGGCACGAAGCGAGGAGATCGGAGAAGAAGGTTCACGACATGATGGACGCCGCTCGGAAAAGGGCGCAGCGACGTGCCGTTTATCTCGCCAAACGTCGCGGTGATCCTCTCCAGTCCATCCAAGCCGTTGGATCCCGCTGCCGGATATTCCGCGACGACGGTCTCTATCAAGCCTCCGAGGATCAACAAGGCCTGTAATGATCGCTCTTATCTTCTCTCCTCCCCTCCCAATCTCTGATTCGCGTTTGCTGCTCGTTTTATGCTGTACGTTTTCCATGTCAGGATTCCTTGGAACGGGAAGCAAGATGTTTTGATTGATAGGTAATGATTTGCTTCTAGGGCTTATCAATTCCTCTTGAATTCGGCTGTTTTTTCTCGGGTTGGGTGATTTCGGAGGTGGGTTAAGTGATTGTCCATGGTGGATTGATTATGTGTAGATTCGATGGCCGAGCCCTTCTCGATTTTGTACGCGAGGCTGGGTCGAGGAGCTTCCGGCCCCAGAAAAAGTCGGAAGAGGAGGAAGAAGTAGAAGAGTTTGTTAATTTTGAGCGTTATCGGGATTTAATTAAGCATCGGCGTAGAGGATGTCGGTACCTTTTTCTATTTTCCTGATCATGCACTGTGTTCCAATACGTACATCTTGTTTCCTGTTTGTTTTTCCGATCACGCTAATGAGAAAGACAATGTGAGGAACCGGTCTTCGAGTCAAAATGCGTAATTGAGGTTAGAGTCACTGGGGAATGCTTCATGCTGTTTGACAGTTTCCGATGAGGAGGGTTTGCAACATGTTAATCAAGAACTTGAGATCAAACTCATCGCACCCTTTGTATCACAGAGGTACAATCTCAGCTCCCCAAACGGGTTTTCTCATATTGGTGAAAATGGCATGGCTCTCTACTTCGGTTCGATATGAAGCTGTAATTGCTGGCTTCTGTGTTTGCTCTATAGATCTCAACCAGCCCAACCTCCAGCGAGCAGAGGCACATATTCACAGGTTGGCTTTTCATATACTGGAAACGGAAAGGAGGAAGAGGATTTCTCAGATGCAGAGGATGATGATGCTAACGACGAAGATGAGGATGAGGACGATGAGGAAGAGTTTGACAGTAATGACAGTGATGATGAAGCGATGGAAATGATTGCCAAGCAATTTGGAATAAAACGATATGGCTGGCTAGTTTACATGGACAAGAAAGCGAAGGAGGAAGAAAGAAGGCAGAAAGAACTGATCAAGGGCGACCCTTCAATTGTTAGTTTACATGTACATTGACATTAATCACATTTTTCATCTTTGTTTAGAGATACTGACAGAATTGCTCAACTCAATGTCTGCAGAAGAAGTTGAGTCGCAAGGAAAGACGAAAAGTTTCGAGGATAGAGAGGGAGAAAGAGAGAGAAGCTGCTAGGGTCAGTGGAAGGCAAATGGTGTACCGTGATCCCTACAGGTAAAACCTATAATTCAGCTGAAAACAGATATTAGTGAACTTTTAGTTCCTCAAATGGTGTTTCTTAATCTGCAGGGAATCAAGAAGGAGTCCTACTTACGAGGCTTATCCCCGTGCAAGAAGGTCTTTTGTTTACTTGGTCATTATGCTGTCCTACCATACATGGGGAAATGTTGATTTTTTAGTTCTTATTTCGCATTGCTCTTATTCACAGATCACGATCCAGATCCCGGTCATATTCTCCTTCGCATTCTAGGCACCATGGCCGTGGAAGCCGTTCTGATGATTTTAATAAACCAAAAATCGAGTTTATTACTGAATTTGGAGGCTCTGGAGATGTTGGAAGTCAAAAGTTCGAAGGATACTCGCCACCACATTCGCCACCTTCTCAGATTGATGCGTTCAACCGGTCGGAGCACTCAACCTCTAATTCTTGCAAAGATAGATTGGGCAGTCTTTACTCTGCTGCCGCTTATTCCCGATATGTTGCTTGAGGGAAACTGTTGGGGTTCTAGAATAACTCGGGACTAGGTTGCCTGTCGGCAAAGAGGGAGAGAAAGAGGATCATTCCTTTCTGGATCCCATTTTCAATCGAGCTTTTATCCATAGTTGCTTAAACTCAGCATTCCGGGTAACATTAACATTGTTTTTTTTGCCTGCAGGCCTATGCAGGGCCATATTCTCGAGGCCCTACATGTCGATCCTGCATCTGGTGTGTCTCTTGATAAGGAAAAGAGTGTTAAATCAGCAAAACCGGCAGTGAGGTATGAATGCAATTGTGTATGTGGTCATACTTATAGATTTTTTGGAGCATATATAATCGGTATCTTCTGTGTTTACACCATGCATGAGCTCTTGAACTAAACTCGATTGCCTTTATCATCGTTTTCTTTCCGGGTACCGTTGCAGCACATCTGCAGCACTAGCGAAGCTGTCCAAAGCAGGTACATCTGGGCCCCTTACAAAACAGACACAAACGGCTAAGAAAGAGACACCTCAGGAGCGATTGAAAAGGATTATGAACAACCAGCTCAGTAAACAAAGTAAGACTCTCCAGCTGTTATGTTTCTCTTGCATCCTACCCAGTTGATTATTTAAAATATTCCATTTCTCTGATTAGAATTTGAGATCTGGATGTTTTGGTGGGTACAGTTAAGAAAGACTCAGCTGCTGAGACGGCTAAAAAGCAAGAACAGGAGCGGCAGAGGCTGGAGAAACTGGCAGAAACAAGCCGGTTGAGTCGGAATAGGCATCGCAGCCGTAGTAGGAGTTATAGTCGTTCACCACCGAGGTTGTTAATAAGTTCATTTTCGCTTGATGCTTAAGAATGGGTGTTTTGAGAAGAGGGTGAAGAATGGCAGAGAGACGTTATAAGAGTTTCGAATGGCAGAGGAAAAGAGAAGATTTTGCCATTGAATTCCGGAACACTGTTGCTGAATATCATTTTGTGTGTTGCACCTTTTTGATGGGATGAATATATATGTAATATGCATGCAGAATATACAGAAGCAGAAGTGGCAGCAGGAGGAGGAGGAGGTCTCGAGGGAAGTATTCTCGTTCAAGGTCAAGGTCTCGGTCCCGTTCACGTTCACGTTCAAGGTCTTCTAGATCAAATTCACGGTCGCCACCTCGTCGTTCCCGAAGACGTTCACCCTCGTGTTCCAGGTCGCCCAGGTAAACCTGACCCTGCTTCTGTTTGGATGTCGCTGTCTATAAATTGGTGAAGCTAAACACCGAAAAACGCAGGCGAAGAAGCAGGTCAAGGCACTGAAGAAGTTTGACGGAAGTATTTCTGGATCAAGAGGCAGGTTCTGTTTGGGTTCTTTATTGTATTATGTTTATATTGTCTCTTTGTGTGTTATTATTGTCTGTTTGTACGGAGAGTACCCCCTTTTAACCTCAAAAAACTTTATGAATAAAAGAAACGACATATCCATTGCAGTAGCAGTCGGAAATGTAAACGCCTGTCATCTTTTATTTTTCTTTAAAAAAACCTCCGATTGGTGCCACGTGTCATTTTCCTCTAAAAGGCTCGTTTAGTCAGTTTGGGCTTAGCTAGAATGGCCCAATAAGGCCCAATCCATCACAGGAGCTTCCCGCCGTCAGTTTAGCCACGATGGCGATCTTAAAATCCTCCTCCGCCGGTGATATCCTTGAAATCTTGGGAGGCAGTTTGCTCCGCTGTTGCGTTTACAGAACCACCTCGGCTACTGTCCGGATATCGTCGGATGCTTCGGTCGTTCGACAATGGCCGGAAGGTGGAGAACGGCGAAGAGATCTACAAAATGTTCCCGGAGACATTTTTCGGCTGCAGAATGTTGATATTTTTCTTAGAATCGTCGGCTCCATTCGTTGACCGTATCTGACATGAAGCCACCGACTGAACTCACGTGCCTTATCTCACGTGTATATATTCTTCGTACGGATCCGTTATTTGTAATTACAGTAACGAAAAAAACGGTGAAAAGTAATTTCTCACCTATATTCTGAATAATACATATCACAACTCCGTCCACGAAATCTGCATATCAAAGTGATCTATTTGAAAAATCAATATCACGTCGAAAAGAGTTGGTTAAAACACTTTCACTCGTAATTACATTTGTTCTTCAACGGGATGTGGATGCTCATCTTTCTGGGCTCCATAGTGACGTAACACACGATTTTCTTGTAGAACATGGGCTTAACCAGTTTCCCCAAAACATAAGCCCTTGACCGAACCATGAAGCTCAGTGTCAGTGGAACCGGCTGAACCGGTGCCCGGTTCTCGCTCGCCAGCTCCACCCCTCCTCCGTATATCGGTATCTTCTGTCCCCGAACCTGAACCACCATCGATTTCTCACTCTTCCTCGATTGGTAGAACTTGTTAATCTAGAAACCAAACCAAAGCCGCTTTTCAATATATTCCGGTTTAGTTTTGGTTAAAGAATGTTTGTTATAGCGAGCTTACCGAACCGGTGGCGACAGTGAGCTGCGAGTAGGAGAGATCGAGAGGGGTCGAGGTGACATGAACCCCGAAGAACGACGCCCTATTGAGAAACGTAAGCCTGACGCTGCAGTTCATGGACACCATACTGGTAGCCACACCCGATCCATCTGAACCGGCTTGCACCACAAACTGATCGAACAATATGCTCTGCATTCCTCACATACAAACACCATATATATATATATAAAAGACGAAAACTTTCGCTCTGCCCTCCATATATTTTCAACAATTACAAAAAAAAAGGTGTATATAAGCTTACCCGCATGGTGACACTTGGTTTCTGAGGTCTACTGGCTGCCCACAGGATGAGAGAGAAGACAGTGAAGAGGACGAAGAAACCAGAGACAAATGCGAGAAAGTAAAACCGCCTAGACCGGACAGTAAGAGCGTGGTCGGGGCCAGAGCCGAGGAGGCGCTCTTCCTCGATGGAGTCGAACCGCTTAGCCTTGTGGGGACGGGAGAGGCGGGTGGAGGAGGAGCCGCGAGAGGAGTGAGGAGGGGAGCCCATGGGGCTGAGGACGGGAGGAGTGGAGGAGGAGTGGAAGGAGTTAGTGGTCTTCTCGCCATCGTGAGAGTCACGTGATGGGCTCTGGACGTAGTAGACGACGTTGGCCCCTCGGGCCGGAGACGAGTTCGGGAGGCTGCTCACCTCCGAATCCGTTTTGGACAGATGAGCAGACATAGGCTTTTGGCTTTTGCTCCCAAGTCGTGGTTTTGCCCGTGAGAGTTATTTAATGAGGGAGGAAATGAGGATCTCAAGAGCGTGGGAAGTGGGGAGGTGCATATTGGGATCAGGAGTAGGGTTTCATATAATTTTTTTTTAAATGGAAAACCGGAATCCAAAAATAAACCAAGGAAATTCGAACCGAAAAGTCCACCGCCATTATTTAAATGTAATAGATTGACTTCGGCCCAGAAAGATTGGTTGTCTCCCATCATGTTTCAAATCATTTATTGGAATCATACGGCCACATGTTCTTCTCTCCTCTTTCTAGACATTTATTTTGTACTTTCAATAAATCTTTCACTCTTTTTTTTTTTTTTAATTGGACTGCAACTCTACAAAAATATTTACTAAACCGATGGAATCATAGAGACGGGCCACCATGTATCCATACCCATCCATAAATGTTTATTTCATTAGCAAAGGTCCATTACATTGTTGTCATATTGGGCCAAGCCCAATTTCTAATAAAGCCCACATTACATTGTTGTCATACTGAGTATAAATTGAATCGAAACAGGACGCCAATTAAATCGAAAGTGGATTTGTCTCCATATAATTGGAACGCCAACTAACCATGGCCACTCGTTAGGATGACTTCAAAATGTAACCTGACTTGGTCTCGCTATAAAAATAAAAATAATAATAAAATAAAACAAAGGAATTATAATCCAACATGCATTTTAAAGTACAAATACGTTGATTTTAATAAAATAAGAAATACTTCCCACATGGATTTGATTAGACCGTAATGCTGTATTAACCCAATCAAAGAGAAAAACTCCAACGACAACTGTCACCAAACGCCACTGAAATATCTTTTCCAAACCTTTTGCCTTTCTCCACTCCTCTGCCTCTTCAGCATCCCCTTACAATGGTGCTTTCTTCCTCTTGTTCCTTTTTTTTTTTTTTTTTGATAATTCGCTTTCAGTTTTTTTGTTTCCTTGTGATTTCGTAAACCCTAGACCTTACGCGCGAAAATCTCGGATTGATTTTTTCCTTTTTTTGTGATCGTTGCGGAAATGCAGGGTATCGTTCTCTTTCCGGAACGGCTTCTTCATCTGTTGTTCATCATCGCCTTCTGCTTCTCCTCCTCCGCTTCCTCTCTCAAGGTTTCACATCTTCCCGCTGTTTATTCATGGATCTCTGATAATTTCGAGAGAGAGAATTATTAGTGACAAAAAAAAAGCGTTGCCTCTGCGGTTCAGATCGGAGAGACGTGCGATTCGAGCAGACCTTGCGACGTCGGATTGAGCTGCCGGAGCTGCCCGGCGAACGGCGATACCCGATCCAGATGCACCCGGATCCGACCCGTCAACCCGACTTCCAAGGTCCGTACGTTGCTTTTTTTTTTTTAATTTAATGTTGCAGGAAAATAAAAACAAGTGGGGATTGAAATGCGTGTGGTTTTGATGGTGGGCAGGTGAAAGGTTTGCCGTTCAACAAGTACTCGTTCCTGACGACGCACAACTCTTACGCACTCTCAGGGGCAAAATCGGCAACTGGTTCTATCCTCATCTCTCCGACGAATCAAGAAGATTCCGTCTCCGACCAGCTTCAGGTCGGAATTATATATTATTTTTTCTTTGCGTTATTTCTTATTCCCAGAAAAAAAATATATATCAACTTCATCGACAAGGAAGATAAAAAAAGGTCGGCTTTTACAAATTTGGTGGGACTTTTGTTTGCTGGACTTTTTTAAATTCTGGTTGGTTGAATAAAATTTATCTGATTTATATTTTGTTTTAGAAAAAAGTTATAGTTTTTATTCACTTTTGATAAATAAAAAAAAGGACGTAGTTTTTTTAAAAAAAATTATGATTTCATTTTTTTCATATAATAAAATCATACCTTTTCATTGCAGTTTTTAGTTATCGTGGGGCATGCAAGTGTGAGAAAATATTAAAATTAGTATATTCTTTAGGTTTGATTTATCAACGATTGCTTTAGGTGACGGAGTAAAGAAGGCGATAAGCTTTAGTTGGTGGCTTGTCTAATTATAGATCAATAAATAATTAATTACGTAAATTAATTGATAATCAGCTTTTGCCGCCACGTGGAAACGACTGAGAATGAGATCTTGAATCCGAATTCAACATACGTAAATTTTATGTTGGAGCTTAATGGTGTGATTAGTGTGTTGCAGAATGGTGTTGGAGGTCTCATGCTCGACATGTATGACTTCAACAATGATATATGGCTGTGCCATTCCACTGGTGGAAGATGCTTCAACTTCACTGCCTTTGTAAGTGGAAGTTCCAAGAAAAACGTACAGATTCTGCATCTAATCTGCGAAATTTCTGTAAACGATATAATGGGTTTTCATTGCAAACTGCAGCAACCTGCCGTCAATGTGCTTAAAGAGATTCATGACTTTCTTGAATCGAACCCATCTGAGATCGTTACCATCATCATCGAAGATTACGTCACATCTCCTCAAGGCTTGACAAAGGTACACGATGGAGGAGATTCTGTTTCGTTCTGTCCATCGTCCCGTGATAAAATCATAAAAGATTCGGATGAAAACTGCGTAGAATGGCTCACAGCTTACTTGCCTCATATGAATTCCCTTGGTTTCAGCTGACGGTATTATTGGTTTCTGGTTAGGTATTCAACACATCTGGATTGAGTAAGTACTGGTTTCCGATCTCGAGAATGCCCAAGAATGGTGAGAACTGGCCAGCTGTGGATGATATGGTGAAGCAGAACCAGCGGCTGGTCGTTTTCACGTCCAGAAAGGACAAGGAATCTTCGGAGGGTATCGCCTATCAGTGGAACTACATGGTGGAAAACCAATGTCGGTTTAGTTTCTTGTACCAAACAGGAATCCGAGTCTCGATCCAATTCTAACTCTCTGTGGATTTCGTTGATGTGTTTGAGCAGATGGTGATGATGGGATGAAAGATGGGTCATGTCCAAAGCGAGGGGAATCATCTCCATTGGACACCAAGTCTCGATCTTTGGTACTTCAGAACTATTTCAGTACTAATCCAAATTCAAGTCAGGCTTGTGCAGACAACTCGGCTCCACTGACTAAGATGATGAGAACCTGCTTCGAAGCAGCTGGAAAAAGGTGGCCTAACTTCATCGCCGTCGATTTCTATCAGGTACTTGGACCGATATGATTCCGGATAGTAGCGCATCGAAAAACTTTGTTCTTTTACCAAATTCATCCCTAACCCAGAATTCAAATTCAATATCGGCTGCAGAGAAGTGACGGTGGAGGAGCAGCAGAGGCGGTAGACGAAGCAAACGGGCATCTTACATGTGGGTGTGACAGTATAGCCTTCTGCAAGGTCTCTGGCTTCATATCAATCACAATAGCTTCTTCTATTCCTTCTCATACGATTGGACGCATTCTTGAATCTGTGTGTGTAATGAACAGGAAAACGCGGCCTTTGGCACGTGCGAGGCTCCACCGCCGATTTCGGCTCCGTCACCAGAGGCCGGCAGAGGGACTTCATCCTCCGGCAAACAGGGCTCTGTCCCGACGGGGAATGCTCATTCCACTGGTACTGGGGTCTGGTCAGTCGTTCTCATGGTCTCAGCGGCCTGGTTCTTGATGTGGCTGTAAATTGGATTTGTCTTCGTCGATCACAAGCTTTTGCGTTGTGCTGTAAATCGGAGTTCAATTTTTTTCATCCTCCACTTTGTTATTCGTAGTTCTGTTATATTACAACACTGTCGTCGATTAACACGAAATTTGTTTTTTTTTTCCTCTAAATTTTTCAGTATCATTAGATGGACCTTGAAGCAAACTATGATGTTATTATGACCCGAGATGTGAAAATATATGCCGAAAATAATCTAAATTTTCAGTAAAAACGAAAAAGTTCGAATTTTTTTTTCTAAAATTCCTAAAACTTTCATTCTGAAATGTGTAATTTAGGTTTTCAACAATGTCTCCAAAACGAGAGCAATTAATTTTAAATGATTATACGATTAGGTCGAAGAGACACACACAGAAAAAAAAACTCAACACAAAATCAAGTTCTAAGCAAAACTTCAAAACTATTCATATCTCCTGAAACATAAACAAACTCGGCCAAAAAAAAAAAGTCAAATCCCTCAAAAATTTGTCAAAGAAATCTGGAAGAAAAGAGAGATCCACCACAAAGGAGAGGAGAAAAGTCCATAGTGAAGAAGGCTAAAGTTCACTGTCATGCAGAGTTTTGTTGTCAATCGACTTGTCCAAATTCTTCCAGTGACAAAAGAAAAAGAAAAGAAAGCCACAAAAGTTAGACATGAAACAGCAGCCGAGAGAAATGGATAGAAAGCTAGACAGTTCTCACGTGATAGAAATGCAAATACCTTGACGAATAAGTTACCAATGCCGCTTCTACGAAAAGAAGAGTCACGGGAAGAGTATGTAACCCGGATCATCTTGCCGTTGAGATAGGAGAAATTCAGCTCCTTCGTCGCCCTGTCAGCTGCCAAAGAAACGAAAGGGGAACTTAACCAGAGCAGAATGATAAGTAAACGATGTAAATTCTAAAATTCTTTGAAACCATTGATGGCAATACAGGTATCAATCTTCTGGTAGAGAGCCAAATTTCCGTCATTTCCATCAAAAGCCAACGAAATATCATTCAAAGGCACTCATTGTAAGACCAAAAAGTCGAACGGTAGCAGGCCACTTCCACTGTCACTAGCCTCAGGCTGCTGACCTACATTCCTCAGGACGTCCATGGCTTCCGCAACTTTGGCCGTCAAAGCTTCGGGAGATTCGAGCAGGTGCAACACTTCTGTCTGGTCCATCTCCAGAAGCATTCCTGTCACCTTCGCCGCATTGTCGCGCTCCAACTGGTCCACCAGCGGGTACAGATGCTCACCCAGCAGCTGCGGAAACAAAAAAAAAAAAACAAGAAAAACCCGGATGGCCGTCAGTGTCATCTATGGGTACGTTTTCCTCGAGCAAGCTGTGTGGGACTTACCGTTCTCTGTTGGGCAGGCGTTGCATTAGCGAGGGCAGATGCCAATGCCCCGGTTGACAGAGGCTGTGGGAAGGGCATTCCGGTCATATCATAGGCAACAGGAAGAATCCCTCCGGGAATGGGACCATCAGGCATGTTCCTGCCAGGAGGGTAACGATACCCGCGTCCCCTCGGGATCATCTGAGAATCGAGAAGGTATGCACAAAGGGCTTATATCTATAGTCTTTAACAGAAAGAGTCATCAAAGCACTAACGGGTGGGTTCTGGGCTCTGTGCATTGGTTGAAATGACAGGGATCCAAGAATCAGAACAGACCTGAGGCTGCATGAGAGGAATGGGTTGCTGAGACTGGCGCATGGGTCCACCACCCGAGCGTCTGCCACCTGGCCGCTGACCTGGCTGCATCATCGGGCCAAAATAGTTTGGTCTCATTCCAGGAACCAGCTGCGGCTGATACCCAAATCCCGGCTGTCACAGATGAATGGAAATGGGTTGTATTACAACTTCTATCCCGAGATATGTATATGGAGGTTTCACAAATCTTTAGAAAACGATGCTTATTCATGCTACCAAAACCGTATTCAAAACAGTAAAAGTATGCAATTATTAAGCCGAGTCCAAAGACCTGATCGAGTGAAAAAAACTCACAATCTAAGAAAAAATGGTGTACCTGGTGAGGGATCATTGGAGGACCTTGACCAAAGAACAGCTGCTGTCCAAGACCTGGAGCACCTGCAGGATAAATTGGCATACGGGGACCACCAACAGCCGGCAACAAAGCAGGTCTCATCTGAGAAAATTGTGCCTGCATATATTACAAAGACATGTCAAGAGATGATAAAAGTAAAGCCGAATATAGAACTGAAGTTATCTACTTAAGTCAATGATGCACCTGCAACTTAGCCCTTCTTTCTTCCTTTCTCTGAGCAAGAGCAACATATAGTGGTTTGCTCCCCACCATTTTACCATTCATCTCAGACAGCTGTAGAAGAAAACTCAAAAAAGAAAAAATCTGTTCAGAAAGAAAACTCAGATGCTTGAGTAGTTCAGGAAAATGTCTGAAACACAAGAGAACTATATTACAGCTCTGGAAGCTTCTCCAGCATCTGAGAAAGCAACAAATCCCGATCCTTTGCTAGTACCATTGGGGTCACGCATAACCTGTTTGAGGAAATGAAAGATAATTGAGATCGGATTCCAGATGGACAGTGTCCCTGTATGTAACCAGAAAAAACCCAGAAAACTGACCTTGCAGGATGTTATTATACCAAATCCAGAAAACAATTCACGCAACTTCTCATCAGTGATAGTGTCATCGAGATTCTTAACATACAAATTCAATCCTTCAACATTGTTCGCCGTTTCCCTCACGCCCTGTTCAAATCTTCCCCTCAGTTCAAGTTCCCTCTCAGATTTCTTCTGCGCTTTACCAACAAACCATTCCTTGTCCCCGAATTTCTTCCCCTTCAAGGCCTCAACAGACTGAGCTGCATCGTCAGGATTCTCAAAATTGACGAATCCAAAACATCTGGATTTTCCATCCCCATCCCTCATAACCACTGCACTTGTGATATTTCCGTATTGCCCAAAAATATTCTTTAAATCATCATCAGTTGTTGATTCTGACAGATTTTTTACGAAAACATTGTTGAACCTTATCTTATTTGCACCAGACTCTCTTTCCTCCTTCCGAAGAAAGGGTCCGACGAAAATCTGTTTGTCCTTGAGCAATGTGCCATTCAGCTTCTCGATGGCATTTTTAGCTGAATCCTCCTTTTCAAACTGCACAAAACCGTATCCTCTGGACTGACCCAAGTGATCAGTAGCAACCTTACAAGATACAATATTTCCAAACTCTGAGAATGTGTCATGCAGAGTTTTGTTGTCAATCGACTTGTCCAAATTCTTCCAGTGACAAAAGAAAAAGAAAAGAAAGCCACAAAAGTTAGACATGAAACAGCAGCCGAGAGAAATGGATAGAAAGCTAGACAGTTCTCACGTGATAGAAATGCAAATACCTTGACGAATAAGTTACCAATGCCGCTTCTACGAAAAGAAGAGTCACGGGAAGAGTATGTAACCCGGATCATCTTGCCGTTGAGATAGGAGAAATTCAGCTCCTTCGTCGCCCTGTCAGCTGCCAAAGAAACGAAAGGGGAACTTAACCAGAGCAGAATGATAAGTAAACGATGTAAATTCTAAAATTCTTTGAAACCATTGATGGCAATACAGGTATCAATCTTCTGGTAGAGAGCCAAATTTCCGTCATTTCCATCAAAAGCCAACGAAATATCATTCAAAGGCACTCATTGTAAGACCAAAAAGTCGAACGGTAGCAACAGACAGTAAATCAGTTCATCGCCGTAATGCCCTTCACTCAGATTCGCTTCGCATTGACGAAGAAATAATAAACCAGATCCGGAAATTGAAAACCCAGAAATAAAGCCATAGGATCGAAGTGTGTAAAGCGAAATCGATCTCACAGGAATCCATAAGTAAAAGGGCACAAACCATCATGGCTATTGCTGTAATTGACGTAACCATATCCAAGGGAATTCTGGGTTACGGCGTCTCGACAGACCCGAACTGACACGACCTGACCCACTTGGTTGAAATAATCATACAGCTGAGAGTCCGTCACGTTGAGCTCCAGATCTCCGACGTAGAGCGAACACAGAGTGCCGTGATTGACTCCGTCGCCGCCGGCCGCAGCCGTCGCAAGCATCCCGTCAGCCGCCGTGACCGGAGGGGGCGTTGCATGTGAAGGAACCTGAACCTGCGCCATCGTTGCAATCTCCGCGAAAACGAATGCGAAACGGAAACCAAACCTACCGAAACTAGCAAAATTGAAGATGGATTTTTTTGGGGTTTTTTCCGTCAAGCTCCTGTTTTTCGTTTTTTTCTTTTACTGGGATAGGAGGAAACAAGGATAGGACGACGGCGGAGATGGAGGCAGTACGGCGGCACAGCGCAGGGAGTGATGAAGAAAAGTTGGGAATATATAGGATTTGTGAGATGGTGGTGAAGATGATTAAGAACAATGTCTTCGGCAAAAACCCTAGGTGAAAAATACTTTTCTTTTAATCCATTTAAAAAAAAAGGGATTGCATGATGGATTTTCAGCCGTCCGATCTTCAACGTGTAACGTGGAGGCCATATGTGAGATTACAGTAAATTATTTTTGACCGGTTAGATTTAACCGTTGGAAATATCTTTTGTTAGCAAAACAAGTCACTTGCTAATTATTATTATTACAAATAAAATTCAACATATTCTTAAGCTAAATATAAATGGACCCAAATCATTTCCAATATTATTTGTTTTGCTATCGAAAAATCTAAATTAACCCCAACTCTTGTGAAAAGGTAGTTTTATTTGTGTGAAGTTCTCGATCGGTTGCAGCAGTATAAGGCATAAACAAGAAATCATATATATATATATATATATATATATATATATATATGTTGGATGTTCATATCCTTATTATACAAGCAGCGATGATGGCAATTTGTTTCTTTGCTTGCTTTTTTCTTTCCCTGCACAATGAAAACATTTTGAGAAACAAAAAGAAAACAGAGGCTCTACCTAAAACGTGAACAGAGCTTCGGCGGGCTTCTTGTGTTTAAGTAATGGTGGAGGAGATTCTTGGGTGGGACAGAGGAGGTTGAGACCGGAACTTGCCGAAGAGATGAGAAATGTCCTGTCTCCACGACCACGACGGATCGTTCAGCCCTCGTATCGAGTTGAGGCACACAAGAAGCGTCCCTCCTTCGTGCAGAAGCACCTATCTCAATACAAAAGAACATCCAAACCCGATATTATGAATCCTCCTCCTCTTCTTAACGAGGTGAATCCACGAGTAAAAGCTTAAACCGGGTATGGGCATCATACCGTTAACCACAGAGGAAGAAACCCTAATACCGATGGAAGGGCGGCCAAGAAAATCGAGGACAATGCAAGAGCCACGTTCTGCTTCACCTGCAAATGAAGTATGATGGTTTTAAACATGACAAATCCACATTATTTACATATAGTAGGAGACGCTTTTTATGGTTTCTTACCAGAAAAGTTGTTTGACGGGACTTGGCGACGCAGAAGGGAACGCCGGAGATATTGTCACGGAGCAGTAAGACATCGGCAACAGCTATGGCGGTGGCGCTTGCACGTTGAGCAAGAACAATCCCTACGGTTGCAGCTGCAAGTGCTGGAGCATCATTTATGCCTTCTCCTACCATAATCAGACCCCCTCCTGTCATCATAAAACCCCGCAAAATTTCCCCAAATCAGCATAATTGTTGTACCGTTTTTTTTCTAATTCGTGGTTAATTAATCTATTCATACGCAACAAGCCATTTTTCTCAATCTGTCACCTGCATCCCGTGAGATGTTCTTCACATGATTAAGCTTATCCTCTGGCTTCAGATTGCAGTAGACCTCGTTTATCCCTACCGAGTTTGCTACTCTCCAGGCACTCGACTGATGGTCACCAGTTAACATTATTACCTGGAGTTTGGCCCAGCTTTTCAGTTCTGCTATAACTGCTGAAGCCCCTGGACGAGGCTGGTCCTCGAGGTGAATCAATGTTACCTAGAAAGAAAGTTGCAACCTTTGTGATTAAAAAAACAAAACTTATTATGGACTACTAATCGGTTGTGAAGGTGAAAGTTACTGATTTCAATATGATCCAATTAAACAAAACCATGTTATCAATTATTTCCCAGAGACAAGCAAAGCAGAATACCTTTTGATCAACAGAAAGAGCAGCGTGGACCAAGTCCTTCCCATAGATAGAGGCTTTTACAGCATCCTTAATATTTTTAGATTCATCTTCAGAATTGCAGAGTGACGCGATGAATTCTACAGAACCAAGAGACGCTTTCCGCATTTTATCTTCTCCAGTTTCTGACTATAACAATGTAGCAAAGATTGTACGAGATACAGCATCAGATCTAGGTATCGCCAAAAATGTTAAAAAGAAAACCACACAATTTCAATAAGAACAGGAACTACATGGAAACTTTACTAGTGGTAGTGGGTTATAACACGATGTATACCTCAATGCCATTGACAGTAGCAGTAAGCCCTCTGCCAGGAAAATACTCGAAGCTTTCGACAGAAACTGAAGGGAGGTCCTTCCCCATACTGTGGTCCACAACAGCTCTGCAACAGCATCGGATCGGTCAGCATCAGTTGAAATTCTTGATGTGGTATTTTTCAATACGAAACAAGCCAAAGCATCATAAATGAATAAGAGGCTAGAACAACAGAGCCAGATCTTGGTTTGCTACATGCCATTCCCACTCATTGGCATATGGTAATGGATATGACCAAACATCTGTATCTATAATATATAATCTAACAATACAAATTTTTCAATCTAGAAAGAGAACCCAGACAGATATATAGTCTGATATAGACTAACAAACATAAATTAAATACGTATACCGCTTCTAACTTCTACTCATCTCGCAAATGCATTTTGCAATTTCAATGATAAACAGGACAAACCTCACAACTTGTATAGTTCTAGTGTGCAAGATAAAAGATTTCACACAAGGTAAATGATGTCTATCAAGTGATACCTTCCAATAGGATGTGTGGTGCCCTTCTCCATAGCAGCCGCTACTGCAAGAGCTTCTTTTTCACAATTTGGCGTGCAACACAGAGTTACACTTGCATTATTTCCTGCTTGATGCCCATAAATGGGTTCAATTGCTTTGAACATAAGGCCTCCAGTTGTTAAAGTCCCAGTTTTGTCAAAAGCAATAGTATGGCAAGAGGCAAGAGCGTCTAGTACCTGCCCACCCTTTAGCAATATTCCCTATAAAAGTAGACAGCTTTAGGGTCACAACACGAAAATAGATTTTAACAAAAAGATAACAATTACTGAATTACATAAAAAAACCTTCAGGTTTCAACTAGATTTCGGAAATTTGTATGTAGGCCAACCCAGGCATCGGAGATTTATGTACTGATACAGTAACGTTAAGCGGACAAAAAATGAATTAGTGATTATGGACCACTTAGTCATCCTGATGATCATAATGATCACTTGATGCACATGAGACTCTTTAAATCCAAAAACCTTGAGCCTCAGCTAGCTAGAATAAATACAAACCGGTGCTAGTAACTGCAACAGGAGACAACAATCACATGGATAATTTCAGTCAGTCATTTGTAATGGGGTTGGTACTTGGCTCCATACCTTTCTTGCACAGGAACTAATGGCAGTAGCATAAGCCAACGGAGCAACTGCCAAAGCGCATGGTGATGCAGCCACCATTAGTCCCAAAGCTCTGTAAACAGATCCTCTGCATGCTGTATCATTAATCAGAAAGTCAATTAAGTCAACAGTCGACATCAATACATAGCAATGATCACATCTGCATAGGCGGGTTATACCTTATTTGTGAACAAACAACACTGGGTACATGAAATAATATGCATAGTTATGTAACAGACAAAGTGCTCATTCTGTCACCTACCTGCAGTGCTGAGAAAGGGCCATTTGAACAAGAAAGGGCCAAGGAAGGCAATAGCAACTGACAAAACGACCACCACCTTGCTATAATGCTCGCCAAACTCATCCAGCCATCTCTGAAGTCTCGGTTTATTAGATTGTGCTTCCTCAGTTAGCTGCACAATTCTGTTAATTGTCGACTCATTCCACGCCTTTGTAGCCTGTCAAAAATCCAAGTGAAGAAAGACAGAACATTAAAGTTCTGAATTAGGCAAGCCAAACAAATAAGCATCTGGTCTCAAAATACCTTCACAATCATTCTTCCATCCAAATTTCTAGCGCCACCAGGCACTCTATCTCCAGCTTTCGCTTCCAATGGCTTAACTTCTCCGGTCAAGTGCTCAATTGTAATGGTAGCACTACCTTGATAAACTTCGCAATCTACAGGTACAATCTAAATACAAAGAAGTATAGAGTTATAAACATATATAGGGGCGGCAAAGAACGAATTTTCTGTACGGGATATGAACAGACAAGAATCACAGACCTCACCAGTTCCAACCAAAATGTAGGATCCAACTTCCACATCGTGCACAGGAACGCTTCTGTATGATAAATCAGAGACGTTGGGTACATCACCATCGTTCACATCGATCACCAAGGCAGAATCTGGATTACTCTCCTTCAACTCTTTAACATCCACCATTGATCGACTAGTGAAGAACTCCTCAGCTGCGGAAATTACACGATAAGCGCCATCTTAACCTCTCCCACTACACACAACATTACATGAAATCTTCTAGATTGTCAATTATCGAGTTCTCACCGATATGAGCAAGATTGAACATCGCCAGAAGCAATCCTCCTTCGAGGGCATTGCCCATAAACACAGATGCAAAGGCTGCTAATGCCATCAAGACGTGGATGTTCACTTTTCCTCCAGCTATATCCATAAGCGCATCGAGAGATGCTGAGACCTAATGCACATCCAGTTCGTCCAGTCTAAATATCTACTTGGATAAATCGTCATGACTATCTGAGACAATTCGAGTTTACAGAGGCTAGAATCCTTACTCCAACAAGAGGGAAACCGACCGCCATGAACGCGTTTTGCAGAGGCTTAACGTAGGGTTTAGGAATCAAGTAAGGGCAAGCGGCGGCGGCGAGGAACAACGCGGCGGAGGAGCAGCAAAGCTGGAGGTGCTCCCTGAGGAAATTGGCCAATCGAACCCATCCAACGGTTCTAGCAAAACCAGTCAGCGCCTTCTGAGGTCCGGTGAGCTCCGTCAGTGACGCACAACAGCCGTATTGGTGATGGTGGTGGTGATGGTGATGGTGGTGATCATCTTCATCATGATGCTGATGATGATGATGCTCATGGTGATGGTGGTCATCGGCCGTCAGATTCGCCCGGATACAAAGTGGCCGTCGGGGGAGACGGGAGGGGCCGGAGATACGGAGGGAGGAGAGAGGCTGACGAAGGACGGGAGGGATAGGAGGAGGGAAGAGCGAGTTGACTCGGGCGAGTCGGGGGGTGGTTCGAAGGCGGAAAGGGAAACGGGTGGAGGAGGGAGGGCGAAGAAGAGCTGCGGGTTCCATGGAGAAAGGGATTTGAGCCCAGACAACGTCTTCTTCATACCACCATCGAAGATCTCGTCAAGATGGAAGTTTCGAATTCTGCCCGATGGGAAGAATAAGAAGAATAATATAAAAGAGGGGATGATGTAACATCATCCACATAATGAACTCTTCTCCCTTGGGGCCTTTCTTCTTTCTTCATTTCCACCGAACATTTGATTTTGAAAGGGAAAAAAAAACAATACCGGGAATCCGAACCAAACCAATCATTGAATCCAAATCCAATATTAGATAACCAATTGAAATGTTACCAGAACGAACCCGAACAAATAAACCGAATTCATCCTTTTGTATATATTCCACGGTGTTTATATGATAAAACAATTTGCACTTCTCCTTATAGGTTCGGTTAATTTCTTTTTCTTTTTTTGGGTAACTTTAGATCGATATTCAGATCGGGAACAAGTCATGTTTAATTTCTGTATCTAACTTCAAACTCGAATTTGGACCGGACGGGACATACGATTTAAACATATTTTCGATTAATTTCGTATTTTCTTGTCATTTCCTTTACTTAGTTGTTGGAGGGAATCATTCTTGGTGATGCTCATGATGGGCAAAAGAGCATATGCAAATTCGATATAAAATTGTCAATTATATATCATTACATTATTTTTTTTGGCAAACGTATTGAACAACATGTCAAGAATCTTAAATATTGAAGCTATGGTTTCGACACTTAATCGTAGATCCAACACAAAAATTGAACCGGTATAATTTCTCATCAAACCTTAAACCCTAGAGAAACAGGAAAAAAGTGTTGTTTTTTTTATAATCGGGTGATTCCAATGTCAAAGGCCCAGACTAATCCCGACCCACGCGCACGACCCTACAACACACGTGGGATGTGAAATACCCGAATGTGGCAGGAGGGGAATCTCCATACTCTGGGTGTTGAATCCACGACCTCGTTTATAGGAAGGTCAAACCAACAGAGTTGGGGATTCCCTAGAAAAAAAAAATGTGTTGTTCCTCTGCTGTGTTCTACCATCTGGAGAGGTTTGAAGGACTAAGAAGCGGGAAAGCGTCCCAGAACCGAGACGACGACGGCGAAAGGTCGGATCCCATGAAGCCGCTCTCTTTGCCCGCGCCCGCAGCCAAGGCCTCAACGGCGGCGGCTTCACGGGCAGGAGGAGACAATACCGACGGCGGTCCGGTTAGCTTCTGAACCAGCTCCTTGAAGTCAACAGGTTCGACTCTGTAGATTCTAGGATGCGTCGGCGCCATAGATGGAGGCTTCTTCCACGGCTTTGTCGGTTGCTTTCTGGTCGAGTGAAGCGACTCGAGGTAATTCTGAGTCAACCTTTTCCTAATTTCTGTTTCTTGATTCCTAAGGTATCTCTGAGAGAAACATGGCAGCGGCGATGTGGCTTCCATTTGCCGGTTTTGGGATATGCTGTGTAAATCGTTTTTCTGACCACTGAAGTTGAACCAAAGTATCTGACAGTTTGCCTTGTCGTTCATACATATATATATATATATATATATATATGTGTGTGTGTGCGCGCGTGTATATGAAGCGTTTTCAACGTGGGTCAACAAGCTCCCAGTATTTGACCCTCTTTTCGGTTCAGTGGGTTGTTCCAGGGATCATGGGATTGAGTTTACAAACAAGCATGACTCATGAAGGGGTGGTTCAAAGTTGGCGGCCGTAATTGTTATTCACATTTCGTTTTCAATTTAAATAACTGTTAGGCCGAAAACGATAGAATATATATATATATATAATGGACGTCATATTGTGAGTTCAAAGGTTGGGCTTTCGGAGAAAAAAATCATTAGGGTTTGAATTTAATCGGCCCATGGACTAATAATACTCAGAAAAAGGCTCAAAACCGGGCCATATTGGAAATAAGCACACGTTTTTATTTTTTCCAAATTAAATGAAGGGAAATTGGAGAAAACTGTTGATTTATCTCTGCCCATTCAATAACACGAAAAGTCGAGTTCTTCTGTGTCCTCGGAAATAATTCGGAGTATATATCATATATAGTTTTGTTTGTATATAAGATGATCACATAAAGAAATTGCTAATATCTGATATTTTCTATAATCATACGAAACCAATATATACAAAAATATACATATCTGATCAGGGGTGGACCCATTTACATTTGAATGGGATCTTATACCCCATACAAAATTTTATTTTAGTTATATTTTTATAAAATTTTAATGAAAAATGTGACATGTCTCGATCAAAATTTGTTGTGTGCCCCTTCATTTTCTTTCCTTCTTTTTTTTTATAACTTTTTTCATTATTTGCCCCCACTAATTATTTCCTCTAAGTCCGCCACTATATCTGATCCTCTTCTTGTCGAAAAGACATGACGTAGCATAGCAACCGTACAAATATTAACTCCACTCTTAACTTACCTCTTATTATTAAACTATATATTGTCGGGCACGTTTAATTTACTCTTCTCCGTTCCACACAAAAACAATTATCACTCTTTTTTTTTTGGTGAAAAAAAAAGATTCACCACCGAGGACAACCGCCGGTTCACCGGAGAAGGAAGGAATGGCCACTTGCAGGTCCCGACCGTCGTGGGTCGGCGGACTCAGTGGCGGAGAGGTTTCCAACCTGGCTGGGTTCCGGATCAAACGGTCGGGTCATTGGGAATGTAGAAAAGGCTCGAGGAATAATAGTTACGGCGGATCGATTCTCCGGAGGACGCCGGAGCGGCGAGGCTTGGCCGATTCGGAGAGGAGGAGCGGTTGCAGAGCTGCGGCGGAGGAGGCGGAGGTCGTGGCGGTGCTAAGGGAGGCTCATCCGTACGTGAAGTTGCATAGAGGCTCCAAGTTTGTCGTTTTGTTGTCCACCGAGCTCCTTTCTACTGGTCCGACCCTCGACGATATTCTCAAGGTTAATCTCTTTATTTATTTTCCATTTTTTATTCTTCGTATTTATTAGTTGGTTGAATTATTTTTCTTTTCCCTTAAACCAAAAAAAAAAATTACTGTATTTTTCTTTTCCCACATCAATCGGTCAAAATCAAACATAGTATTAGATGAATGATTAATCCCAAGAGAGAAAACCACGTGGAAAACGTGAAGTGGTGAAAAAAGACCGAACCGGTTAACCATTATCCTCAAATCAAATGACCAAACCGGACAAATTTTACTCCTGAGTCGACGTTGCTGACGTGTTGTCTACACCTAAATGTCCCAGACTCCCAGAAAGGGACACCTTAGTAATCATCATAACATGTAATAATCACATCACGAAGGAAAATCTTTCCCAAGTTGCAGTCTTTGAGAATCCAACGCCACAATAAATACAAAAAACAATGTAAAAAAAAAGAAAAGAGTTGAAAAAAAATCATAAACAAAAAAGAAAATTACACTGCCCTCCTTCCTAAAGCCAGATCGCAGCCTTTCGCATCTGCATACCTTTCTTCCGCCGTCGCGTGAAGTTTTGCTCTGTGTTTGTTGTTAAAAATTCATTTGTATTGTCCTGTATTTGATGACTTTTACCGAGATTAGTTGAATTTCAAATCGCTTCGAGGAGCGATGGTGGTTTCTTCTTCCCGCTGCTACGTTCCTTTTCATGTTCATAAAAAAAGGAAGCATTTTCCTTCCCGGGATTTTTCCAATCCGACAAATAACGCAAACCCTAATTTTCAACTTGGGTTTCGCTGTCAATGGGCTAAGCCTCTCCGTCTTGCGGCGACACAATGCAACATGTTCGACTACTCAGAGGGTGCTGTCGGCGGTGGAGGCGGCGAAGTGGAGGCTGAACATCCGGTGGAGGACAAGCAGTTCGTGCGGTGGTTCAGAGAAGCCTGGCCCTATCTCTGGGCTTACCGTGGCGGCACCTTCGTCGTTATTATCTCCGGCGAGATCATCTCCGGCCCTTACTTTGACCCCATCTTGAAGGCACTTCTCTTCTTTTTCCCTTTTTAACGGTGTCTCGGTTCATGAGAAAATGCGCACACAAGGTGTTCGATTGTTTGTCTTGGTTAAAAAAAGTTTTGAATTTTTTATTGCTTACAACACCAAGTTGAAGATTTCAATTTGTGCATCTTGTTGGGTGGTCTCTGCCATGGTCTCTGATAAAATGTCTTCGCTTTATGCAATTGTCACTACGAAGTTCCAAATTATGGGTTTTGATCCTTGCTTTGAGATTTTCCTTCGATTTTAGCTTCTTTTAGTTTTGGTTTTTCCTCTTGGAATAAAGAGGGAATTTGATTGGATTCCGTGCAGGACATTGCTTTTCTTCATCATCTGGGCATAAGGTTTGTTCTGGTTCCTGGGAGTCAAGTGCAAATTGACCAGCTTTTGACTGAGAGAGGTGAGGATACAGTAAAGCCCTACCCTTTTGGTTATTTATAATTGCCCCTCTAGTTATCCAGTTGTGTTAGAGAGGCTTTCTCATCTCATCATACCTAATATAGCCTATAAGCCCGTTGGTCGTCAAGTACTGTGATCACTAGTAAACAAGGGCGATTCATCACCCATTTCGTGAAATACTACTTTGTAAGATTTTGAGGATGGATGAGCTTGTACAAATGAGGTTAGAGGTGTGTTATTGCAGGACACGAGCCCGCATATGTAGGTCGATACAGAGTAACAGACTCAGCATCTCTACAGGCTGCCAAAGAAGCTGCTGGAGCAATATCTGTGATGATTGAGGCCAAACTATCTCCTGGCCCCTCCATTTGCAATATCCGCCGACATGGTGATAATAGTCGTCTGCATGAAATTGGTGTCAGGGTTGATAGTGGTAACTTCTTTGCGGCAAAGGTGAGTTGCTTAATTTCCTGATTTGTACAGACTGGTTTGTTTATCCGTTCAATCTGATGAATTGTCATGGCAGAGAAGAGGCATTGTTGACGGTGTTGATTTTGGAGCGACTGGTGAGGTGAAGAAGATAGATGTTGATCGGATCTGTGAGAGGCTGGATGGTGGTTCTGTAGTTTTGTTAAGGAACTTGGGCCACTCTAGCTCCGGGGAAGTCTTGAATTGCAAGTATGCTTTACTTCTGGGTAATTCTTAACTGTATAAAGACGAGCTTACTCGATATTTAACACAGGCTGTATTACTTCTGCAGCACCTATGAGGTTGCTACAGCGTGTGCTTTAGCTATCGGAGCAGATAAGCTTATTTGCATCATGGATGGTCCCATTCTAGATGAGAATGGACATCTTATTCGTTTCTTGACCCTTCAGGAGGCGGATATGTTGGTCAGAAAACGGGCACAGCAAAGCGAGATAGCTGCCAATTATGTGAAGGCAGTTGGGGATGGTAGTATAATTTATCCTGAACCTGTTAGTCCTGGTAGTACAATTCCTTCCCCTCACAATGGAAGAGCG